ATACTATCAGCTCTAACTAATTAATATAAAAAAATTATTTATAAAGAATAAAATTTACAAAAATATACGTCCTAAAAAAAAATGTCGATAAAACGTATTCGGATTTATCATATAAAATACTTATAGATCAAGAGGTGTCCTTTTTGTCTAGAAAATGTCATTTATGTACAACATAGAAAGCAGTTTTTTACAGCCCTCTGTGATTACTTTTTCAAGATCTACCTTACGAATTTTCTTTTTAAAGCCGTAAACTGATTCTGCGTTTTTTACATCCCTGCTTATACATATCTTTTGTTACAAGTAAGTGTAAAAAATTTTAAAAAGGTAAAAAGTAAGAATTAAAAAATCTAGTATATTACATAGCTAATTCATATTTAAAAACTAAACGATTAATAAAAGAGTTTTTAAAACACATAATGTTAATCTTAGGTTTAAAGCAAGTTTCTTCCCTAAGATTGTAACTGGACGGTTCAACACGAGACATAATAAATAAAAGTAAAATTAAAAGAGGATGTCCTTTAGCATTGGAAACTTTTCTGAAAATTTCACGGTCTTGCCTCTGTAAGAAATCATAAACACTTACAGGCTTAGACGTATATTTCCTTTCAAAACAGCGGTCTAAGAAACATTGTGCAGGTGTAAGATCGGACTCGGACGCTCCGTAGACAGATAATGCGTAATTAATATTAGGTAGAACTATTGTATTAAAGAGAAGGTCTATTTCTGACTGATTGTACCCCTCTTTGCGCAGCGTTCTAAGGATATGTAGGGATTTGTTAGCTTTAATAAGTTTGCAGTCACACTGGAAGGTGACGCCCATAATCTCTACTTCTTTACAGTTTGGTATCATCCCAATAGGTGAATAGAGATCGCGGTTGCCTCTCCTTTTGATCGTCAACTCTTTACATTTGCTTGGATTGCAAGACATTCCATTTGTACTCGTCAGTCCAATCTAAAAACTGTGACACTAACTGATCGGAGTAGTCTACCTCCTTCCATACAGGAGCAATAATTGTCGAATCATCAGCTTACTTAAATAGCGCGTCATGACTACCTAAAGTGATGTTAAAATCATTGAGAAAGATGTTAAAAAGGTATAAGGACCACTAACGCTACATTGAGTTGTCCCTTTGTTAACCGGTTTCCAGTCACACTCAAAGTTGTTGCAACATACCATTTGTTTTCTATCCTTTAAAAAGTTCAAGTACCGATTGGTAATATATGGATTCAGTGGGAGCTTTTTTAAAAGTTCAAGTACCGATTGGTAATATATGGATTCAGTGGGAGCTTTTTTAACGCTAACGCTGCATTGAATTGTCCCTTTGTTAACCGGTTTCCAGTCACACTCAAAGTTGTTGCAACATACCATTTGTTTTCTATCCTTTAAAAAGTTCAAGTACCGATTGGTAATATATGGATTCAGTGGGAGCTTTTTTGATTTATTAGCAAGAAGTTCATGTTTCACAGAGTAAAGTGGAATGGTTCAATGTATGTTCTACTGTGACGTTAGTATTGAGACAGTTGCATTATTGCCCAAGCAAGAAACCTTTTTATTAATTACATGCATATTGAAGAGAAAAATATTTCTCTTTCCCTATTTATACCACCCGTAAAAAGAATAAGACAAATTTCTCTTGGCATGCCGGGACATAAGGCATCGGCGTCGAGGAAAAAAACCGCTGCAGCAAAATTTTCCAGAGGACCGACTTTCTTTCCCGTATTTTTGTAATCCACTAGTGCTAAATAATACAGGTCGCATTTACAGCAATATGTTCCTAACCTTTGTAGTCCATGATAAAAGGTGCCAACCATAAAACCGCTACCAAAGAATCAGTACGAAGTGTCAACTTCATAAAGTAACGGACTCTCATATAAAATTGTAATTTGCCGAAAACTACGTGATTACGGAATTTGGCTTTAAGTTTGTTCGGTCGACCAATGCTTATTTATGGCCGTTCCGTAGTTATCAACCAGTCATTATGGATCAGTCATCTCGTATTTGATTTATTTCTGACTGCAATAAAGGTCTTGGATTCGACGCAAAAAAAGACTAATTTACATCAGGACTGTATATAGAAGTAAAATTCGATAAATATGAATGCAAATCAGTTGTCATTTCATGTGACAGTGCATGTGCCAATTATCTCGATGACCAAGTTTCTTTGTTACAATATTCAAGGGCACCCAACGACTGTTTTCTGTAAAATATCTGTTCGGAGAAGCAAATTTTGACTAGAATTTTCTATTTCTTGAGGAAGGCTAAAAATTTCTAGATGACTGTTCCGTTCATGTGCAATTTTCCAAGCTTATCTAATAAATTCCCTAAGATTTTCGGAAGTTTAATTTTTCACACTTCACTGCCCAGGTTAGGACATTTTTCGCAAAAAAGTAAACCTAAAATTTTTGGATTTAAAAACGTGATGGAGAGAGGAATCAGAAAATTCTCACTTTCGTAAAACGTTAAATTGCATCTAAACATTTCTGGAAAATAATAGTGAAGCCCTTGTAATTTCGAAAAGACTCAATTTACCCAAGATGACCCAACAGGTACAAATTTTATAGCGTCGCTTAGAATGCATTTCTAGAGATTTCGGAGGAAACCGTCGTTGGATGCTCCTGAATATTTAACTCTAAGGGCATAAGAAATCTAGTATGTAAAGTTCTTAAACTTTTAAGAACATTTCGTGCAGATTTACACTCCCCCAATTAACTTACCTTAAACAAGATTACGTAAATACTTAGTATATTTCATTCGAAAATGAAAGCTTTGTATGTTAACAAAAAATTATAAGGCCATTTTTTGTCATTTTCTTTACTTTATAATATATCATTGAAGTTCATTTGACATGTTCTTACAAATCAAACCCGCGCCAATATAATTTTCAAATGGGACCTAATAATGTAAGCTTTCCTTCCATGTCTCCTTTTGTTTCAGGATAAGACTATTAAGAGTAAAACTTATGCAAAATTCTTTCTATGTTCTAATACTAAGGTTTCAAAATTTTTCAAAAGCGAATTGTTTTCGTGTTCACCGAAAGTTGAGCACGTGATCAATTAATGCAAAAGGCCTATTCCGACAGAAAGTACCCATTAAACCGAGCTTTAATCCACTGGGCCTGTTCTTTATCCAAAATATTTTTTTCATAGAATTCCGAAATAAATTAGATGCATCGTTATTACCTTTTGGTTCTAGTACCGTAAGTTTTAAATTACCCTTTTTTTTCCAAATTTACTAAATTCATCAAGAAACAAGTTTATAAAATGAAAAAGAAGCAATTCCTATGAATTATGTTACAACTTCGATTAGAATAAGAGCGCATAATTAACAATTATTGGACGAGGTTGAGCAAAATATCGTGAGTTGTCAGTGGCGAGCAGATCAATTATTTGCCGAAGCCGAAGGCTGAGGCAAATAATTGATGTTGGAGACACTGGCAAATCGCGATATTTTGCGATAGCCGAGTTTGATAATTGTTTTATCATTCGATCACCAGGTTTGTTTTTTAACGACTATCTTCGGGAAGCGAAGCGATCTGCCTCTTTTCACGCAAGAACTATCGCAGAAGGATAAAAGCGTGGTTTCGTTTACGCATGAGCAGAATATTATTTGCAGCCAAACACAGGTGGACAACATTGCGCATGAGCAGACCATTATTTGTAGGTAGTTATTTGCAGGTCACGCGGTGGGCTTTCGGCCAATGAAAAGGAAGAATTTTAAAAAATTTGCATCGAATAATAATCGCACTTATTAGGTTCTCCTGTTGGTAATCAAGCGTACCTTAGGTGCATTATACAGTTTACACACAGAGTTATCAATAATTAATAACGTAGCAATAGAAACAGGTTTCTCCTTATATCCCTACTATTAAAGAAAGTGACGGAGGAGGGGACGGGTGCTTGTTTGATATTTTGCCCCAGGGAGTTGGCGCTTATTCCAGGGGAGGGCGCTTATTAGAGTGAAGACGTTTATTCGAGGAAATACGGTATGTTTCTACGTCTTGAGAGTTCTCAGACTTTGCAATTGTAAACATTTTTGGAAGTGTAATTAACCCTTTTGACAGAGTGGCAAAGGGGAGGTACCTATCACGCATCACGCTGATTTTTTTTAAGCTATCACGCATCACGGAAAATTGATCTGAGGAATTCAGAGGTAAAGGAACGACAAAAAAGGGCAAGAAGTTGGTGTCATAACTATCTGTTTTTAATGTCTCCGCTTCTAGTTTCGAATGATTTTGACCATCGCGAAAATTTCAAAGGAAAATCAAGCATCGCGCTGCTATACCCGATCACGCTTCACGCGGCTAATTTGGCCCGATCGCGCATAACGCTTAAAAGTTGGGTCCCATCATGCTTTACGGAAAACCCCTTCACCCTGTTTTGGGGTGCGACGCAGTAAAAGGTCGCGTGGTAACTGAGTATGGCACTCGCGCGAAAAAGAAGGATATTGTATAGAGTTAAATAAAAAATGTTGCCGTTTATCTAATAATCCTTCACTAAATCACCCAAAAGTGTAGTGAATGAAATCACAGTTTGTTAGCAAAATAACTTTGTTTTCGTTATTTAACTCAGTTCGGGCATGAAACAATTCAACTCGGACTGTATGAATGGAGTGGTTCAATGTATTCCTTACTGTGACGTTACTGCTGACACAGTTGCATGATTGCCCAAGCAAGAAACCTTTTTTGTTAATTACATACACATTGAAGAAAAAAAAAGTTTCTCTTTCCTATTTATACCACCCGTAAAAGGGTTAAAACAAATTTCTATTGGCATGCTGGGACGTAAGGCATCGAAGTCGACGAAAAAAACCGCTGCGGCAAAATTTTCCATAGGACGGATTTTCTTTCCAGTATTTTTGTAATCCACCAGTTTTAAATAATATAACTACAAGGAGAATTTTAATTTTAATGAATTTCGCAGTTTCTAGTCAGCTAAGTGACGTCTGGTCGCTATGACATCAAAAAGAACAAAGGAGGTTTACTTTATTTGGTTAGTTTCTTTCCAAATTAAAATCGCTGGCGGGGGAACAAGAAGCGAGCGCTGACTAAATGAAGTTGTCTTACTGCAGGATCTTGCAAAACTTACAGTGAGTAGCTAAATTTAAGGCCCTTGGAAGGTAGAAATGATGGTTTTTGCATTTTAGTGATGGCTGACTACATTGCTTGCTTAGCCACTGTAAAGTGGGTAAATGTAGATTGCGAGACATCCAGCTGCTCACGCAAGCCGATGCATTTTATGTTATACAGGTCGCATTTACGGCAATATGTTCCTAATCTTTGTAGTCCATGATAAAAGGTGCTAACCATAAAGTAATGGACACTCATATAAAATTGTAATTTGCCGAAAACTACGTGATTACGGAATTTGGCTTTAAGTGTGTTCGGTCGACCAATGCTTATTTATGGCCGTTCCGTAGTTATCAACCAGTCATTATGGGTCAGTCATCTCGTATTTGATTTATTTCTGACTGCAATAAAGGTCTTAGATTGGACGCAAAAAAAAAGACTAATTTACATCACGGGGACTTTATAAAAGTAAAATTCGATAAATATGAATGCAAATCAGTTATCATTTCATGTGACAGTGTGGCAATTGTCTCGATGACCAAGTTTCTTTGTTACAATATTCAAGGCACCCAACGACTGTTTTCTGTAAAATATCTGTTCGGAGAAGCAAATTTTGACTGGAATTTTCTATTTCTTGAGGAAGGCTAAAAATTTCTGCATGACTGTTCCATTCATGTGATTTTCGGAAGTTTAATTTTTCACACTTCACTGCCCAGGTTAGGCTATTTTTCGCAAAAAAGTAAACCTAAAATTTTTGGATTTAAAAACGTGATGGAGAGAGGAATCAGAAAATTCTTACTTTCGTTAAACGTTAAATTGGATCTAAACATTTCTGGGAAATAATAGTGAAGCCCTTGTAATTTCGAAAAGACTTAAGTTACCAATCAAGATGACCGAACAGGTACAAATTTTACAGCGCCGCTTAGAATGCATTTCTAGAGATCTAAGTACTTTGGATAGCCTAAAAAGTGTTTTCAATGTATTTCGGAGGAAACCGTCCTTGGATGCTCCTGAATATTTAACTCTATCTAGTATGTAAAGTTTTTAAACTTTTAAGAACATTTCGTGCAGATTTACACTCCCCCAATTAACTTACCTTAAACAAGATTACGTAAATACTTAGTATATTTCATTCAAAAATGAAAGCTTTGTATGTTAACAAAAGATTATAAGGCCATTTTTTGTCATTTTCTTTATTTTATAATATATCATTGAAGTTCATTTGACATGTTCTTACAAATCAAACCCGCGCCAATATAATTTTCAAATGGGACCTAATAATAGGGACCTTAAGCAACAGCGTTTTTGAGCGACGGACGTCAACCGGAAGTGGACTTTTTACAGCATTGGGCTGTAGTTTGGTTGAAACCCTTAGGTAGATCGTCTTTATAGGAGAAAAGAAACTCAGCACTACAAATTTGGTAGTGTCCAGGCATATAAAAAGGGAGAAGGCCTCACTTCCGGCTTACGTGCGTCGCTCAAAAACGTCTTTGCTTAAGCTCCCTAATGTAGGCTTTCCTTCCACGTCTCCTTTTGCTTCAGGGTAAGACTATTAAGGGCCTGTTTACATGGAGTGGGGGACCCCGGTCTAGTGGGGTTGGTTTCTTTTGTTTTCACGCTCTGGGTGGACACAAAACAAAAGAAACTTACCCCACTAGACCAGGGTCCCCCACTCCATGTAAACAGGGTCTAAGAGTACAAATTTATGCAAAATTCGTGTCTATGTCCTAATACTAAGGTTAACGTTCAGTAAATACGTTGCATTACCAGACGCTACCACGAACTGGGTTTTACTTCAAAGCACTTGATGCTGTGCAAGTCAGAAATAACTGAAGCGAGGGATCGGAAACGTAGGCTTTCTTACAGTAACTGGTATATCGTTACTCTGTTCGTATCTGGTGCAAAAAATTCTGAAAGAAAGGTTATTGATTTTGTCACGCACATTACATGTAGACGACGCTAAAATCTCGTACAACACATTTCACAGGCAGAACAGACTCGTTTGAATTTGAATTTTACGAGAGAATGCTGGGATTGAACAAAATGCATCCCAAATTCTGTCTTTTTCACTAGGATTCCAAATAACATAACTAACCTTATGCTTGCTTTAACTGTCTTTTACTGTCTGTTCGCTTAAGGATCTATTTGGAAGGCATTTTGGCGGTTTTAGATTTCGTGTTGTACTAAAGGCAGGAAATTGTTGTATGCTATTGAATCTGAATACCTAAAAAATGAAAAAGGTTGACGAGAGATTCTCTTGTTTTCTTTAACAGCAACTGAAATCGTCGTCGAGTAATCATGGGAATTACAGTGTCTAAAAGAAAGAAGAAGAAGAATGTCAGGAACGAGGAGGTAGTTTGCTGTGTCATGGTTCATTGAAAACGTAGTTATAAGACTGGCATGGTTATGAAGCCCATCAAACTCCTTCTTTATGTGGCTTTTGTGGACTCAGAGGTGCACAGCCTTACATAGCATTCTGACTAACCAATAAAAACGTCGCTTTAAAATATTCCGTTACACTTGGTGCAAAAAAACAAAAACAACAAAGGATTGTACACCATCACACAGTTTCCAACATAAATTTTTTAACAACATTGTTGTTTTCAAATTTGACGCTTGCCCGCGGCTTTCATAACTTGTGTCCTTTAGTAACTATTGTCAAAGACGGTGAAGCTGACTCACTGATACTATTATTCCTAGAGTAAGTTAATTTTCAGGTGTTATATCACTTTCTAATAAACTTTACATCTGTGAAAGAGAAATTTAATTGCCAGGCATACCAAAAAACTTTTGCATTAGTCAGTCATGCGGTACCATTTTTCAGTATCTTTCAAAACCTGGACCAAGGCACACATTAGGTTGGGTTGTAAAGGACAGAGTCAAGTTTGATTCAGCCTCTGCACTAAGCAGCTGAATCCTTTTGGCACTGATAGAGCTTCGCTATAACACATGTCAGTTCAGTCGAAAAGAAAACCTTGGAAAATTCCCAGAGTAGACTGAACATTTCAGATTTCTGTATTTACCCTGTTTTAAATAAGTTTCATGATATCGCTGGCAAGGAGAATGAAAAGCATTTATCAAGATGGCATTTTGTAATTTGTAGGCTGGGGAGAAGCAACGAGACCCCAACAGTGCTAATGGTGAAAGACATGAGGACGAAAGGGAAGACTCTGCAGAAGAACAAATGTTCGATGACGGAGAGGGAGAACAACCGGGGCAAGTAGAAGAGGAGGGCAGCGACAATGACAACAAAAGCAATGAGGCCGAAGATGAAGATGATGAACCACAAAACGAAGAAGACGAGAAGAATGAAGAAGATGATCGAAAAGAAGAAGAAGAGGAGGAAGAAGAAGAAAAAGAAGAAGAAGAAGAAGAAGAAGAAGAAGAAGAAGAGGAAGAAGAGGAAAACGCGAATGAAGAAGAGAAGAAAACAAAATTGCTTGCTAATTACAGTGAAAAGCTACAGAAGGCCTTGATGGGGGACCTTAATAGTGACTTTCCAGATAATGTCAAGATTGTTCGAATCTTCACCAGCTCGACTTTCACGGGTAAATAGATTACTTAATATCGGATTATTGTGGATACATCAGTGTGCCAAAGAAATGATGGTCCGTTTATAGTCTCTGATTCATTTTTGATTCTTTACATTTGTTTGCAAGTAATGTATCGATAGGTGAACAACACTTCTTCATTTGCATAGTAAGGAATGTAAAACATACTGGTACAAGCACAACCAAAGCATCGGACTATCACAGAATCCATTTAAATGATTTGAGTACGATTTGGTACTCCTTGTTGCAGCGCAGCGTCCTTGTGGAAACCATGTATATGAGAATAAAGTATCACTCCCTTTTCAGATACTTCGGTGGAGCGTAACACCCTGATGGAGCGAGTGTACCCTCGACTCAAGTCCTATTGTCAAGAGAGAAGCTATGACTTTCAAGTGGTGGACATGCGATGGGGGGTCCGAGATGAGTCTACTGATGATCACATGACCACTGAACTCTGCATGAGAGAGCTGCGAGCCTGTCAAAAGCTATCCACAGGACCAAACTTCATTGTAAGTTTAATATCTGCAAGGATCTGCTATCTAAATACCAGGAGTGAGCCAGTCATAGATCTTTGTTAGAGAGTTCATAATGTCGTTTTCCATCCCAAGACAATCTTAGAATACAGACCCCTTTTAAGGTGAGTCCACCTGACTCGAATCTCGACAGAGATTCACAGAGAATAGAAAAGGAGCGTCAAAAGGAGTGCGCCTTCAAGAAATGAGCAAACCAGATTTCTCAAGAACTTGTAAAAGTATTATTCAATGTTCGGGTTTATTTCATTTTCAGACGTTTTTGGGACAAAAGTACGGCTACCGTCCCTTTCCAGCCACAATTGCTGCAGCAGAGTTTGAGAAGTTCCTTGGGGCAATTGACACAAAAGAAGATCTTCAACTGCTCAAACACTGGTTCTGGCGAGATGACAACGCAGTTCCCGCTCAATATTTGTTGCAGCCAATTACGTCATTGCTGCCTGATTATCGCAACTTCGAAAACAAAGAGTTACGTAAGAAGGCGTCCTCTGATTGGTGGGCAGCGAATGAGAGAATGCAGGTTGTTTTGAGAATGGCTGCTGAGAAAGTTCTGACAAACAAGAGAGATCAACATAAATACCAACAGTCAGGTACATTATATCTAAATTTAAGATTAACTAAGAATATTTGCCCATAAGATTTAGAGATCGCTATTGTTCCAGGCTAGGAGTCCATGCCCGGGGCTCCAGTCCCAGCTCGGTTCGGGTTTACTGGTCATACGTTTTTTTATTCACAGCACGACTTTCTAAAGGTCCTGTTAAATACTAACTTGTTTGATTTTTTCTTTCCAGTAACTGAGGATGAGATCCGACGAGGAATCATCAACACACCCAGTCCATCAAAACACTGTTTCTGGTTCAAGAGAGTCATTTTAGATCTCACTGCTAACATAGATGCAAAGAACGCTGGAAAATTCATAGACAAGACATGGGGGGAGATTGCATCCGTAGATGAAAATGCTCAGAAACTTCTGAGCACCCTCCGTGAAAAAGACCTTCCACGTGTCTTACCTAGTGAAAATATCATGACGTATGATGTCAAGTGGACTGAACAAGGCGTGGACCCCTCAGTGTCACCAGAACATGCCCAGTATATAGAGAAACTCTGCAAAGACTTTTATTCTATTCTGACTCAAATGATAGATATCGGGATTAAAGATAACGAGACCTCTGACTCCAGAGATTCTTTTGCTGAAGAACTGTTCCAACACGGTTCATTTTGCCAGAAGAAGTGCAAATCATTTTATGGGCGAAAGGAATTTCTAGAAGCCTCAAAGAAGACATTGCTGGAACATGACAAGCATGCTGTGGTACTTCATGGGGAGTCGGGCTGCGGGAAAACGTCGATCGTGGCCAAAATTGCCAGCGAAGTCAAACAATGGGTCGAAGATGAATCTTCAATTGTCGTTTTGCGATTCATTGGTACTTCGCCCGATTCATCTAGTATCAGACCTCTTCTAAGGAGTATGTGCATCCAACTGTGTAAGGCAACCGGAAATATACCTGGGAATATACCAGAGGTAATTGTACATACCCGTAGATGAATTATAGACTGCGAGCAGTCTCTCTTTTTCTTCAGTTTTAGTGAGAGCAATGCACGCGCGCGGGAGCGGCGAAGCCGCGAGACGCGCGAAACGAGGGCGGCAGCCCGAGAAGAAAAAAGAGAGACTGCCCGCTTAGCCAGAGCCAATGAATTAAGCGTTGGCCTCACGACGAAAAATAGGATTGGCTGATTTGTGAAGCGTTGACAACAAACTGTCGACAATCGAAACTATTGACAAGTTGATGATGGCTGAAGCACTGCAGGAAAGTTTGTCACGTTTCCCGGAAAAAAAAAAAAATCAGATACGGAGCAAAGAGAAGCATAAGAAGGTCTCATCTCTCCGGGTACTTGACGTGATCGAGCAATTTAAATGCTCAAAGCCTCTCTTCACTGTCAAGGAACGCTTTAGTTCCAAAACGGTAGTCTTACTTTAGGACTTAAAACAGAAAGTAGCATAGACTGGAAGACTAGACTGTTTATTTTATAAAGCTAAAACAATAGTAATTACCAACGGATGCACTACAGGACATCGCGCTATAGATTCTCAAGAAAGAAAGAAAAAACGAAAATACAAATCGGCGCCCAAAGAATGATCTTGAGTGACTTGCAGCGTTGGCTTAGCTCTAGTTAAGCTGCAATTAGGATATGTAGAACACTGTCCCGTGAAAATTCAACATCCTGCAAACAAGAACTAGGCCACGGGTGATCTCATTCAAACATAAAGCACAGGAAATGAATTATTAATATAAGAGAAATAGACCAGCTTCATGACCTCTAAATGTGAGACCAGCGGCCAAAATTAAGATTTGCTCAGTCAATTAGCTTAGAATCGACTCTAACTCTATGCACTGCATAAGCTGCACTATAAAAAAAAAGTAGAAAAATATCTGTTGTTCAAGCAAACTCTAAAGTCACGTTTCACGTGCCTGGCCTGTCAACACTTCAGTTTTGACGCCAAAAAATCACTAGACCGTGAAAGACCATTCTCTCTGGCTTTGCGGGTAGTCTCTCTTTTTTCGTTCCTCTCCCGTCTCGCCCCATCAATCACGCGCGTGGGCATTTGCGTGTCTCGCGTTTTGCTCGACAGACTACAGAAAAAAGAGAGACTGCTCGTAGTCTAGATGAATTACAATAGGAGGCATTTTCCCAGTCCCAGCTATTACTATTGTTTTCGCTTATTTTATTAGGAAAGATTGGGCAAGTTGTTAACTTGAAATGAGCGATGGGATAGACTAGAAACCTGACTATCTAGTGACATTCGGATGACTTCTGTAGAACTGGTAGAACGCGGATACTTACAGAGTGACGCATAGCAAGCAAAATCAACTAACAAGGCTGCGGGAGCTTCTCCAAGGACTCAGATGTTTTCTTGTACTGTCTTATTATCACAAGAGCACCCCCTCTTGGCATACCTTTCTTATTTGAGTTCCGTCTTTGTCTTCGTGCCAGATGTTTCCTGCATTACTGACAGGTTTTGAAATTCAGACGAGGGACACACGTTCCCCCTTAAGAGGGCCTCATTACTGATTTCCATAGAATAAGTTACTTGAGAGCTACATTTGTTCATACGATGCCATTAATTAACAGTGAATCATGTATCCTTCTCCGTTAATTACCACACCTAACTTTACCATCTCTCTGAATTTTCATGGCTCAAAACCTCAAAGAGCATGCTATTAGACCGATCACTTACGGAGTGTAGTTTAATCTCTCGCAGGACATGAAATCACTCAAAGACTACTTCCAAGAATGTCTAGAGAAATCGGCAGAGAACAGTCCTGTCATTCTTGTTTTGGATTCTTTGGATCAGCTGTCTATCGACGATGGTGGACGCCAAATCGATTGGTATCCAAGGCACTTACCATACAATGTGTACACTATCCTTTCAACACTACCCGGACAGGAATATCAGGCACTACCTAGCTTGAGAGTAAGATTAACAAAAGGCTTCTAATGCCCCGTTTTGAGTATCACAACATCGTCTCAACATTCTCACCACTTTTATGCATAAATATTTGCGTTTCCATAGTCTGCGCATGAGGTGAGAATGTTGTAACGATCACGAGGCTCATTCGTTTTATAGAAGTGCTTTGTTTAGTGTTATTGTGCTGAAATGTTCAACACATGAGTATACTACTGTGTTAAATAGATTTCTCGTCATTATAATAGAAAGCATTTCACAGCCAGTTAGGAGAGTACTACTTTAACTTGGTTTTTGTTTGTTTGTTATCTTTTTCATTTAGATTTTTCAGTGAACGTACCCTGATATTACCGGTGCTTGTCCATACTTATGATTATAATATTGCTTGAAATATTTTCTGATCAGTTTGTTTTATTTTTCTTACTTTAGACTATCCTGCCAAGTGAATGTTTTCTTGAAGTACCCAGAATCCCTCTAAACGAGGTAGATGTCATCTTTGATAACTGGCTTAAGGCAGCAGGTCGTACCGTACTTCCAAAACAGAAAAGCTATGTTATGGGTGCCTTCCAGAAATGTCCTCTTCCTCTCTACCTTAAACTTGCGTTTGATGAGGCCTTACGCTGGAAGTCATACACTCCCGAGTCTGATATTTGTCTTGAGCAAAATGTGAGAGAGATAATCGATGACATGTTCCAACGATTAGAAAGACGGCATGGCAAAATTCTTGTCAGTCACGCCTTGGCTTACATTACCGCCTCCAAGAATGGTGTGACGGAGCCCGAGCTGGAAGATCTTCTTTCTTTGGATGATGAAGTCTTGAATGACGTCTATCAGTATTGGACGCCGCCAGTCAGAAGACTTCCGCCGTTGTTGTGGATCCGTATTAGGTCAGACATTGGAGACTATCTTACAGAGAGAGGTGCAGATGGCACTCAAGTAGTCTTCTGGTACCATCGTCAGTTTATAGAGGCCGCTCGTGAAAGATATTTGACAGCTAAGCAAGCTAAAAAGATTCACTCTTACATGAGCGACTATTTTCTTGGCAAGTGGTCCGGTGGTGTGAAGAAGCCATTTGAGAATAAAGAGGGCGAAAAGAAGTCTATGGACAGATTGGTTCCTAAGCAGCCGTTGATGTTCGACTCCCCGGAAGGAAAACAAATATTCAATCTTCGCAAATTGAGTGAATTACCATTCCACCTGTTGCACTCTGAAAACTTAGACGAAATGAAAGAAGAATGCCTTTGCAACTTCGAGTTTCTTTTGGCAAAGATTCGAGGCACTTCCGTACCACAACTTATGAGCGATTTTTCCTCGTATCTAGAAGTAAGGCCTGACGATGATGACGTTCAACTCCTGTACGAATGTTTACAACTCTCAGCCTATTCACTTTCCAATGACAGAGGGCAACTTCCAACTCAGATGATTGGTCGTATGTACAACTTTCTCCAGAGACAGAAGCAGTATCCTCATGTCTACAAGGTTTTAAAGGAGGCATTAAATGCGTCCACAGATTGTTTCCTTCCAAACAGAAAGTGTTTGACGGCGCCAGGCGGAGCCCTTCGTTCTGCAATTGGTCTGACGCAGTCCGGCGTAGACGTCATCAGCATGGGTAACGATAACCGTACTATAGCAGTCACCAGTCAGACCTCAGAGGGATTGCTGATCAAAATCATTGATTATCGCAGCGGAAGAGAACTTAGAAAATTCACCATCACAGAACCAACGGATATGTACCGAACAAATTTCAATCAACTTAGCCAAAAGGATCCCGACTTACTTATCCTTGCTGGATCGAGTAAAATATTCCTTTTGAACACTTTGACTGGGCAGATAGTCCAAGAATTCGAGGTTACCGATGATGAATGGTTTTCTTATCATCCCCAGGCTCCAGTACGTTTTGCAGATGACGAAAATTTGCTCGTTGCCATATGCCCAGACGCTTTAAAGATTTGGGATGTAAAAAGTGGAAAGATGCTTCATCGTTTACCTCTCACCGATGTAAACAGCGATGATGAACTTGGAAGCCTGGACGCACGTGGTAACTATGCTGTTTACAACATTCGAGGAAAGAGCACAGTTCATTTCGTCAATGTAAATATTGGCAAAGAGGTAGATAATATCACCCTCAAGTACCCAAAGACAAATCGAGGGGAAGCCGTTTTTATCAAGGAAGTCAAAATAACATCCCAAGACCAAGTGGCTGTGATTCCATCCTCCCTTGATAACCTGCGTTTGTACGATCTTTCCGGGATTCTCATTCGTGAGCTGCCTAATTTCAAAATGGAACAAGGTCTTCATCGATTGCAAATCACTGACGACGGTAAGAGGGTAGTCACTGCCGATATGTACGAAATCATCACCTTGAATCTGGAAACTGGGGAAGTAGAAAGATGCCTGAGAAGCCCGATTTTCCGTCTAGGAATTTACACGCGCGATGGAAACAATATATTGGCGGTCGGTCAGGACAACATTCTCCGTGTCTATGATAAAAGTCGAGAAGAGGACGACGAAAACCAGAAGGAGACTGTTATTACCAACATTCAAGGCAACACCGTTGCTGATCAAATAACGGCTATTTCGCCTAGCTTTGACCAACGTCATGTCCTAGCAACGACTATCGTTCAACTTAGGAGCGGAATCGATGTGTGGGACGCTGTAAGTGGCAAGCGCGTTCGTCGACTGACAGGTCTCACTGTGTTTCCAAATCCTATACGCATGTTTACCGCAACCCGTGGAGTTGGGTTTATTTACGATCAGAATGTTCCTCATTACAAAGTTTTCAACTTTGTAGAGGGAATCATCGAGAGAAATCTCGAAGGAAAAGCCTGCAAAAGAATGAATGCTTTTGGGTTCATTGACAACAAGAGGATGATGTCGTTTTCTCGTGGACGACGATTTGTCAAATTGTGGGATGTCGAAACCGGAAAAGTGGTCAAAGTGGTCAAATTCCGAGAAAAGCGACGCTTTGAGGAGATGCTCATCAGCAACAACGGGAAAATGGTTGTTTGTTCCCAAGCAAGCCAGATGACCCAGCACAGCGACAAACAACTGCACTTGATAGCTATTGACACAAACACTTTTACTCACAAGTGTTTGAGCTACAAAGGAGAACAGTTATCATTATTCAAAGCCAGCATATCAGACGACGGCAATTACCTCGTGAATTTGGTTCAGTATTCGCAGCCCCTACTTTGGGATCTTCAGACTGGTAACTTGATTTGCAAACTCTTTGACGCAGAAGAATACGAAACAGCCAGTGCCGTGGCAGTTTCCGGGTCCTCAAAGACAGCCGTTACCGCAACGAATGGCGTGGGCATAAAGGTCTGGAGCGTGGAGACTGGCAAGATACTATGTACTATTGCTTGCTCAGGCGTTTCTGAAGTTTATGTTTCCCCTGATGGAGAAGTTATCATATCAAGATCTCAAGAAGCAAACAGATTTGATGCATGGGACATGAAGACAGCAAGGCAGCTAGCTTCCTTCACGACAGACGGATTTCCAAACCACGTTGAAACCCTTGGAGATAGGGTTGCACTAGCGTTAGGAGGGAACCCAAATCTCATGGTTCTACGACTGCACCGATCTGACCGTAATGAAAGACTGCAGGAAGAGAATTTGAAGTCGCCTTACGATGGTTTGGCTTTGGAATGCTCGATTGGGGACTTCCAAGAGAAGCCAACCGCTAAAGATGGCATGGATGATGACAAAGACAACGATGATTCTTACATTGCATAACCTCTAACACGATGAGAGAGGACGTCGTTCACAGGAATGGCTTCATAAGACCTGACGTTGCAAATGCAAGCAAATGGATTGAGATAATGCACTTTAATATACACGAGAAAGAACACGTAGTCACGTAGTCTCGCACACGTATCATATCTATTCTATACACATACCGGGATTTTTGAAAACTAGACTAGCATACACTATGTAACTTCTCTTAAATCCCTCTGTCTCGGCTTGTTTACTGCGTTGTCTTTTTTTGTTTCTCTTATTTTTCGTTTTTCCCTGGTTAACGATTTGTCTAAAAGCGCTTTTATACGGAAAATCGTAAATTCACTCTGTCTCACCCCCTACCTGAATCCCCCTTGCTGACTCCACCCTTGGTCTTTTCACTGAATCAAATGACAAATGACAGTTATATTTAACATCGGTGCGCAATTATAGCTGATTTTGGTGCGGTTTAAGGTGTAGCCTGAGAGCAAGCTTTCCGTTTGGGGAGTATGCTCGTAGGCTGGTTTTTGGCCGCCACGGGCAAAGTTTCCGAAAAGCATCCTTTAAAACCCCTTGAAGGAACTAGGCTCTCCATTTGCAAGATGTGCATTGTCCTATACTCTTACCGCATTTCGTTTCATTTGGCTCACAGGTTATAATAAACACTGATAACAAGCTCCTGACGTTTAGGTGCGCTTTATTCTTTGGCGGTAAGACGTCTTTGGCCTGAAAAAAAGAAAATGCTGGTGGTCATATCTATTCGGCGAGAGCTAAATTGTTGATAATTGATAAGTGAAAAATCGTTTTGATGGCGAGGCCTCATGTTTTTCTCTTTCTACCTGTTAGTTAATCCGATATTGTCAGCAAAGCATTTATCCTTTAATTTTTACGAACTGACCAACTAAGGATTAATTTGTATAGTTTAAGGCAAACTGTCCAATTCAAGAAAAATAGCACAGTTAATTTGGTTCGAGCCAGTCAAATGCCAGAAAATACAACAGGCAATACAAACTAGCTAATCAGCGCAAAGTCCTTGTGACATTACATCAAAAAGTTGTTGGCTGATGGCGATTCGTTGGCGAACGCTCTTGGCCTCTTGCTGCTGTGAATATCGTTACGTGCTTTTGATTTGCTGCTGTTTTGTTTAGGCTTTTTGTCTAGCTGGGTCGTCTAAAGAGAAAAAAAGTATGACCAAACTGATGAAAGTATGTATTGGAAACATTCAACAATTCTTGAAAATGTACTGAGCACTGAACTTTGGCCGGTACAGCGAAAATAACGAAAAGAAAACTAAAACGTCTGTGTGCAGACTGAGGAAATTTTTGCTGGTGGAATCCATATTTCTGATCTTTAGAATGCTGCCCAAGGAATCCAGGAATCCAGGTTTTCAATAACTTGCCACTGCACCTAAAGGAAGTTGACTGTATAGTGATTTTTAAAAACAGAAAAAACACTGGTAAATCTTTTAGAGGTTTCTTAGAGTCTTAATTTACGCAGTTCCATCGACATTGGACATTGTTTTTACATTTTCTGATAGTTGATTTTCCTTTAATATTCTTTTTAGTTGCCCAGTGTAGGGCACCCATTTATAACAGCTAGTATGTTGTTGTTGTTGTTGTTATTATTATTACTATTATTATTATCATTATTATCATTATTTTTCCATAGCGTGGAATCCAAAATCAAAGACTGTATGCATGTCTGTCTCGGAGGATTACCGGGTGTGATTTTTGCGACCTAAACTCAAGCACTTAGCAGGCAGAGTATGTATCGTTCACCCTTGACAGAGTGCGCATGCTACAGGGGTAAAATAAATTTGTTGTCCTGTAGAAAGTTACAAGGGGGTTATTTTAATTTACCTTTTTGTCCTTAAAAGGATCAAGTTATTTCATTTTCAGCCCTGCTTACCCGAAGCGAAAAATAGGTGTTGCTTTCCCGTAATTCAAACAAAGCAAAATGGATCATTTTTCATAGTTTCTAAGAGTGTCGCAATCTTAACTGGGCCCTTTTCCAAGACGAAATCCATTTTGTCCAAGTCTTATCTACTGGACTATTATAGTCGGGGCCAGCATTCACCTATGTTTACCTTCCAAGCAAGCTGTATTGCTGATAACAGCCAGTGGCAGCTGGTTTTTAGTATTTGCTGCCATATTAGCAATCTCATTTGTATGTTTCATCGATTAAAAAGGCTAAAAGATGGTCTTCCGATTTCGTAACATCGATTTGTCCATCGATTTGCGTCTTGAAAACTCTTTAAAGCCGTTTTTAAAAATTTGCCCACTTGATTGTACAGTAAGTTTTTACTTATGGACAAAACTGACATTTCAAAACTGATTTACATCCCATCGATGCAGTTCAAGCAGTATCTTGAAATGGGCACAGCAAGGAACTGTGCCTTTATTGCAATGCACCGATGACCCTAACCTGCGATCAGGCGATTTTTGTTGTTGTTGTTTTTGGCGGGGGAAAAAAAAAACAAAAAACAAAAAAATCGCCTGATCGCAGGTTACGATGACCCCGGATGCCTTGCCGCATAGACCAATTGGTAAAACAATTACTTATGTCTTGATTACTTATGACTCACTGACTCACTTATCACCGGGTTTGAATGTAAGAATAGGCAAAATAAGCTAACTTTTTTCATTCCTTCAGTGAAGACTGAGTAAAGGCAAATTGAATTTTGCAGTTTTTATCCTCCGAACTATTTAAAGTTAATTTTTGGTCATAATTTTTGAGCACAAAACGCAAAGTTCAGGTTTCTTGTCAATGTATATTCAAAATGGGGCTTATGTATCAAGTATTGAGGCTAAGATCAAAATTTGCATTTTAAATAAAAATTTTCTGGCAAATCGCGGCAGATCACCTACTGCCTTTTTTGTCGCGATGACAATGAAACTCTCCGGTGAAAACTAGAATCGCCCATTAAGACCATTAACTATGTTTCTGATACTCGTCAAAAAGGAGAAGGAATAGAATGGTTAGTATTTAGTCATAAAAGCTTCGAAAAGTTTGTGACACACCGCACTCGACCGTAACGCTTGTTTTCATATTGATCTTTATTAAATAAGTCTTTCGTGACATATTCCATTTATATTCAAAGTAGTTTGCTATCTGAGGAACATGAATTTTAATAGCTTAGTCCAATTATTTTCCTAGTCGCCACCTTTGACTTTCACAATGCTTGAAGCTGTATGTTGACGATCCAGAAACATAAAGATGGACTGAGAACGACTTTTCGTTAAAAAAGAGCGTCGTAACACCTTAAGGGCCGGCAGGTAAGCTCAGTTTAATATTGTTCGCTTCGTTTGCGCCAGGGACCGCCAGACACGCAAAGGTGCAATATTTAAACTAGAATCGTTAGATAACCATATGATATTCAGTCCATCAAGTGAAAAGTACAAAACTAAGGCCACATTATATTTGCCTTAACACGTGGTGATAGCCGCTAAAATGATGTAAGAGACAGAAGATCTAGAGAGGTGGACTTGGATAAAGTTTTCCAATTGTGACTAGTTAAGATTAATTTACATTTTCATCCAAGTTTCATTCGCCAAATCACGCATCATGCAAATCATGGTCTTACTGGTAAAAAGAAACATCATTAATCACTTGGCTTGCGGATTTTTTTATCCAGCGACTTGCACGGAAAGGTCTTACACCTCGCCATGAAGTGTTTATTTTTGTCTTTTGTATGTATGGATGTCTTGGCAACCAATTTTAAACCAAAGATGTTTCACTCTAATGTTGTTCGCTAGTGTTTAGCTTTTAAGATGACGCACTCTTCAGATCTTTGTTTAAAAATTAAAGGTCTTCTAATATTACCGTAAGACACAAATTAAAGGGTGACACATGAAAAACATTACTTAAATGCTAAAATGGTTTACTTGTATAAATCATCTATTATTCATTTTCAACCTCGTACTCTGCTTTTATCAAACAGAGAAGAAAATTGAAGAAGGTGTTATATCAGGATGGGCGTAGGATCTTCCCGTTTCATGGGCAGCCAGAGCGCACGTATATATATGTGTCGTGCGCATGTGGGACCCATTCATCGCATGTAACAATCCACGAAATCACGTTGTTTTCCGTCTTAGAATGGACTGTGAAATATTCTTTTGATATCATTCGATCTGCACGTACTAACAATGTTTGGGTAAAAACCTTGAGAAATTATGCTCCTAAAAACAAATATCATGTCGGCATGTAAATTGACGAGTGTGGGAAGGTCCTAAAGCGCGCTCAAGCCAGTCAGCAGCGTGCACCCATAGCCGCTAAAGGTAAAACGGGTTAATTGACTAATTAAACCAGAACGTGCGTTTTATTTTCCTTTATCTTACAGTCCTTATAGATGATTTGGTTGTATAAATCATGTACGTCATCATCATGTGTGTTTCGTTAAGCTAAGTCAAGCGCTAATTACATACCCATGACTGAAAAAAATGCTTGGTCAAATTTTTCTCTTTTTTCCTGGCGCTATGCTAACAAGTGAACAAATTTGCGAATTGAAAATGCAGCTTTCAAAGAAGTAACTGGAGCAAAATCATGTGATCTCATTAATTAGATGAAACTTTGTTTCTTTCTTTCTTATATTTCTTTGCTTTCACATGATTAGATGTGTTATGGATTTTACATCGTGAGTAAAGAGTAGCAGTACTGTCGAAAGGAAGAAAAATCACAGTCTAGTTTAAGTTTAATAAGTATAAAAATGCTTTACCATCGACACAATAAGAATAATATAATCTTATTATAGCTTACAGGCATAGAAAATAACATTGTATCTCTCTGAATATTTATATTCTACTAAGGGCGTGTCAGTAATGGCATTTTTTTCCGTGATTAGTCCGCGTGCTTATACTAGTGTTTGATCAAATCGTAGTGACTTCAGGTATCATTGTTCAACACAGAGTCTGTAGTAAGGCATCACTTAGCTAGGTGGATGCGAATCTGGCGGCGGAAGAACACGTTAGGGCGTAAGTTATTTAGATTTCCTGTGTTCCCCAAATTTCCTGCTTTCCTGCCTAGTCTGATATCATGGGTGCAATTCAAAAATTTAATTTGACTCCGAGGTTTGGCGGTGCTCTTTTGCCCGTAAAGTCCTGCCCAGTGGGAATGCAGAAGATAATTTAGCCAGATAAATCACTGCTCGCTATAAAATAACCATTAACCAATCCATATAAACGCATGATCTGCCGGATAGGGATTTATCCAGCGGATAGCAATATGCACCTGTTAAATGACCGTTTTCACGTTTCCACGTTTCTAAGTGATCTTGACTAGTAGGAGGAAATTAGATTCAATGTAGTGCTTGTGTAAAACATTTCTTTTCGTTTGACGGCTGTGATGCGATCGTTTGAGGTTGTTTCAGTTGTTCAAAGGTTAATTGTGACCTACGAATGAAGGACTCAAATGAATTCATTCACTGGGAAAAACGCCTCTGTTACCTATAGCTGCCACCAGTAAACATGGCACTTTGAATTTTCAATAAGTTTTCAGAGTTATTGAAGTCAACGACCCGTGAACATGGCACAGTGAGCCATTTTGAATTCGTGGACTTGTAAAAGTAGTTTATTTTATAGCCCAGATCTTGTGAACGAGTCGTTAACAGACGACGACGACCATCTAGGAGGTTAACGCAGGTTAATGATTTCGGCTCGGAGATCTTTTTTTGTCGCTATACATCTATCTATCTTTAATACGCTTTGAAACAGTTTCACGCTTGTTGTTTTGATTATTACTTGGGCGGTCAGACTCCACTAACTCCTGTAGCTTCTAGTGGTTAGTTGCGGTTGGAAACTTTCTCTTTGGCAATGAAGGATGTTCGCCGCTTCCAAGCTCGATTCTTATGCCGGCCTGACTGGGAGGTAGTCGCAGGTTTGCCTTGTGTCAACTTACGTGGAGAAAACGTTGAAAAGTGAATTTGGGCTATTTCAATTAAACTTCATCGCTCTTACTCCATCTCGATTAATTGGTTAACTTTTAAAACAAAAATTAATTAACCATATAAAATAAAGAAACTTGTCGTTTCGATGGCTTCATGTCAACATTATCAAAAGATAAGAAATTAACATGATTAATGGTAATATTTATAGAAAAAAAAAGTGCGAAGTGAAAAGTGCATGTAAATTTAAGCGAGTGGACAAATCACAATTAAATAAAAAGTTTCGCACGGACGGAGGTCCGCTTGAATGTTTAGCGTAGGTCTGTTATCTCTTATAATCAACATCTCGTATATCAAACTCTCTTACTAGTTTCCCTCGGCATTTCTTGAGGATTTTAAATAAGAGATGTTGATTATAAGAGATAAAAGACCTACGCTAAACTCTCAAGCGGACTCTAACCGTGCGAAACTTTTTGTCTAATTGTAATTTGTCTATTTTGACTCTTAAATTTACATGCAATTTTCGCACTCTCTTTTTCTATATACAAATATCACCACGAATGATAAAAATTTCTTATCTTTTGATAATGATGACGTGACGCAATCGAAACGTCAAGATTCCTTTATATCAGTAACTTTTGTTTTAAGCTGTATCTCTAGATCAAAAATTTTGGCGAATTTATCTGCAGTTGAATGCTAAAGGACAATTTCTAAGTTCAGACAAAGAAAATTAGAATTAGGTAGTTCCAGGGGTAGTTCCACGTGGTATATTCGTGCAACGAAATGTACCAAAAAACAAAAATGATGCACGTGCAGAGTTGTTGTTTGTTTGTTGTTTGTGCAGAGTTCTCGTTGCCGTCGCCGTCGTTCAGTTGCTTAAAGGTGATAAACACGCGAGACGATTCCCAACGACCATTTTTAGCGCAACACAGCGTTGCAACATTGTTGAGACATTGTTTCGAATAGTTACAACATTGTTCCAACATTGCCTAGCCGTGCTGCGCAAAAAATCGTCGTTGCGAATCGTCCTGTGTAACACCATTGTGGATGTTTCTAAAACGAGGAACGGGGAGTGGGAAATGAGCACGTGGAACGGGAAAATTATTTTAAAAATGGAAATAAAGTATAGAATTGGAAATGAAGTTACTGATAGGGCTAGGGTTCAATTAGGTTTTGTTCCCATTTTTCATTTTTCTGTTCCCCATGCTCGTTCCTTGCTCTCCGTCCCCCGTTTCCCGTTCGGCGTTTTAGTAACATCTCCTTATTATCCGTTTTACCCAGACGCTCTTTTTATCATAGATTGCTTTTTAATTTGTTGCCCACGCGATTGACTTGTGGTGATCATGGGTGTGATCCTCTCCAAGAAGACAAGACGTCAGAGTGTGCAGGTAATACCAGCGACTGAAGGCGCTTAAAATAGAGGTCCCAAGGGAACTTGACCTTTTGTCTCTTCATAGTTTATACGAAGATATCCACTTGAATTAAACGTAATTTGAAAGAAACGGTCTCTAGAGTATTATCACATGGCCTGTATTGGCGAAACAAAACATACAAGCTAAAGAGGTCTATTAGCCGGTGTCACGATGTTTTGGTATATTTAAAAAAAACCCTCAAACATCTTGGAATCATAGAAAAACCTTCATTTAAAAGTATTCTCCCATATAATCTACATAAACTGTAAGTCTGTTGGTCCCGTTAGCCTTTCCATTCCATATAGATATAAAATTTTCCTTCGTTTTAATTTTTTTTCTTAAACACACTGTAAAATTTTTCTAATATTGACAATGTTTCAGTTTACATCATTTTTTATGGCTAGGTTGCTTTAAAGCACGAGGAACCCATGGATCAGGCGAAACAAGATGCCGATAATAGAGACAAAGAAAGTGACAGCGAGAGTGACAAAAACTCGACTGAACGGAACAAAGATGACGAATCACAATCCGAAAAGAGCTCGCAGCATGAGGATGATAACAAGAGCGATTCCGACAAAGAAGAAAGTGATGATGACGATAGAAAAAGCAAGAGCAGCCAATCTTCTGTAGGTAGCAGAAGAAGTAGCTCCTCAAAGAAAGAAGAAGAAGAAGCAAAAGACGAAGAAGATCTGCAACAGGGAGATGAAAATTCTCAAAATGATTTCGTGATGAATGAGACTGTTGATAACTTGAGTTATGAGGAGAAAGTCAAGAAAGCTTTGAAGGGGGACACGGATTTTCATTACCCTGAGAATGTTAAGATTGTCAGGATTTTTACCAGCTCAACATTTACAGGTACATAATATCAATCCGAAAAATAATTTAAAAAGAAAAACCAACCTCCAGTACCTTGTTGGAAAAAGAAATTAATGCACCATAAAGTTAGCTTTTTGCTTTAGCTTGATTCATTCAGAAGTCATTCCCCCGTCAGTTCACCTTGTCAAATGCACCATCATCAGCAATTGCCTACCTAAAACGACAGTCAAAACTCGCTAAGCTTAAAATTATCAATTTAACCTTGGGAAGTTCACTTCTTATTCTATAGATACCTCTGTGGAGCGTAACACCCTGATGGAGCGCGTGTACCCTCGAATCAAGTCCTACTGTCAAGAGAGAGGCTACGACTTTCAAGTGGTGGACATGAGATGGGGAGTCCGGGACGAGTCAACTGATGATCACATGACCACTGAACTCTGCATGAGAGAGCTGCGCGCATGTCAGAAGCTATCAACAGGGCCAAACTTCATTGTAAGTTGATGCAACTGCAGTAAACGTAACCCTAGTGCCCGCAACTGTTTTAATATGCCTTGTCATTCTCTTCCAGACGTTTCTTGGACAAAAGTATGGATATCGCCCTTTTCCAGTGAAAATCACCGGTTCCGAATTCGAAAAATTGCTTGCAGCAGTTGACAATGAGGACGATCGTCAAATGCTCAAAAAGTGGTTCTGGCGGGATGACAACGCCGTTCCCGCTCAGTACCTCTTGCAGCCAATCACGTCACTTCTGCCTTACTATCGTGATTACGAGAACGAAGAGTTACGTAAGAAGGCTTCTGCTGAATGGTGGGCGGTGTTTGAGAGAATGCAGGTTGTGCTCAGGATGGCTGCTGACAAGGCCTTGGAGAAGGAAAGTGACCGTCACAAGTATTATCAGTCAGGTCTGTGTGTATAGATGAGATTAGTACTAGTTGACATATAGGTGCTGTTTTCCTCTCATCCGTGTCATTGTAATGCATTATGATACTGGGGTGTTTTGGGGTTTTGGAGTGCCTGCAGCAGGCTTACAGGGCTTGAACGTAATTAGCAGGGCTAGGAAATAAAGATTTCCACGAACGTCTGCGGAATAAACGTTTAGGAAAATAAAACCTTTTAAATCATTGTATTTCGTGATGAATCATTAATCACAATCAAATATGTTCACGGTGTGTGTACATGTTATTGCAGGTGTAATGGCTTTCTTTGTCTTTTTTACCTATAACTTTATTGATTCTATTTCTGCTTTTGTCTTTATACCTCGATGAACTGTATTTGTGTGTTGTAGTATTGAGTGTGCGAGGTTTTTTAAAATGAACTGTGGTGCATTAATCAAAAGAGAGCTTAGACCAAGACATTTCTGAGAAAGGCGCGTCAACGGGAGGCGGACGTTTTGCATTCTTGGGAATTGGTTTTGTCCAAAGTTTGGGAAAATCGTTTCTATAAGAGTAAAGACACATAGATACAAATTTGTTAGCGTCATTGCATACTGGGGCAAAGGTCTCACTTCCATTTGACGTGCGTCACTCAAAAACGCTTTTGCTTATGACCTCCCTGATAGTTTTTCTGTTGATCTCGAATGTCTCTTTTATTCAGTGACTGAAGATGAAATCCGCAGAGGCGTCATTAATGCGACCCAGCAAGATAAGCGTTGCTTTTGGTTCAAGAGAGTCATCACGGACCTCGATGATAAATTAGGCGACTCCAGTTCTGGTAAATTTCTTGATAAAACCTGGGGTAATCCTTCGACGATCGATAAAAATGCGCAAGATCTTCTCAATAAACTTCGTGAAAAGGATCTTCCAGAAGCTTTGCCCAATAATAACGTCATCCAGTATGACGTAAAGTGGCATAGCAATGGGATAGATCCAAGTACGTCTCAAGAACATGCACAGTACATCGAAAAACTTTGTACCGACTTTTACGGCACGTTAACGGATAAAATCAACCACGGAATTGAGAAGGATCGACTGATCGACACAAAGGATCCCATAACCAATGAGATATTCCAACAGGGAACGTTCTGCAAAAATAAATGCAAGTTATTTCATGGACGTGACGAGTTTTTGACGAAGGTGAAAGAGAAGGTAACAAGAGATCGAGTCGCGGTCCTTTTTGGAGAGTCGGGGTGTGGAAAAACATCCTTGATGGCAAAGATTGCCACCGAAGTCAAAAAATGGGTGAATGAAGATTCAACTACTGTTATTTTTCGTTTCATTGGGACCACTCCGGATTCTTCAGACGCTCGATCCTTGATGCGCAGTATCTGTCAACAGATTGTTAGGATAGATGCGTCAGAGGACTCAGAAGAAGAGAAAGTTCCACAGGTAAGGGAGATCCAAGCACCTTTACAGCATTATTGCTTCAATAATTGGAGTTTTAAGTTAAAGAAAACTAACAGGAGAGGTGCATTAGAAGTGTTCAGGTGTTCAGAGGTCTAACACTTAACGATGAAATCCTGTTCTGTTTTCAGCTTTCATTTGAAAGCATTTCATAGTTCACATGTTAAATAAGACAGAAACATTTTTGAACTTTTGCAGCCTAAATAACTTAGGAAGAAATTGCAAGTTGTAAACCAGTTTATAGAAACATTCCACTGGGCTTTTTCTATTGGCATTCCATAAAGTGATCACTCTCTTTTAACAGGATATTCGATCACTGCTCGAGTTTTTCCCGAAATGTCTGGACAAACATTCATCATCTTCTACACCCATAGTGCTGGTCCTTGACTCGCTGGATCAAATGTCAGATGACGACGCTGGCAGAGAGTTGGACTGGGTTCCCAGGGAACTCCCAGATAATGTCTATCTGATCTTGTCAACACTTCCAGGGGAGGAATACATCTGCTTGCCCAAACTGCAGGTACCCTATTGAAATCAAAATCAGCTATGGTCCCTGTTTCATCATAATTTGTCTTATCTGTTTTAAACCTTTAATGTCATTGAACAGAGTTTGTGTCTTCAGTGAAGGTCAATATTTGATCATGATTAACTGAAATGAAACCTCTTGTCATGGTTTTGCTTCTGCGGTAGAACATGCATCTCTGGGACTTTAAATTGATCAAACCACATAAAAATTTTATAACCCAGCTATTATATATAAGAGCGAAACACCACTTAATCCTCTGCCGGGTATCTACTTAAAAAATTACAATGGGCACCCCCATCCCAGGGCAAAAGCGTTATTGGCCTTGGTTTTGTATCTTAAAACTATTCATCTCACCCTATACGTCAGATATTTTTCCGTGAGGTACGACAAAACCTACGGACATGATATAACACAATGTATATTTTTTCAAACAGGAAAAATTCGACGAAGCAAACCTTCTAGAAGTTCCTGAGATGCCAGTTGAAACTGCAAAACAAATTCTTGCCAGTTGGTTGAAATCCTCGCAACGCTGTCTACAAACTGAACAAGAGAACATTGTTTTAGAAGCCTTCAAAAAGTGCCCATTACCATTATATCTTAAGCTATCGTTTGACGAAGCATGCCGTTGGAAGTCATACACTCCTCCAAGCGATATGAAGCTTGCTCCAACCATCAAAGGGATCATTCACAACTTGTTTGACCGAGTAGAGCGTCTCCATGGTAAAGTGCTTGTTAGCCAGGCTTTAGCCTACGTCACTGCATCCAGAAATGGCTTAACAGAACCCGAGCTGGAAGACATCTTATCTCTAGATGACGTGGTTCTCAATGACGTATATCAGTACTGGACACCACCCATTCGTCGATTACCACCCCTGTTATGGATACGAATTCGGGCCGATATTGGAGACTATCTCATAGATCGCGGTGCTGACGGCGCTCAAGTCATATATTGGTATCATCGCCAGTTCATTGAAGTTGCCCGCGAGCGTTATCTTGGAACCAAGCAGGCAGTCGGTATTCATTCCACCATGAGTGAATACTTCCTTGGAAAATGGTCAAATGGTGTGAAGAAATCCTTTGTGGACAAAAAAGGGAAGAAAATGTCCATGGACCGCTTGGTGCCCAAGCAACCTCTTATGTTCGACTCGGACGATGACAAGCCAGTTTTCAATCTTCGCATGCTGAGCGAACTCCCTCATCACCTGCTGCATTCCAATCAACTGCAGACCCTCAAGCAAGAGGGTCTTCTCAACTTTGAATTCCTGCTTACGAAAGTCCGAGCGATGTCAGTAGAAGCTCTACTCCAAGACTTCAACGCAGCTCTTTCTCTTCATCCTGACGATAAAGAGTTCGACCTTCTCAGCAAGTGTCTCGCCCTGTCTACACACCCATTACGTGAAGATCCTCGTCAGCTACCAGTCCAGCTGATAGGACGTTTATTCAAGTATCTGAACAAAGAAGGTTATCCTTACTTGAAGAAGGTTTTGGAAGCTGCACAAAATCCGTCCGTTCCCGCTTTTATTCCAAACCAGCAATGCCTTACGCCTGCTGGTGGATCTCTTGTCCAGTCACTCTCCAACGAAGAGTTCCACGGTGGAATTGAGTACGTGAACTTTACCAGTGATTCGAAAACAATCGTAACATGCAATCGTGGTTCAGAAGGCCTCTGCTTACTATATCTCGATATAAGAAGCGGAAGGAGGCAACGAAAAGTTTGCTTTGATGAATCTGGAACGGATGTCAATAGCTGCTGGAGGGCGATTATCAGCCCATTGAACGACGACATCTTCCTTGCATGTGGTTCCTCCGCAAATATGTATCTCGTAAACGCCAGAACAAACAAAATATTGCAGGAGTACCAGCCGATGAAGGATAAACGCAACTGGTTTAGAGGCTTTCCTTCCGTTGCCTTTGCAAGCGATGGAGAACTGCTTGTTGCTCTTGGCGACGCAAGCGTACGTGTCTGGGAGACCGAAAGTGGTAAACTCCTCCATGACATAACAGTCCCTGATGTCAATGTCGAAGAGGAATTTGGTTCCTTGGACGCCCAAGGAGAGTTAGCTGTTTATTGTCTTTACGGGAAGAAGACTGTCCATGTTGTAAATGTAAAGACTGGAAAGGAAGTTCGCGAGGTAAGTTGACATTTAAAATATGAAGAAGTGATCGTCGCAGTGGTAATTGCAATTTAAGCAATTGCAAATTAACCCGAAAAAATTTTCGGGACTTCAACGGAACTCGAACTCACGGCTTGTGCGTTAGCGCTGCAGTGCTCTACCAACTGAGCTATGAAGACCCATACATTGGGAGCAAGCCAATTTGTTGAGTTCATCTTGACCCATGAGAGGAATGAAACATAGAATGAGAATGATGTGAACCGCTACCAATGTATGGGTCTTAAGTTAACATTGTCCAAGATTTCTGGGCCCTTTAAGTGTTTGTTTATGCTTTACCCTGCAGAAGACATGCTAAAAAATCAATTTTATGTCCAAGTTACAAGGCTGAACAGATGTTCATAACTGGAGGAAAAGCACATTTAACTGCAAATCGTAACATAATAGTGATCTAACAAGTATATTCGGCTTCCCCTTTTTCTGTGATATTTCCTATTGTTTTAAAAGAACTCTCATTAAAAAAAGGATGTCTCTATAGCTGGCAAGTGTCCCGACCACCCTTATCTGAATTTTCTGGATCCACTCCTGCCATCTATGCATAAACTTGATCCTGAAGTATTGGAATGGTCTCACAATTTCAATATTTCATTGTTGTTTCTTACGTATCTTCGTTATTTCTTTTCTGTGAAATGACCAGATAAATATTGACGTGGCAAAGGAAAAAATCCTTGAAAAATGGGAAGAAAGAAACGTTAAAGAGATTCACCTGACATCAAGGTACCACTTGCTGGCAGTATCTGAGGCATCGCTTCAGCCACAACTAAAAATTTACAACCCTGCTAATGGCCAACACGTATCGGACCTTCCAGACTTTGGAATCTCCTACAACAATCGTCTTGTTGTCACTGAGGACGGAAGGTCTGTGATCGCGATCAGAAGTAATCATGAATTGGTGAGATGGGATCTGGACAATGGTGAATCCACCGTGGTTGCTAGGTTACAGCCTGCCTTTGGCATTTTCGGTCGTAAGGGAGATTTCGTAGCAACTGCTGGTTCAGATGGCGTACTCCGAGTTTATGATGCCAGAGAAAGTGTTGATGAAGACGTGACGGACGTGGCGGCGGTTACTGGCGGCTTTGCTGATTCAATATGGATGCTAAGTGCGGCAGCGGACAATCGCCATGTGATCGCAAACTGTACTGTAAAAATGATGCCAGAGATTGCTGTGTGGGATGCAATCGCCGGGGTCAAAGTCCGTGCCATTAAAGCGTATAACTTACCGCAGCCATTGCGCATGTTAAATGACAAGGTTGGAGTTGGTAGGATCGCTGTGGGGGTGCCCACGAAAGATAGCTTTGATCATTACAAGGTACTTAACTTTGACGAGGGTAAAACTCTCCGTGTCTTACAAGGGAAATCAAGCAAGAGAATGGAAGCAATTGGGTTTATTGACGACAAAAGTTTCATTGGTCTGTCGCGCGGAAGAAGAAACTTGAAGGTGTGGGACGTCACGACTGGAAAGGTAAATTCAATAGAGTACTAAAGTGATGACGTCATAAAAATAAAATTTCTGAAATTATGGGATTTGTCAGGATATTCTAAAAGAACAATGTCCACGAGGCCTACTTACCAAAAATGAGCATTTCGGGGCAAATTGTCTCTGAGATCGTAGCCCAGTTATGCTTAGAAAACTCTACACAAACTCTTATAAATTTTTTTGGGTCGACCCAAAAAAAATTAGAAGGGTTTGTATCGAGTTTTCTGAGTATAACCGGCTAACATCTCAGAGACAATTTGCCCCGAAATGCTCATTTTTGGTAAGTAGGCCTCTTGGACCTTGTTCTTTCAGAATATCCTGACAAATCCCATAATTTCAGAAATTTCAATTTTATGACGTCATGACTTTAGTACTCTATGTCTGTATAATATGCCTGTGAAGTGTAAAGTGCAAATCCTTCAAAGGCATCGCCACAAACTTCTTAGGATTCCAAACGCTCGTTTATAGATCATAGCGAGGTATTAGCCATACCAATGATTTTCTAGTCTTTGAAAGCCTCCCGACCTCTAAGACACTCACGGATATAATCAAAATACGTGTTTTCAAGTTACAATGAAGGGAAGTGTAGGAACCACATGGCAACATGGAAAGATAGTCATTTTTTAATAATATTGTACTTCTTTTACATCCCCAAAATTGTTTAAATTCGTGACCGTTGACAGCTTGAAACCATACTTGAGCAGAAATGAGAATCTCCTTTCGTGGCCCCCTGTGAAGCTTTATCCGACATAAGGAAGCTGATGAGACGAACACAACTAAAAAATAGAACCTGAACCTCAAAACAGTGCATCAGTTGGAAAACTTGTGGCGGTGTAGAGGAGTTTTGCAACAAACAGGAAAATAATCAATATGTCTTTTTAAATAATATTATTTTTACAGTAGCTTCCTGCTTTTAATTCTTTTCGCTCTTCCCTTCTTGCTTTTTCTACGCACCCGAAGATCCACTTTTTCGGTGGTCATTACGAATTCTAAGCGTCTAGTTGACTCAATACAATCTTAGCAAGTCCCAAACAAAAGAAAAATATATTTGGCAAACCGCAACACAGAAATTCTCGACCAGGAAACGGCAAAAAGTAACCCACATATACTCCATTGGTGGCAACTGAGGGAAAAGACCGCGCTCGACTCTACCAAGCCTAAATTGTTTTAACTACAGTCAAATTCCTTTATCACTTGTTATTGTAACTTATCGGCAGCAGATGTTCGTTTGGTTATTGTAGTTTGCTCGGTTGCAGGAGGAAGAACTTTGAGAGCCTCTTTAACCAACGTCAAACTAAACATGGCGTCCAAACAGTTAATTTATTGACTATACTCCTAAAGGTATCTTCTGTGTAACTGGGTGAATATTTCTCTTACTTGGCCTTGAAATTATTAGTAGTATCACAAGAAAAAATAAAAGATTCCCAATATTGGATATTTTAGGGCATTTAAAGAATACCCATAAAAATCACAAATTTGGAAGAGTGACACAAGTTCCAACCAGGGAACTTGGTTGGGAATTCCCTGGTTGGGACTTGTCTCACTTTGCCAAATTTTGGATTTTTTGGGTATTCTTCAAAGACCCTAAAATATCCAATATTGGGAATCTGTTAATTTTTCCTGTGTATAAGGCGCACTCGTTAGGCCTGTTTGGGCGTGCAATCACATTCACTTGCGGTGGAAACATTAGCGCTGCCGGATGACGTCAAACCGGTTAAACCACTCAAAAATAGCACTTAATGAGATTCCTCTGCATTTTATCCAAAAGATAAGGACAAAAGACTATGAAGTCATTAAATCTTGTCAAACGAGTTAAATCACCTAAAAATAGCATATGACCTTATTTTAATGAGAATCCTCAAAAGGCTATGATTTCATTGGCGTTAATGTATTCCACCGCAAGTTTATGAGATTCCACGGTGGAAAAGGCCTAACCAGCTCCTATACTACTATAATTATTCTAGGTTTTAGAAGTTTTCCTTTTTAGCTCAAAAGACTGAGGCCAATAAACAGAAAAAAGTAAACATTACCAAACTTCATCTCTCATGTTACCACATCTTTCCCAAGCTTACTTTCTCTCTGCCAACAGGTCGTTAAACAGTATAAACTTCGTCAAAAGCATCGCATTGAAGCTATTCTGATAAGCGAGGATGGCAGTACTGTGATTTGTTCCCAGGCCAGTTTCTATGTCCAGCATGAAGAATCTACAGTTCCCCTGCTGGCCTTTAATACCAAGACCGGTGTACACAGGCAGCTGGAACCCGCTGAAGACGAGCAGCTGAATTTGGATGGTGCCGCGATCACTGAAGATGGGAAATACTTTCTCCAGCAGCTGCAAAACGCAGGGAAAAGCGCTCTGTGGGACACAACAACGGGTCGCATCGTATACTTCTTAGATGATGCTAACTGGGGAAGAAGCATGGTTGCGATGTCATCGAAGAGCATGCGAGCGGTAACGAGCAACTCCGATGGCAATGGTGTGCAGGTGTGGGACGTAAAGAGTGGTAAGCTGCTCTATGAATTCCCCTCGGGAGAAATCACCAAAATTTACATGATCCATGACGGCACCATTGCAATTACCGTAGATACCAAAGGCTACCAACCAAGTTCGTTTGAAGCGTGGGACCTGATCAATGGGAAAAAGCTGACAACTTACACCGTTGACACAAACCCGTTTGCAATTTGTCAGCTGGGTGACGATATTGCTTTCGCAGCAGTAGCCAGCGTCACAGTAATGTCCCTCAGGCTGCATCTTCCTGGAAAAAAGAGGACCAACCTGGGGCCATCGTCTTATGGTTCTTATAAAGAGCTGAGTGAGTTTAAAGGAATGTTGGATGTCTGTGATCCTGATGATGTTGATGAAGATAAAGACGATGATGATTCAGGTGTCATGCAGTGATCATGAAACCGCTTCAAATGCTGTTTGCAACTTAAACAAAATCAAGGACCTCCAGGAGTTTCCTTTCTGGAATCTTTGTGTTGGAATGAATAGAACAAACTACGGCACTGTAGCCCTCGCCATCAACCGGTGTTAAACTTCAGCCTTTATAATGAACGACAACACTCTTGTATACTCGAAACCTATAAGGGCTTTTTGAGATTCTGTAGCTTAACAAATATGTGGAATGAATCTCCCACTCGTTTGTATGATAAATGTAGAGAAATAAGCATCGGCTGGACTTTCCGCTACCTACAGGAAGTAGGGTGATCAACTGGAAAGTATAAGATTATCTAAGTCAACAAATAGGCCCTGATAATAATAATGATAATAATGATAATAATAGTCTTTACTGCCAAAAGATAAAAGTACATATCTTTTGTTACATTCTAGTTGCCTATATACTCAATAAAAATCTAACCTAAAAGTGAAACTAGTTAAACTACAAATGGATGAAAACTACGTAAACTACAAATGGATGATAAAATGGTTTTCACAGTTTACTCTAGGATAATATAAATCAGAGCGTTTGGGTCTAGAATAGGGTATCATTTTTCAGGAAACTGATCTTGGTTGTTTTAAAACCCGGAAACAGATTTACTCTAGTCATAAACTAGCTCTGTTAAGGGTTCGGGTCCCATTAACCCCACCCAGAAATTTCTAAAGGGCATCTTGTGTTTTAAAACCCAGAAGATGTCATGTCTTTTACGGGGAGATTATTTTACGCAGATTATATTTATTCTCCTTTGTTGGTGGTTAATATGAGCTTAGCGAATGGTTAATACAGAGGTAATAGCCTTTCTTGGTTATCTCACAGAGGGCCTCCCAATTTCCCTAGCTCCACAGGGGCGGATCCAGGATTTTTCTCACCCACCACATTTTAAAAAAAAGCGAATAAATAAGAAGAGGGCTTTTGACTAGAAATGTGTGAACTGCTGAGAATACATATCAAACGATAAAGACTTTGGTCTGTCAAGGGATCAGTGTTAATTAACGTTGGTCTCATCCGGGGGTGCCTCCCAACTTCCCTAGATCCGCCCCTGCTCCACCCTCATTACCCGGGCCTCCTCCCATCTGGTCCACCCTTAGTAAAGTCGAGGATATGAAACAGGTGCCAGTTGTTCTAAAGGTGGATAGCACTATACACTGAATAGCGCAATTGGTTTCTCTAATACTTATCCAATAGATAGCGCTATCCATCTTTTGAACAACCGGGGCCAGGTCTTTATGTTGCTAACGTAACTGCTTAGGCTATCTTTGGGATCTGTTAACTGTTCAAAATACGCTTCTGTCACGGTTAAACTGTTGAGGAATTAAGTAACGCTGAATGACGTGCATGGAAAGTTATAATCCCAAAATAACTTTCTAGTGTTAATGTAAGTTTAGACGATTTGTCTATCACTCTTGACTGAATCACCTTTTTCACTTGATAAATCCTAGTTATAACAAGTGAATGTTTTTTGTAGAAGCTCTTTTTCTTTCATTTGTCCAAATAGATGCATCTAACAATATTCTTCTTGATTCACAATAGCTAACCAAGGGGGGGGGGGAGGGGGGAAGGGGGCCAAGAGGGTTGGGACTTCTTCAAATCCACCCATCAGGCGCCTTTTATCTCAATTAACCGCAAGAGGATAGGAGTTGAATTGGAGTGTTTCTTTGGGATGATCTGGATCAGGATCTGTGATCCGTTATCTCGGATTACGGTAAATCAAATGAAACAATGAATCCTTACCTAGGGTGGCCGGATTTATCGGTTCCTTTAATTTTCTATGATCCGAGAGAAGTAGGATCACTAATCCTGATCTGGATCGTCTTAATGGAACGCACCCCACCCCCGTTGGTTAGTTTCCCAAACCTTGTACAGTTGCGTCATTGAAAAGCTGACTTCTCAAGCGCTTACCCTTCATCAGAGCAAACAAAGAGATTGTGGGTTGTAGTATTGCTTATAGGCCGAATGCTTATACAGCTATGCTATTGACGGCAACATGGAAATGTGACCAACAAGAGTGATAAGAATGAATTATGGTAGGTTCCGTTTTAATATCGTCTGTGTGATGATAGTCAAAATGTTATTGACCTCGACATCTCGACCACTCACTGTTGGCCTTCATAACAGTAATGCTACGGCGGTGTCACTAAGCGTCAGAATACAGTTAGGGACTTTAAGGGCACTTACCAAATTCAGAACAGACAGAACTGGCTGGCCGGACCTGACATTTCAAAAATAACTTTAGGTATTTTCTCGAAATATTCCCTAAAACCCACAACTGAGGTGCATAACATTTAAGAATATACTGACCTGGCTAAATAGTCGTGACTAAGTAAGAGTAAACTTCTCTTTAAATTTGATTCTAACAAATTAAAAGCGCCCTACGATACTAATAGACCTTTTTGGCTCGTAGGTTCAGACCACTTGATGTCATTAGTTATGCACGCATATATATGCACGTGAATTGTGCAACATATAAAAGAAAACGCTCTCAGTGCATGGGCTGCAATGGCAGAACAAAATATACAAACTAAAAGAGTCTATTGAAGACTCGACGGCAGTGACTAAAACACAGAGTCTTCTATTGAAGACTCGACGGCAGTGACGAAGACGCACATTTCAGAGGCAGAGGGGTAAAAAAATTGTGGATCATGATTCTAAAAAAGTCGAACAAGGAAAGAAATATCTCTTAAAAAACAGGGGCTGGACCATTGGAACGGATCAGGGAAATTAAAATTTTTTTAGAACACCCCGGGGTCCCACCCAAAAGCGACTTGTCTTTGTCGCACCTCGCGCTTTCTTTAGCCGTCTCGTTGCCATGAATAATATCTTTCAAGAATAAATTACCCATCCATAGCTGTCTGATCAGCCTTGCTTGTAATTTAAATTAGTTTTGTGATGGTGTCTTCATGGATAATAGAAAGTCTTTCTATTATCCATGGTGTCTTTGATCGATTTGAAAGATAAATTCTTTGTTGCCTGTTTTTGCTACCAGGCCTTCCGGGGTAACTTGAAGCGTGGCTACCAAGCCACCCAGACAACAACAAGATCTTGTACATGCCGCGAAAAAATGTCGAATTTCAGCGGCGAAGGAAGCGTGTCTATCGACCAGGATTTTTTCGATAGTGGGTATAGTTATGGAGAACAGAAGGATCCGCAGTATGGTGGGTACAATTATGGCCAACAGTATCCAGATTACGGACAGACTACGCAACAATATCCCGCCTATAGTTACCCTTCAGAAAACACGCAAGGTTTTTATGATCCGTCAAGTTCATACGGATATGGTGGAAATTATCCCTACGATTACGGTGCTTCAGGTCCTACAACTCTGGGTTCGGGTATTGGAGGGGGTTATGGTGTGCAAGGATCCATGAAACCTCGACAAACAAGCGAAGACTACACAAGTTTTGAGGATGAACCTCCGCTGTTGGAAGGTACGTAACAACGTGGCATGCAGGGGTCCTAGCGGAAATTGCCCCCTACATTGCTGTCGTTCACTTGTATGGCTTTACTAGGTGTTTTAGAAACTTAGTTTGCTAAAGTTTATTCTTGGAATTGATTGACATCGACGAATGAAATATTTCTCCCCTTTCTTGCAGAATTAGGTATCAATTTTGAGCACATTTGGCTTAAGGTAAGGTTATATTGGGCTTTGGAGAGTGGTTTCACGTTTGAGAACACATCTTTCATACAGAGATGCCAACCTCGAGAGACCTAAAATCGGGAGACTGTCTTTTTACACTACCCCCCCTGGAATTTCAAATTGACCCCATTCAAAAAATCCTAGTTTAAAAATGTAGCCCCAATGGGAATGACTTAGGACATTATATGACATCTTACATGATGTACATACTATCAAAATTCTAAATCATTGTTTTGATGCTAGAAATAATCTCTGTCAATGACTAATTCCAGCTGTGGTTCTTGCCCCAAGAAACCGTCCCGCCATTTTTGTTTTCATAACCAAAAAACTCAAGTTTTGAGCTTAAAATGGGCTAAATCTCAAACTAACTCCGTTTTATTTTTTTACTAAGTATTCAATATTATAGTGGACACAAAAACTGGTTATTTATGTATTATGCAGGAGAGCCAATCAGAATTGGGGAAAAAAGCGTAAGTCTCCCGCCAAAAGCGGGAGAGTTGGCATCACTGTTCGTATAAACTTACATGTACCTACCCTTCTTAATTGTATAATCATGTTATTGATGTTTGAAACTTTTTAGAGAGATGGTGGACAAAACACTGACCCCCTAGCTGTCCAAGGACTATCCCCATGGGTTACCCATATGGACTACCCTAAGATAGACTAAGCTGATGAAGTTTACCAAAGGAAACGGAATGAATCAGGTTCCATTCAGGGTCATTAGACTGGCAAAACTGACCTTAAACGTCATTCACTCTGTTTCAATTTCCTAAACCTAATCACTAAACTTCAGCGGCATAGTCCATTTATTTGAGGGTAGTCCATGGACTTGTGATCAGTGTTTTGTCCACCGCCGCCAAATAAGGAAGTGCTCCCTTCCGCGGTAGATATAGCATTTGCTGACATGTACATCTAATCAATGTCGTGAGTACAATTCAGTGATTTTGTAATCTAATTATCTTGTTTTAGACATTGTCTGTTTTAAATCCACTGCAACACACAGAAGCGTCCATTATGGATGATACTGATCTAGCTGGACCATTGGTGTTTTGTTTGGCATTTGGTGGATTTCTTCTACTGGTTAGAGAGAGCAATTCTTTTGCATGATAACATATATGTTTGAAATGTAATTTAACGTCTGTTAGTAACGTCTGCAATGCAGTGCCAATATCCTTGTTCTGGGCCCTCAACAGACTCAATAAACTATATTACTGGAAATGTGTTTGGAATTTCCTTTCATTTTGATTGGCAAATAGACAGTGGCTTTCAAAAAAATCCAGTCATGGCACACACTCATATTCAAGTACACAGGTGGGGCCCAGAACGATGTTGCTTTGCAGAAGGACTTTACCAGGGGTTTAGTTTCATCTGTGAGTCAGGCTACATACTTCCTGACCTGAAGATATTTTACACTTCTTAGAGTAAAGGCAAAAATTAAAAATACCCACGCCACTACTGGAACAGTAGTTTACTTGATACCATGAAATATCATGAAAAAATCATACAGCCAAGAATTGCAAGAGGTTTGGCACTTAAAGGAGCAATGTCATAAGGATATTGCTGTTTCATGTCAATTCTGGACTGAAGTCATTACTTAGAACCTTTGCCTAGATACACAACCTGTTCCTGTTGAGTTATGAAGAAGATATAGAGGTTAAAGATATTGGGGTCCCATTGTATTTAGAGAATTAACACAAAGTGTATAGGCCTTCTTATTGCTAAGCCATGGGATAATACCTCATTCATATTCCCCTCCTGACACAGGTAATGAGGAGAACCTAAAAATGCTTAATTATTATGCTGGGGGTGCTTTGAAGGGCAGTGGTGTCTTTTTTTCGTTGGGTATTTCTGATTTAGTCCTTGATGAAAAATTGACATTACTTTTTTTTTTTCAGTCAGGAAAGGTTCATGGTTTTGGCTACATATATGGAGTTGGTCTTTTAGGTTGCCTTTCCATGTATGCTATATTAAATCTCATGAGTATGACAGGAGTTTCTGTTGGCTGTGTGATTAGTGTCCTTGGATACTGTCTTTTACCCATGGTTATATTGGCAGGCATATCTATCCTCCTTTCATTACAGTAAGTTACCACAACATCACTTTACTTTTTATTGGAAAATTATTACACTACTGGTATTGGTCTTAGTATTCTGTGGCATTTTCACTGGTCGCACAATGCTTGCACTGGGGAACACTACTTTTAGGAAATTTTAGTGGCCTAGATGTAATTTGGGGGGTGGTTACTTTTGGAATTAGTTTAAAGGAGAATGAACAGGAATTTTTGGGTTGTTCCAAGTTAACATTTTTAAGAGCAACAGAACATCAGGAAATGTATTCCAGTTTTTCTGAGCTGAATGTTCCTAAAAGGAGATTCATAATTCAATTTCTCTTAATTCACCTTTGACACTAGTTTCAGGCTGTTGCAACCAATTTTCAGTAAATGGGATTGATCTGTGCAAATGGCAAATGTGATTCGACAAAGGAATTTTTTCGATGCCTTCAAATTTTGTTTACCCTTTGCCCTAACCATGAACTGACCGCTTTGTCCATTCAAATATTTTTGTAAACAACCACGATTATCTTTTAGTTGTTTCTTCTTTTTCATTAATTCTGAAAGTGAACTGTAAACTCATGTAAATTTCTGTCATTGTTGATATTGTTGGCAATTATTGAAGTTCATGCAGTTGTCCATCTGTAATTGCTTCTGGTGCAGAAATAGACCAGAAAATATAAGGGAAAAAGGGGGTCACTTAGATCCCTATTCCACTCGCTTCTTCATTATGCAAAAATATTTGTACGCTGATCAATCAATCAGACCTGTCAACCTGAAATTACGGAAAACCTGGAGGAGATGGCTCAAAAACGTGAAAATTCTGATGGAATATTACTGTCATCTATTGCCCAGTAAAAGATTTTTTTTAATAGAGGAAAGTGTTCCTAGTGTCTACAACCATTTTTCTGTTAAAGAGAACACTTGGTATACATCAAACTCTCAGTTTATTTTCCATTTTTCAGTACCGAGTATGTATTTTGGAATTAATAATCAATTAATTTTATCATTCTTTTTATTTATTTTAATTCAAATGCTGACCATGTCAGTTTGGTAAGAAATCTTCCCAAATCACCGTGACACCGGGGGATTCACCTCAAAACCAGGAGTCCCCCAGAAGACCAAGGGGCTTGGTACGTCTGGTCTCTGACCATTTCTGTTTGTTTAACAGGGGGATTATTGGGACATTACTGACAGCCACAACTATTGGATGGTGCAGCCTATCAGCTTCAAAGCTCTTTGTGACAGTATTGGCCATGGATGCCCAACAACTTCTTGTTGCTTATCCCTGTGCTCTCTTATATGGCGTTTTCGCCCTTCTCACTGTTTTCTAGCAGCATTCACTCTTCTTGTTGACAGTGAAATTCACTTAATAAATTAATTTATAAGAAGTGTTAAATGCATGAATGTTAAAAAAAAAAACATTATTGGTGACCTTTAGATTTGCGATCCTGGGATCAATGTAATAAAATTTTTAAAGGCATAATTTACAAGACAGTGTATTTTAGTCAATACAATTGTTTTAGGCAGAGTCTGAAAACAAATTACAGGAAAGCCAGGTCAAGTGTATGCCTAAAGATTCCATCAAAGAATTTATCATCCAGCAGTAGTTGCTGCAACTAGTGTTAAATTCCAATCTGGACTCCTGCATGCCTAATGAGCGGTGAATTTTCTATAATAATTTCTCTGTATTCAGTCAGATTGAAGCATCTTTGAATGGACAAACTTGCTTCGAAGAGATGTACATCAAATTGAAGACCACTGAGGTGGTAAAAAGTTCATAACTACCTTGTGTGTGAACTCACCACTCAAAACGCATGCAGGAATGCAGAGATGATTCTGAAATCTACAAGTTCCAACAGATACAACTTTTGAATAATAAATTCATTTTAATTATTTATAAATAATGGAATCTTAGGGGGTACACTTGACTTTAGTACACTGAAAATTTACACTTGTAAAAGTACTGTACTTGCAGTTTAATCAAAGGGTCCCTACTGAACTGAAGGCAGTGACATTGCTTACATTACAAGTGAAAGGTTGAAATATAACTGGCGATATTCAAGACTGTCAGAGATAAAATCTGGCACTCTTATGAGTTCGTTTAAGCATAGATTGGTTACGTATCAGACTCACACTGTAAATTAAATATATTTATGTGCAGCTAAGAAGGGTAGACAATTATTTGTAGATTCTTTCAGAGGTTTATTGAATGGTTTGAACAATAATAATCATAAATCCAGTGTTTGCTGGAAGTTTGCAAACGTTATATGGAGAAATCTTTTATGGTGATTGTGATTGAAAATAAAGGAATTATATTTGTGTGAAATAAATTTTATTCACCTTTTTGTGGTTTTCGTAAGAAAATCAGAATCAGTGTTTCGCGATATCTGCTATAATTTTTCTATCTACCTTAACATACAATAGCCTGTGTTGCAGATGTCCAGATGCAATTTAATCCTGGTTAGTTAAGTCTGAGAAGCAGTGCTGATATCCTTGTTAAGGGCCCCTAGCTAATGGACCCAACAAATTAATGGAAGAACATTTCAAATTTCCTTTTAACCTGATTGGCAAATCAACAATGGCTTTTTTTACCAGGCCAATCATGGCGCATGCTCAAAACCTGGTACACAGGCGGAGGCCTAGGACAAGGATTTCAGTGCTGTTTCACAGATGGACTTAACCAGAGGTTTTTATTTTAGTTTCATCTCATTTTGTGACACAGGCCAACAAGCAACAGCCAACTTTTTAAAAACTGATTCATGGTCAGCCAGCACCCAGCAAATGACTCTTCACCTTGGTCTAGACTCTTAAACATTTTTTTTTTCATTTTTAAATGGGATGTCATTTCCTCCCTCCCTCACCTTCTTCCAGCTCCGCATGTTTGGTTGAGAGTTTACGTGGTAGACTGTGTTTCTTGCCTACGGTAACAGATGCGGAGACCAAAATTAATATGACCTGAATTTAAACCTGGACAAGCTGACTAAGGCCAGGTTCACACTATATATACTTGATAGCTTTTGTGCCGACACGAAAACTTATCAAGACAGTATAAATGGCAACGGCCTGAAGTGGCACAAGTCATTCACACTTGTATCAAACATGGTGCTGATGCGGTTGGCCGAGAGGGTTTGGTGCACTAATTTCCTGTCCTCACTCCTGAATATTTACTTTCATCCCAGTGCGTTCTAGTCCTTGCCCCTACTTATTTACTTCCGCAACGGTCTGAATAGGTGTTTACACTGCACCAAAGTATGGCACAAAACGTATCTGATAGGTGATTCTCAACTTTCAAGATTGGCGTGGCATAGCCTCCCACGCAGACGCGTTAACGCGTGACGAACCCCTGAGAACGTCTGCGTGGGAGGCTAGGCGCCGCACTGCTTCACAACCCTTACAGAAATTACACCAAAATTACCCTTCTTGTGAGTGAACAGAAGTCTTATTCTGTATGATTTCCATGGTGTAAACATAGCCTAACAGGGGCGGATCCAGGATATTTTTTAGGAGCGGGTGCACTCGTCTCTTGCTCTACTTCAACACCAATAAACCACATAGTTTTTTTTTTTTGCAGAATACCAGTTGTATTAGAAAACCGCAGGTCATCTCGGGGGGGGCGCACCCCCCTGCACCCTCCCCCTAGATCCGCCCCTGCCTAATACTGATCGATGAATCACTTGCAACCTCATTGAGGCAATAGGAACTCCCTTCTTTCGGCAGAAATGAATGTTTTCATATTTTTACCTGTTGTCCACCTGCCCAACTTAAAGACAGAGAAAATGAGCCCTTTGAGAGATTTTTAGTTTGCTGTTGTACTTCTTAATAGACCTACATGTCAGGGGCGGATCCAGGATTTTTCTTAGGAGGGGGTGCACCACTAACTGACCGATGACGTAAAAAATTTTAAAAGCGAATACGAAGAAGAGGGCTTTTGACTAGGAAATAACATAATGTGAACTGCTGAGAATACATATCAAACGATAGAACAGATTTTGTATGTCTGTCAAGCGACTAATCAGTGTTAATTAGAAAGCGGCCGCAGGTCATTCCAGGGGGGGGGGGGTGCGCACCCCCTGCACCCTCCCCCTGGATCCGCCCCTGCATGTGATTAACACAAGGGATCAACGGCAAATTAAAAATCTCTTAAAATACTCACTGCTTTCATCCAACTGGATGGCAAGAATAAGATCATGTTTTAAACAAAATGCATTTTTCACAGTTTCCATGATGGGGTCTTTAGAAAGAATAAAACAACAAATTCATTTCACAACTACATCTTCCCTTCATTCCGATTTTACTAATTTCTCTCTATATATAAGTGAATATACAAGTATTTTTAAAATTACCCGATACAGTGAAACCCCTATTAAGAGGACACCTTGGGTTGCAAAATGTTTGTTAACAATTAACACTCAACGGTTACTCTGTACAGTGATAAAGTTCCATTTTGTTAAGGAAGCTGAGGAAGCTGTGCTGTACTTTGTCCAAGACTTTTAGGTGAACTTTGATCGCAGATGACAATTATACGGCCGGATATCGTTCTAATCTACAGTTAATTGACAGCTATTGCTAAAGTTGATTTATCTTTATTAATAGACTACAGGACGTATTTCAAGGAGGTGATCCAATACTGCCGATTGTCAATTCAGTGCGGTGTTTTTAACAATAGACATTCATTCACCAAATACAATTTATTTTAGTGTAGGCATCAGCTTAGACAAGGGAAAAATAAGACTTTAATTTCGGGACCCGGCTTAGTGTCCGCTTAATGGAGGCCAGGTGTCCACTTAGTTGGGGGTGTGCTTAATACAGGTTTCACTGTATAACCAAAAGTACATTATTTTCTGTACATGAATTCAAGAGTTAAGGCCAGATTTTCAACCTTGACATTTATGAGTCTGGACTCTTGCAAACTACAAAACTTGACATTTCCTCATAAGAGCATGAATCAGCAATATCGACAAATAAAAACCCTTCAAAAGAAAATGGTATTGCACATAAATATTAAAATCAACTGTATTATTAGTTTACATATTTCTTACACTCTTTTAAAACTATATTTTGTATACATTCAATCAGTTCATCATGCAGTGAAAATATACTGTTTTTCTATACCCTCTGCATACAATTCTTTTTTATTCTGTAAAAACGCCTCTGACTTCTTTATGTAGTTTGTACTGTATACACCTGTGCACAGTAATCGCACATACATGCATAATATACCCCTAACTGCAATAACAGTGTCATATAAAAACGCAAGAACAAAAAAAGCCAAATAACTTGCACATTATGTTTTGATATTTTGATAACTCTGAAAGCACTTTTGCAGAATGATGTAACACATCAGTAGAGTTGAGAGAAGGAAAACTGCCTGACCATATAAATTTTGAGCTTCATTCTTTAGCCAAACCAGATCTCTGAATGTAGTAAGCATGCCTAATTTAGTCCTATATTTAGCTTTTTCTGATTACTTTTTTCGCTTCGCTATGAAAACATTATTGGAAGTAGGTTTAATGTGTCTATAAGGCATCCTAAATGCAAAAAAAGGCTTAATTCCCTCATCCATTCATGGGAGCTAGCTTATTCTGCAGAACTGCTAAAAAATATATATCAAAAGCACCTTTTCCAACGTTCTAAATCTGATTCTAATTCATCACCATTTTCAGCTGTGACCATAAATAATACCTGGCTCTCCATCTTATAATATAATGCAGCTTATGAACATTGTGACCAATCCAATATTTACATATTATAACTGACACCTCTTACTAGATTCCATTGGCAGATCAGAAAAATATTACTGACAATTTGGACAGTTTCCTTCAATGATAATAATTTCAGAAGTCAAGTAAGGCCCTAACGTAAACTAACACTATGTTAGAGATGTGACGAGTTGTACATGTACAGAGATCCTTGAGGAAATGAAAAAAAAAAGTTTCAAAGTTTTCATTTAACAATGGGAGGAACCAAACTTTGTAACAAAGCATGAACATAGAAAAGTTTTGGAGAAATTGAAATTAATTTTTTTCACCAAAGTTAACTAGGAAATTATTTCCTGGTGTTAAAATGATGCTTGCAATAGCCTGTTATGTTTTTGAGTACAGCTTTGAGTCTGCACTAATAGCAAAACAGCCTTGAAAATCAATTTTTGAACGAGCATTAATATCATTTTGCCATGAAATATTCACCAGCTTGGATCAAACTCTATTGAAACTGAACTGGCAATTTAATATTTTGGAAAACTCAGAATAGCTACACAGTAATTACCTTTGAACATAACTCACTTGATTAAAATACAGAAATTCTTAAAAGGCTATTTTTTACATGTATATTACATCCCAGATGGAAATGAACCTTCTCCTTTCATACAATTGACACAAATTATAGAGCTGCATAATTATTATTTAACAGTTTAATTCAGTTGGCAATCTCTAGGACGGCTGTTGATTATGAGCCCGCTAGAAGTCTCAGAAGGGCATCCCTTGTTCCTATCACAGCTCTGAAATAGAAGAACAAAAGAAAGGCCATTACATCATGACTAAACTCATTAATTGAGTCAATAAGATCAGTTAGGAGTACGTCCTATAGGTGACCATGCAACGGTGCAATAATAGGGAGTTTTTGCAAGCATTACAATGACTTAGGGTGGAAAATTCCAAAACAAAATAGCATCTCAGCAGGGCTCGACTTTCAGAAAAAAATCTTGGGGCAAGCTGCCTCTACGTTTTCATTTTTGGTCGCCAGTAGGTTACAGAGAGTAAATCCTGAATACAAGAGAAGACCTTCTACAAAACAGGCTACATAGCCCCCTGAAATTGTTATAAAATTTATTTTTACGTATTCCATTACCGTTATAAAACTAACGGATAGCTAACGGCTTTTCTAACGCTCCAATGGTTTTCCTAAACGCTCTAATGGTTGATTCTTAGCAACGAATGGTTAGTCCGTCTAACGTTTGACTTTAACTTTACTTTACTTAACGGAATATCGTTGGGGGCCAGCCTGGTGACCAGGCATGAAAAGTTAGTCACCACTGAATAAAATCCAGTTGCATTGGCAACCCCACGGGTTGCAACGTCCAGCCCTGATCTGATGGAAATAACATCATCAAGCACTGCGTCAAGGAGGCCATTACTGTCAAACAAAGAAACCCCTTTCTAAATAGGTACGAGGGAACAATGGGCCTACTGGCAATTTGCAATTCTCTCTTAGCAATAGAAAACAACTTTTCTGTTATGCAACATGACACCAGTGCTGTTAGTGATAAGGCAATACCAGTGTTAAATGACAACAACGTCACTGTTACTTACCCTACTAAACCAATAAATATGATAAATATGTCAATTAACAATTCCCATTTTGTGAGGTGCCTAAATGAAAAGAAAACAGACAGAGTTTCATAACTGAAGCAATATAATTTTTAAGATTTACATGTATATTTCATGCACAGTGCATTTTAATCCAAAATATTATCTTCAGTATAATTTATTATAGAAGACAAAAAGATAGTACTTCATTAATATTAGTGGAATCACTTAAGAAATGAAAACTTCTCCAGCAACGTAAGTTTTAGTGCCATAGTTGTTGTTTATTGCTTAATTCTTAGTTAGGAAACAATATATCATAATGCTGAGGTCATGGTTATTCTAAGGTTGAATAACACTTTCCGTGGGATAAATCACTGTATATAATAATTGAGTGATTTCTTGTGTGCTGATTGGTTGAGAGCTATGGTCAATACAAGTACAGACCATGAAAATAATGTGATGGTGGTACAAAATTCTCTTTTTGCATGCATGACTTTCCCAATGAGGTCAAAGAAAATGGACACAAAAAAATGTAGCCTGTGTACAAACGTCCCCCCTCCATCAGGAAAAATCGGGAGAGGAAACGTCTGTGAATCACCATCGTTAATCGTGTTCCGGTATACATTTGCATAAATTATTTTTTTGTTCTTTCGCTGACAGTTGAAAAGGTACATGAAGGTCGAAAAATAGCTCTAGCATCTGTGCACAGGCTAGACGAACATCTTCACGCAATGTCCACCCAAAAATCCAGATATAAGATCTCTGATTACAGTCAAGCCAGGTCAAGCGTACCTCCCAAGATTCCATTAATGTATTTATTATTCGAAAGTTGAACCGTTGGTAGTTGTAGATTTCAGATTCATCTCTGTGTGGATTCTTGCATGCGTAATGAGCCATGAATTCACACGCAATTCAGTTACGAAATTTCTACCAGCTCAGTTTCCCTGAATTTGATGTAAATATTTAATCCACTCAAAGATTTTTGATCGGACCAAATGCAGAGAAGGTCTCTTAAAATATTCACTGCTTATTGCACATACAGGAATGCTGATTTAAATTTGACACCAGTTACGGGAACGACTAAAGGATTCATTTTTTCAAATAATCAATTCATTAATAGAATTTTTTGGGGGTAAGCTTGACCTGCTTTGGCTGTTAACGTTGGATTTTGTATGCCTTCTCTTTTATTTACAATACCGACCGGTGCAGCAAACATGCCTCTTCGAGAGAGCCGAAATACAAATACCGGTAAACAAATATGAATGTCCACAAAGGCTGAGCTTTTCCCCGGGGAATCTATTCTGAGGTTCATTCACCAATCACAACAACGGAAATTATTTGCGTCATGGCATTAACATTACAACCAATCAGAGGTTGTCCCCAACATTCTGGGGAAACGGGAACACGAGCATCATCGGCGATTCACAGACGTCTCCTCTCCCAATTTTTCCTGAGGGAGAGGGGACATCTGTACACAGGCTAAAAAAAATGTCAACAGCAATGTTACTGAAAAAACAAATCACCAGCTATTATCCATGGTCTATACTCTTAAAACGACTATTGAAATGACATCAAAATGTTCAAAACTTTGCAGCGAAACCATTCACTTGCAGCTCTACCGTTGATAAGAGTATACACCATGGAAAACTGTTGATGGTTTGTTAAAATAGTCATGTGGAAATGTACAGTATAAGCCAAAGGGAAGCCAATATTATTATTGTGCTATATATCCATTGAAAAGAAATGTGTCCATTGGATATTGATGTCCAGCTTTTAAACACCAGGCCCTGGTTGTTCAAATGTTGGATAGCATGAACACTATCCACTGCATAAAAAAATATCTATCTAACAGATAGATCATTGTCGATCAGTGGATCAAGTAACTAGATTTTTTTTCTCTAGTGGCTAGCATTATCCACCTTTTGAACAACTGGGGACAGTGCTGGTGTTTCATCACTCTGCAGTTAGTGGAAAAAATTCGAAGCTCACCCTTCAAAAATACGAAGATGAAAAACTCCAGGTAATATAAATCCTAATAGAGTACAGCAACTGGATCCAAAGAAAGCCATTAATGTGGAAAAGTTGGGAATACACAATACCACAATGCCTGTTAATACCACAATACAGGCTCGTAAAACACTCTGCAAATAAAAACATTATTATCATGTTGTGGTAAAAAGGCAAGAAAAATGTGATTAGAAATCAAAAAATAAAAATTTCAAGTCTTTTTCCTTGGCACCAACACTCATAATGGTGACATGCACTGTTGTCTGTCAGATGAAATCTGAGAATGTGGTCCATGATCCTTAAATATCTAATCATCAATTTAAATTTGATTTCCAAAATTCAGAAAAAAAAACAAAAACTGGTACAGGAAAACTTTGGTAGACAGAGAACGACTTTCACTTGTAGATGTTTATTTTTTATTTTATTTTTATTTTATTTTATTTGCCACACTAATTACAAAAAATATAGGAAAAGAAGAAGAAGAAGAAAAAAAAAGAAGTGGCGAGGAGACCTAACAGAAACTATAGGAGCTTATGAGAGGTTAGGCCTCCTCGAACTATGAGCTAGAGCTGTTTCACATCAATTGAAGAGAAGAAGGCGAAAAGTCGAAGATGGAAAGATTTATAAACTGTTTTCATACTTACTCAATAATTTAATCTTCAGTTTTTTCTTAAAAGAGGAGAGGGATTGAGAGTTGATGATCTTGTTGTCAAGTGAATTAAAAAACTTAGGCCCTTGAAAAAAGGGCGAGAACTTCTTCGTGTTTGTACGACAATACGGTAGACGGTAGGCCTGGGAATTTCTTGTATTGTAAGAGTGGAATTGATTGCTTTGAGAGAAATTGTTATTAAACTTTGGAGGTAAGAATGAATTTTTGCAAGAATACATAAATTGGCCCAGTTGAAGCAAATGGATATCATTAAATTTTAGTATACCGAGGTCCTTAAAGATGGGGTCAGTATGAGCATTAAAATGTGGTAATTTTATTAATAATTCTAATAATGCGCTTTTGCAGGATAACAAGGCGGCGGAGATTAGTTTTATAGGTCGAAGCCCAAACGATATTGCAGTAGTAAAAATAAGGATAAATTAAGGAATAGTAGAGCATACGTAAAGACGATTTAGGAAGAAAGAAGCTGCATCTAGATATTATACCGATTGACTTCGCAACTTTACTTGCAACGTGAGATATTTCCGACTTCCAATTTAGGTTTTCATCCAAAATTACGCCTAGAAAATTTGTCTCCTTTACTTTAACAATATTTTGATTATCTATACTTATTATCTATACTTATATACTTACCACTAAAAGATTTTAAATCAAATTACATGCACATTATCATAATGTGTTGGGCGGGGCCATGAGCTACTAGCTCTATTTATAATAAATTATAACCTGCCAAAGGTTTTACTTTTGTGAGGTTAAAAAAATTAGCTGGCCACATAAAATCTGCAGTCCTGTCACCAGAAGAGGACAAAAAAGGGGCAAAATTAGTGCTTCTAGTTACATGTGTTAGATACACTGACACAAAGTCAGTAAACAATAAAGTTGTTTTGTCATAGTTACTCACTCCTGGATAGTAACTGTTTCTTCCACCATCTGGAAGTAATTTCTTTTCCAATAATAGTGCAACTGGAAACATCATTACTGCAAAAAAATAAAAAAAATAAATAAATATTAAATACCATATACTTCCAATTACATGTATAAGCCCAACTGTAAACAAAAAATGCATCAGGTTATAAGCCCCCTGAATATAAGCCTGCCTCTTGCTTGTATTGAAATGACTTCGTCGGACAATAATAATAATAATAACGCAAATATTTATACAGGATAACCTATCAGTTCTAATAAAAAGAACTGTTATCAAAAGGGTCCTGTAATTATCTCACAAATAGCTAAAAAATAAAAAAAACAAAATCGAAAAAGGAAAATAAAATAAAATAACAGTAAAAAATCTAAGACTTGTTACGGCATTTTGAAGCTTTAAAAAGCGATCATAATTCAAAAAGTATTTTGACCATCACTGTTATGTAGCTTGTTTTGAAACACTTTTTTTAAGCTCCTCTGAATATAAGCCTTCTAAAACCCCTTATTGGAAGTTAACAGTAATAACAAATTTAACAAAAAAATGTAACTTCTTATTGAGTTAAAAGAATTTCATGCAGGTACATAAGCACAGATACAAAATGATAGACATGTTACCATGAAAGTATACTACTGGTACTACATTATTTATTTATTTTTATTATTACTTACTTGGATAAGTAAAAAATAATGAAAAACAAAGACATAACTGAACCACTGCAGGAAATGGCCCTGAAATAAAAAAAAATCATATTTATTGAGAAAACAACACAGTAAGAGGGACATATTCGTCAGTCCAAATACTGTTTAAACAGTATAATGGACTGATGAACCTGTTGTCCTCAGTGTGCCCTTGGTAACTAGCTGGTCAGTAAAATGTGGTGTGAATGTCATTTTGGAAGAAACATAGCAGCAAGAAATTCATCGGGACCAAACAACCAAAGGAAATGTACAGATTGTAAGATCTTCGACGTTTGTTCTGTCCCTGGCCAGTGTGTTACTTACTCTGAGAATGACATTGCAGGGTGCTTATAATTTGTCAGAACTGACTGTCCAAACCATTCCTGTCAGAATGAGAACTTTAATACAAAGCTATCCAACCAGATCGGTCAAATCCTGTAGTATGCACAAGGAGATGGTTTTTCATAAAAAATTCTTGGAAAAAGCCTATATCATTCTCAAAATGACTGGTCTGGCCAGCCAGTTCTGACTTTTGAAAAGCACCCTTAATACCTTAACCAGCTGCAGGGCCAGCAACACAAAATTACAGTACAAGTTCCTTGATATAATGAACCTCTATATAACAAAGTCCTCAGTATAACAAACGATTTTGTTTACTCCAGTAATAGAATACATATGAAATAAAAAACTTTGATATAATGAAACTTTGTTATAAACCCAGAGAAAAAACCATTAGAGCAGTGCTCGCAACCAGCAACAAGCTCAACTTACGTAACTATGAATGTAATGGCATGCTTAAGAGAAGTTTGACTGTATTGTGACAACAACAGGTGCCTACATGTATATATTACACAAGTCAAATTTTATCCCATGTTAATTTTGATTTAAGCTACAGTAGGTTGATTCTCAATTTCCGTTGTCTCCTAAAATCAAATTTGACAGCTATTTCAATACTGTCAGTCTTACCTTCAGGTAAATTTAAAGTTATCATTTGTGCTGTAGTCTCTCCGAACGACTGAAAAATAAGAAAACAAGGGTTTTTATTGTACCTGTTAAAATTTTACTTTGTGTATTAAAAACTATAAACAAATCAGCTTACAATATAGTACTCAGTGGAAGCTTCTCATGACAAAGCACCAAGGGACTTGCAAAATTTGCTTGCTGACATGAGGTTTCATTATATCGAGGTACTTTTCCATATATTTTACTATTACTGGAGTCAACAAAATTGCTCGTTATACCAATTAAGGACTTTGTTATATAGCGGGTCTTTATATTGAGGTTCCACTGTAGTACCAGGATGGGGTTTAATGAAAACCTTTTAAGGGTTAACTGGTAAGTAATAAAAAAACAACAATAACAACAGCAACAGCAATAATAAAAAATGCAAAAAAGACCAAACACAAAAACAAAAAGCAAACAAACAAACAATATTAAAATTTAAGCTCTTAGTAACTTGTCTAAGTCAAAAATTCCCAAAATTGTTGATATGACCCATCGGATTTTCTCTGCAACCTAGTTCGCAAGCAAGCTCTCCAGGGCACTCTAGTGGTGTGGTGAGAAAAGGAAGGAGAGCTTGCAACTACGCCACTGGAAATTTTAATATCTGCATCAAAAAAGTTGATGTGAAATCATTGTTTATTGGAGGAAATGACATTAGTAATGACATCATTATCCTTGGCATGTGTTTTCAAAGTTTGTTTACATTCGCGCCTGTTTCCCCTTTGCGCTGATTGGCGGGAAATCTGACAGCTCGATCGAAGGAGAGCCATAGGGAAACTGGAGGTGGAATTCAAATTCTAGAGACGTTGTTGCAAGCTCTCCTTCCTTTTCCCACCATGCTGCTAGCATGCCCTGGAGAGCTTGCTCGCAGGCTATCTGCAGCCTAGCCTAGGACACCATCTTAAGGTGGGGGGAACAGTTAGAAAATAATTTGGATGAGGGTGAGTAGCATACATCCCGAAAGTCCCTGCCCTATTTCAAACAAACACATAGCTTCCTCACCCTACTTAAAACCAAAATGGTTTAAGCCCATATACCAATAATTTCAGGCTATAAAGGGTGGGGGTTGCAAAAACCACTTCCTTTGCCACTGCACCTGGGGTGCTAGATTGTTCATGAACACACTAGCTAAAGTCAACATCAAAATTAACCATTTATTTTTATTGCCATTATTGTTAATATTTTTAACACAAACTTTAAACTTACCAGATAACCACAGGCACCAAAACCAATGTACAATGTTGTGACTAGAAACAATGTGACTTTAAATACACTGAAAAGGATCAATATAATATATAACAAACTTATTAAATTAAGTTAATTTTGTTATGGTCAGATTGAACAATAATTCATCAACATAATAATAACAATTTATTGAGATAATTATTTATAAATAATAAGTTGTTTTTTCAATAGTAGGGACCTTAAGCAACAAGAATGTCGACGTCCCAGACTTCAAAAATGGCAACTGAAAGTTGATATTTTCTCCCTTTCAATGCTCTGACTTGACAAATTTCTACAGTGGAAGTTAAAAAAAGGTATTCAGATCCATTGTGTGACACAGAAGTGTTCCAGGAAGCAAGACATTCAACTTCCGGTTGCCACTTATGATGTCCCAGATGTCAGCTAGCATTCTTGCTGCTTTAGCTTGTTATTAATGTAGACAAAAACCTCCCCATATGGACACTTAGTTGTAGTCCTAGTGACCCACAAACACTCCAGAGAAGAATGCTACAATATTGGCACATCAGGAAACAACGGTTTGAGCATATAATTATTTCTTGTGCCTTTTAAGACAGACAGTGACCTAACAAAATGGTTCAACTAGCTTCAAACAGTGTTTTTCAGCAATATCTACAAGGGCAAATGGTTTAATAGAGGTGTCTGCTACATGTAAATATGGCACATTTGTCTTACAGAAAATATAGGATGGTGCTATGTCTGCAGGATAGTGGACCTCCTGCAGAATCTTAAGTCAGAATGTACTTACGTTCTAAACTTGTCTTTTGAATCACTAGCACAGGAGGCTTCAAGTGACAAAATCAGCCCTGCACCCTAGAATGACATAACATTTGTACAATTAAGCTAAAAAGTAATGACATTCGTAAGTTGGGTTTCAACAACAGTCTAGCACTTCACATTTGGAAGAAAAATTAAAAACAAGAAAGATCCCAAAAACACAAGTTTGATAACATAAGCAAAAGGATCTTAGCGGAATGGGTGACTGAGAAGGTTTGCAGAGGACAAGGCAACAAAAACAACAGTAACTGCGCACAGTCTACCCTCTTCAATCTGGACAGACATGTAACAGTACCACACCTATGCTAAAGAATGTGAGAGACAAACAATTCACATCTTGATCACTCCACTTAGCCAGTAAAAATTGCTATTCTTACACGAGTATTCTCAGGGCTTGAGAATAATGCCCCTTCCAGTAATCTAGGACAAGTCAATTTTCTTGCTGGGCAAGTAACTTTTAAAGCTTACTTGAACAACGGGTAAGGTTCCAAGCAAGTTATCCTCCAACTAGATCATAAACTAAGATGACCAAGCAGTGGCCCCGGCCTGGGGCCAGCAAAAAGTAAGAGTGGCTTGCCCAAAGGATGACTTGGAATTCACATTTTCTTTAGCCCTGAAGCTCTGTGGTGTTACCTACCTCATAACAATAAATTGCTACACCTAAAAAAAATGGCAAGCCACTAATTCTAGCAATCTGGGGATGAATTCTGAAAAAAAGAGAAAATTCTATATTACATCATACTATTTCTTGGTCTGTCTGTTAGGGGTGTAACGATTCATATTCCTTGCGATTCAATTCGATTTCAATTATTGTCTTTCGATTTTGATTATTTCGATTCTATTATGTAAATGTTTCTTAATTGTTATAACACAATATGTAATGTTAACAACATGCAACCCTAAACCCTCAATTTGAAAATAGTAACAGGGACACGAGGATTCACGAGGTTCGTCGCCATGTTTGAGATCCTGACAAAGATGGTTTGCCTTATTTGGAAATTCTCAAGGGGTGGTTGAAGGACAGCATTTTTACCAGGCAACACAAAATGGCGCACGAACTGCTATCGTCTTTGCTAGTCAATCAAAACCGCACATTTTAAAGAGTTCTGGATTCTGATTTTGCAATATAATAACTCACTGAGGGCACCCTGGAAAAGGTAACTATGCAATAATCAAAGCAAAATCGAAACGTGGAAGAAAAGAATCGTGAATCGAACGGAAAGGTCATAATCACGATTAATCGAGAATTTGATTAATCGTTACAACACTACTGATGATAATGATGAAAAGTTTTTGAGATATCATTCAGTATCACCAATAGCCCTAGCTGGCTATCAATTTAGGACTCCACCCAACTAGATAATTATGTTTAAGCCATTCACTCCTAGCTACACCATAGAGAGTGTCACACTAACTCTTAACTTGTGCATGATCAATCATATCTTTAATACCATTGAAATGGAACCTCTTTGGTAGACCTCAAAAAGAAAATTTATTATTTTGGCAATTTCTATTTGGCCCTTACTAGGAGTGAAAGAGTTAATGTAATAAATTATGACATAACTGCAGGGTGAAAACCATATACTTTACCGTCAAGGCAGGTCAAGCATACCCCCCAAGATTCTATTAATGAATTGATTATTTGAAAAATGAATCCATTAGTAGTTCCTGCAACTTGTATCAAATTCAAATCAGCATTCCTGCATGCATAACGAGCTGCGAATATTTTACAAGAACTCTCTGTGACATTTACATCAAATTCAGGGAAACTGAGCTGGTGGAAATTTGGTAACTGCCTGGTGTGCGAATTCACGGCTCACTACGCATGCAAGAATGCAGAGATGAATCTGAAATCTACAACTACCAACGGATTCATCTTTTGAATAATAAATTTATTAATGGAGTCTTGAGGGTACGCTTGACCTGGCTTGATGGTAATATCTCTTTTATTTGGTCATGGTTTATCAACTGAATAGTGACTGATCCAGTGCATATGTCATGGTTCAATTTTACCCTTGGTTTAAATTTTCTTTTCTTTTGTTTTTGGGTATGGTAATGTATGATAATAATTTACAAACATAAGAAAAGAAAAATTAAACCAAGGATAAAATTGAACCACAACATACACGTTACAGGTCAAAATTATATTCAGGTTAAAATGTTTCAAACTAGCTTGATTCCCAGTTTCCTTTGTTTCCAAGCCCTAATTCATGAATAATTAGGGCTAGCATTATCCAAACTTTCAAAAACAAACAAGTACTTACTGAACTTTTTCAAAATGGGCAAAATCAAACCAGAAGACTACACAGTAGGCAAACGCATTGGCGAAATCTGCAAAGAGGCTGGAAAAAAAAAAAGAAAAATGATAAAGCACAAAATCCAAATCTAAACAAAACATTATTTGAGAAACGAACGTAAAATGACAGCAGGATGTTAATTAGGAATGAAACATGTAATAATTAGAACTTAATTAATTTCTATAACTACAGACCAAAATCAAGTTCCAGATCATCTAGCTATGTTCACAAGAAAACAAACCTGAATATGGCTAATTTCTTCAGATGTCTAAAGTTGACTAGAATTGCAAGAGGTAGAAGTAGACTCATTAAGAACTGGTGTCTGAAAATAAAATGGGAAACAAATCAAATGCCTACATATGGCCCCCTTATCAATTATTGCTTTGGTATTCGTGACAAATCTAGATTTTCTTAACTCAGTGATTTGGCCAAATAGGGAAGTACAAAGACTGTTTTTGGTTGGAAATTTTGTTATCTGAGGACATTTTGGGTTTTCCAAAGACAACAACAATATTCTCTGGGTGAAAGCTTTCGGCAAGGCCTTTTTCAACTTAGGCATACAGTACTATACCTTTCAGCTGAAAAAACAAAAAAATAATTAGTAGCTGCATATTTGGTCTGCCAATTCTTATGGTTTGACTGTGATACCCATGGTGAATGAGATAATGCTGATATCGCAAAATAGTTAGGTAGAGTGTAGGTATGAAGAAGCCATAGGAAATCTGTGTTGAAAGTGGCTGAATTTGTCACATTAACTGTTTTGAGGGAAACTGGTCCCAAGTCAGTACTAATATCAATAAATTTAACAGTTTTAAGGCATAAATATTCAAAACTGGAATTTTTGATCACATACCTGCTCATAATTGGAAACAAGTTATTCAGAGTATCAGAGATAAATATAAGGTAAGCACATGAAAAACCTGTCGACAAAATAACAGTGTAAGTCATGATATTTATCAATATACTCGTACTCATCATTTGGCTTAAATATAATTTTATAACTGGCCCTGTGCTTATCCTACAGTACGATTCTAAAGTAAGCTGCCAGTCTTTTGAGAATCTTGATTCTCAATTTAATTCTTGTTACTAGATTCATGCGAGGTTGAGATTAAAGACTCTTGAGGGAGAAAGGAACAAACACTGGCTTGCCTGATTTCCCTACTTATTTTGTTTTTCCCCACTGATTTTGTATCAAGCAAATGGACCATGAACACAGCTTTCATTTAATGGAACTTCCACACAATTATTACTGAGAAGTAAACCGTACCTCATGGCCTCAGTAGGATGTAGTATCATTACTATTCACGCCTGAATGGAAAGCTAGTCTATTGCAATCTTACTCTAGTTGTAGTATGTTGACATATTCACTAGCACACATTTATATGCCCAGTGGGTGAGGAGAAACAGTGTGATGTAAACTTTCTTGTTAAAGAAACAATGCAAACTGAACAATCATACAACTTTTGATTTGACCAAAAGAACACCACCACTTCACTTAAAATTGAAAAGAAAAGTTTAAATTTATTCCTTGTGAAGTGAGGGCTGAAGGCCCTTGTGTATCTGAGGTTCACAGTTTTGCTGAAATTATGTGCGTTGCAGATGGAAAGTTGTCCGTGGATCACACGGTGAGGCAGAAACATGAAAGGGTTATTATTTTCTATAAAACAGAAAATAACTGAATTACATGTACCTATCTGTGAGATTACAATGCTCAAATCAACTATGGCTCTTCCAGAATTCCCTAAAGCATAATAACCTATTAAAAAATAAGAATAAAAAAAATTAATCACAATAAACAATATCATGGCATTATTTCACTAACTTGCTGCCTTTTACATGTAAAAAGATCAACAAATTAAAGGAGCTTTGCATTGCTAAGAGGCCTCCATTCTTAACATGACTTAACATTAATGCGAGACTCTAACAACAAATTTAAATTCAAATTTCTTTTTAACAGACAGGGCTTGTAAAAAATCCCATCATCCAGGACAAGTAGATTTTCTGGCCAGATAACTTTTCATGTTCACTTGCCGTGGCAAGTCATGTTAGCTTCTAAAGATATCATAAACATGGACAAGGATGGAATGAGTGCTGCTTGTCCAATTCAAGTTTTTTTTCACTCACTCAACCGCTTCATCCTGGCGAGGACATCAGGTCACAATCTCCAGTGTGCTATTACCTGTTACCCGAGCTGGCATGCCTTAATGACCCTGTTAGCTAAACCTGCAGGGGGCTTAAGCTCCTGTCAGGTTTCCCCAAATTAGGCAGGTTATAGTGAAGAGGACAGACTAACAGCAGCACTCCTCCAACACCTCCAGGTTGGGGGTTAGGCATGGGGCTAACACTGAACCTCACCCTGGAAAACAGCAACTTGTTACTGAAACAAGTTTTTTCAAGCTCTATTTTTTAAATTTATGATACCTCCCTAAAACAGACTCAACTACAGTTGGTTCCAGCAGCTCTTCAACCATTTTCTAACTCCTTATGAAGAAAGACACCTAATCATGATAGACACTAAGTGTTGATTACAATGATATCCTTCTTGAAGAGAACTGGATGTAAATACACAAGTACAACAAATGCACATGGAATAACACTTACCAAGATCACCATAGTCAATCTCATGATGGTGGCTCTGTATCTAAAAATGAAGAAAAATAGGGTACGAAGCAACCTTTCCATCTATTGTATTACTAAATAATTTTATATCATAATCATTATCTACAAGTAATAATCCATTTTATATTGTATACTAGTCTTATAGCAATTATTTTTTGCTAATTGTTTACCACTGAATTCACGCTATTAGTGTCATTTATACGCTGAATGCATCAGACCTGTTTCTTCAAGTAAGGACCGAGAGTCAGTGACCACCTACTGTAAGAAACCACCAAATTTAGGAATTTTAAGGAGCTTACCAACAGAATTTTCCACTGTTTGCTTATTTTAAGCATTGGATGCATGTGAAATTTCCATCCAAGTGATTTCACAGCAAAGAACTTTACAATGAATTACATACGAACCTCAGTGTACACTTTCACTGCCACGATGGGGATACTTGTGTCAACTTAAACATTTTCATTTTAATATTATATTCTGTGGCCACTTAATTAGTCCCTTACAGTCTTAACAACTATAAAAATATCTATGCTATTCCAACTCAGCCATTTTGTGTTTATAAATCTACCTTCAGTTGTGAACCCTTTTAATTTTCAGTATTGTAGTGCTGTTGAAATGAGGTGACCTCATTCTAGCAATAATGTGACCTGTCAAAAACACATGACCCTATCATACATCCAGAAACCCATCCTAAGGGAGTCCGCTCTCCCCCAGCAAAGCTGACTAAGGGATTGATAGATACAGATTTTTTTGTGGGTTAGTTTTCTAATTTAAAGAAAAATGTTCAAACAGGGCTATCACTAAAATTTCAAGTTCACAAGTATATGCATAATTATTTTATATATACTCACATAGTGTACCAACACCTATATAATTGCCAGGAATCTAGCCTATGGTGTATAAGCCCCCAGCTTTTATATAGGCTTCCTTGTCATTACCACTTTGAACATTTTTTCAAATTATTTATTTAGAATAGTGTTATGTGGTTAAGGGAAAAATAAATGAATGAATGAATATAAAGAAGGCAGGGAATTGCAAAGATAGCTAGGAGGTTTTTTGGTTTTATTTTCCTTTTGTTTCTGATGAAAATAGCTAGGGTTGATAAGTAATTATAGTAGCTGAGGGTAATCCCTGGTCCCCTGGCCATTAATGACAGCCCTGACCCTGAATTTCCATGGTCCCATGCAATAATTCAATATTGTTTGTTAACTGTGAAATGTTTGAACCCAGGAGTCATTTCGTCAGCGAGTTAAGCTGTAATGTTATTGACAGACAGCCACTAACATTGCAACTAAATTGGGCAATCAGGTCACTAACCAGAGTTTAATACTATCAACTGACGTGATACAACTCACTTTGACTATGTGGATGTCTACCTCACAGGTCATCGCAACATCAGTCACTGTCAACAACAGTCCTATTCAGGACTACTGTATGGTCACCCAGACAATCATACTCAATCTACTAATTGTTTGTTAAATAAAGGAATGTGCCGGCACTTGATGAACCAGCTTTGTGGCGATTGTATTTGTTACCTCTTCTTTTATTTTATCCATTGAAACTGTATCTCCATTTTCAACTGTCATTAGCAACTCCTTCTCCTCTAATGCAACACTTCCTTCACTGGAAATCACTGAGCCATTCTGAAGATGGTCAAGCTTCTTCCAAGTAATCTTGTTTTTGCAATCAATGATCAGCAACATTGCTTTCACACTAAAAGTATTAAATTTATATGACACTGTGACAATAATATTTATTATAACATTTCAGGACCATCCACTTAAGGAATATAATTCAGACCTGTATGTGCAGGTTAATTATTGGTTAATATCAGTTTCACTCAAATACTTTAATTGTCAAAGTGATTGCATTACTATATTCAACTTGTTTAGACTTCAATCACAGACACTCCCAAAAATTATTGGGTACATCTGTGACTAAAATACAATCAATTATACAAATAATATTATACGTATTGGCCAAACAGCCAGCTGTATACTTTAGAACCTCTCATAGCTGAATACCCAAAATGCAGAGACTTTGAGTTAGCTTACATGAAGTGGCTGTTTACAAGAATGGAACCACAGGAGATCTCTTCTGAGAAGAGTTTTGCAAGTTACAATATCAAGGCTGTCCTCTAGCAGAGCCCAGTGGCCTGTGGCGCTTAATTTTTGTTCTCAGGCGACTAGAAAATCTTTGCTTTTCCATAGAAATCATATGCTGGGCACACTGGATTTCACAAGTTCAGAGCACTGGGCTCCCTTCAATTTTTCTTAGAGCACAGCCTTGAATTTATGTAGTTTCTTTGTATACTCTTAGCCACACAGTGCATAGGGCGAATATAGCACTAAAACCATGCATGAAGTCTGTCAAGTGATTACTTAAAATAGGTTGAAAACAATGGAAAATTATTAAACTGACATCCGTGAAAAGTGGTTGTGCTTACTTAAAGGAGGTCATTCCAAGTATAAGGCTTAGACTTGAAAAATTTTGTTATGTTGGAGGATATACAGTCGAACCCCGCTATTTTGAAGTCCCAAGGGAAATAGAAAAAAGTTTGAATTTGCGGGGTTTCAAAATAACCAGGGAAGCATAAAATTTGTAACAATGAATCATTTTTTAATAAAATACAGTACAGTAAGAAGAAAGACACTGATTAAATAAAAATACAATGTCGAATGATCAGAATAGAGACAGCAGAGTTCATAAATGAGCATTTCAGCTGGAAGAACAGTTCACTAACAGTGCGTTTTGTTTTGTACTTGAATTACACAGCTGGAATTTCTTAGCGGCACACTGCACGTGAGTCAAGCATCGTTAAGTCATTAATAATTTTCATTATGCAACACAAGCTCAAATAAAATGCAATACGTTTCCAGCTGTGCTCTTATGTACGTACTCTGTTTTTGACAAGTTCGAAATAATGGGGTTGATTTAAGGTGTAGGGAAAGAATGATGAGTTTGAAATAGCGGGGAATTCGAAATAATCGAGTTCAAAATAGCTGATAGTAAATGACTGAAAACATAAGGGTAAATCCAAGGGAATTTGATCTTCCTTCGAAATAGCGGGGACTTCGAATTAACCAAGTTCGAAATAGCGGGATTTGACTGTACATAACAGGTGGTCCCTCATGGGAGGTGATCACTTACAGTCTCACCAGGTCAACCACACAGCTGTGGATTTGACTGATGAATTGACTATTTGCAAATAACATCCATTAGTCATTGCCACTACTTCAAATTCAAATCTCACAAAGCCAACTGAACTGAACTGATTCCTGAGGGAGTGATCCACTCAAGATAGCCTTTACTCAGTATATTTCAATATCAAATATCGTAAAATTCCGAAAATAAGCCCCTCCATGTATAAGCCCCTCCAAATATAAGCCCCCCAAACCGGTAACGCAAAAAACCCTCCGTTAAATCGCCCCTCCAAAGATAAGCCCCCCGGGAGGTTGTACTTGGAAAATTGCCCTCTTGAAAATACAAGGAAAAATACAGCAAAAACAGTAAATTTACATCCACTATAACGCTAGCCCAATCGATTTTAACACGCAAATTTCCCTCCGTAGATAAGCCCCTCCGAATATAAGCCCCTCTAAAAATAAGCCCCTCCAAAAGGGCCTTTGAAAAAATATAAACCCCGGGGCTAATTTTCGGAATTTTACAGTATATAAACTCATTGTTTGGACATTTCTGAGGTCCTCTTAGGAGAGTAAGAATTTCCCTATTCTAAATTTTAAAAGCAGCAATGTTGCAGTTGGTATTTTACCATGATTGTATCTGTGGTTTTACTCGTCACTACTGTAGTTTTCAACCAACTTCATGTTGTTTGCCCCCAATTCATTTATCTTTTGTTGCTATTTCAAGGCTACCGTAAATCCTCTCTTAAGCCCCCCAGGGGGAGGGGGGGCTTATTTATTTCAAACCCTTTTGACGGGGGGCTTACTAGAGATGGGGGGCTTATTTGAGAGGGGGGGACTTATTTAATTTAGAAAACTAGACAATGGTATCAATTCTCCATAAAAAACTTGAATACAATGTGGAAAGGCTCAAGTACAAGAGGTTGGAAGTCATGTAGCCGAGGATCAAAAACAAATCCGAACTTCTAGTTGGTACAATAAACCATCCCGGATCAGTCCACAAGAAGTTTTACAGTCGTGATTGATTAATACAGTGTATCATTCATTAGTGAAGAATATTAATTTTAGAGGCAGGAAGGGGAGGCTTAATAGAGAGGGGGGGCTTATCAACTTTCTTCCCCGAGAAGGGGGGGTGCTTGTTAGAGGGAGAGGGCTTATTTGAGAGGGAGAGCTTAATAGAGGATTTACGGTATGTTGTTGCTTGTCAGAATTTAATCATAACAGTGCCTCATTTCAATTTCATTTCACTTATTTTTTTCTCCACAAATCAGCTCACATGAGTGTATCATTCATTAGTGAAGAATATTAATTTTAGAGGCGGGAAGGGAAGGCTTAATAGAGAGGGGGGGCTTATCAACTTTCTTCCCCTGAGAAGGGGGGGGCGATTGTTAGAGGGAGAGGGCTTATTTGAGAGGGGGAGCTTAACAGAGGATTTACGGTATGTTGCTGCTTGTCAGAATTTAATCATAACAGTGCCTCATTTCAATTTCATTTCACTTATTTTTTTCTCCACAAATCAGCTTACATGATTTTCCTGTGGGGCTGATCAGTCCCATCTGTCCCAAAGATAACTTTAAAATAGGACTAATGATGTTTAATTACAAGTGCTCTATAAATTTGAGGAATATGTAACAAAATCAAATAATTTAAATAAGGAGAACTACAAAATTGGGCAAAACAATCAATGTGGATTAAACAAACAACCTTAACATCTGTATAGACTTTAAACAAATGAGTCAAATAATGATTTATAAGGGTCAAGGGAAGAGAATGACCCTACTAGATATTCGCTGCTATGGCTACGAAATTTGTTCATCAAAAACGTTTCTCCGTGCCATGGAAGCAATCTATGAAACTAGGTCACATATATACTAACTAAACGTATCTGACCGAAACACGAACTTTAAATTTTGAGACATCCAAGTCTTACCTCAGTGTACCAATTATCGTCATAATGACACTTCCCTCGATAACCCCCGCCTGGAGAATAAAAAGAAGCAGTGGACATTCAGTTGACCACAAAAGTTCATTCTTTAAATATGTGTTCGTGGCAACTCGCGCCAGAACCTGGTCGTATACAAACGCTGTGTTTTACCTTACCTCTTTGAAAGCATGAGGCATTCCCAAAATCCCAGCACCGATGAACGAAATAAAAATGTTGGCGAAGATCTTAATGGAACTTCTGGCTCCATCATCGTGATACATTCTCCGAAAAATGACATTTAATGTTCTCAAACTTTAAACGCTCCCACGAACTACACAGGCCGCCGTCGAATGTTGTGTTTGACAGAGAGACTGGGCTCTTTTCTCATATCCCCACAAAGGAGGGGTAAGTTTGAAAGTTGACTTGCTTGTTGTGACGGTTCGGTCGAAGTTTAGTCAAAGTCTTCTTATATTCCTTCCCATATTTCAGTTTTTGTTTTTGTATCACATTATTACTATTTTGAATTAAATTAACTTGGCAGTACTTATTACAAAAAATAAATCCCGCCCGGTCAATTTGCGCTAGTATGACACTACGGGGTCTCAGAGAGGAGGAGAATTGACACATGGCCTGGCTACCAAGCAATTTTCACTCTCCCTGCTCTTTCTCTTTCCTTCCATCTTCAGAGAAGGTGAGAATGTAGTTCAGTATCCGCGATTATTTTCTTCTTTCCAGCGTCATCCATCATCATTTATTACATATCTGATAAACAAATGAATACCTTTTTATTAAACTAGTCTGTAACACTTGTTTTCCCTTTGACAATTTGTATAAAATCTTCCTCTTGTTGTCCTTGTTTGGAATAGAACCTTGCCTCAAACGATGTCTAAAATTCGGCTAAACGCTTCTTCCCACAATAAAGTTGATTTGCACAAAGCAAAATATACACGTTAGCCACTGTTATTGCTTTCTGTGGTATCGTAGAGAAAGACTTGATCTGCATTACAAAGCCGAATTTGTATTTTGTATTTTTTTTTAAAAATTTTATCTCCGTAGCTTACTCTTATCTTATATGACATGTATGTATCGTAGTCGCAGATATTTTAGATAACTCGCTAGTGGCATGGCAGTATAGTAAGAACATGGACAAAGCAAGAAACAGAGAATATCAATTTTTTTTCATTGTCTGTGAAAATGATTTCACTAGCTCTCAACTTAATTGTGTTTATTTCTTCTCAACTACGGTCTTACTACGGTCTTCAACCCCCTACAGCTTTAAATATTGAGAACTGATAGGAAAGAGATGATAGATGATGACATGAAACAGGGCACATGACATCATTTCTGCAAAGAATACTCGTTGACTCCCATCATCACGAATTTGTGATGACACAAAACACCCAGAAAAGATGTTGTTGGCATTGTAACATTTGACCTGCCTCGCTTACTTCCCACCAATCACATTATTATATTACAATGGCATACCAGAGTTTTATATGAGGAAATGTTCGATCTCAACATTAAAATACCTTAAACAATGCAAAATGGTTGAAATTTTATTGTCAGAAAGTCAAGTCCACAGAAGAAATGGCAAACTTCAGCGATTATCCAGGAGATATTCGTACTATATGCTAGTCTGAAGACCAGGAGATATTGTTCAAAATCTGTAGTCTCCTGGATTATGCAGGAGAGTTGCCAGCACTGCATGACTGTAGCACAATTCGGATTCAGACATCAAATTTAATACTATAATCTGTAAATATATTAGCTATTGTTGAAAACAAAGCGTAGAACTTTAAAAATGTCATTGACTTGAGTTTGGCATGGCAGTAACGTTAACATGGCATTTGAAACCAAGTTTGGCTACCACCATTTCACAAGGCAAAGCATAGTACAACTCGGTTTCAAACGTCATGCTACTGCCATGCAAAGGTCAAATTTAATTCCATGAGTTGAGTTTGCCATAGCAGTGGCGCAGAGTTTGAAACAAGCCTTAGTGTGAACCAGGCTTAGATTTGACTTAGTGCGCGGAGATCAAGTAACCCCAATGTAATGAATGGTTTGTTCAATACGTTAGAAATTGTTATATATTCAGGTTCCATAGTTTTTTTTATTAATTTTTAAGTAGACACGAACAAACTTTTCACTTTTATATTTTCAGATCTGTAGCCATGAAGACCATTCTGGCAAGTCAGACTGTTTCAATACCTGAAAATGGTATGATAAGAGAGTACTTGTTTTGGTGTCTTTTTAAACTGATGTATCTGTCTCTGGTAACAATCATTTTATATTAATGCTTCCTTAACCCATTTGCCCCTGAACTGCTCAAAACTGTTGGTGTGAATCCACTCTTGTGTAGCTTGTGACATTATCAGTTTTAATGGTCAAGACAACCTTGTCATCTAACTTGTGCAGGGGTTGGGGAAGAGGTCTCTTAAAGCATGCCAGAATGAACACTATGAAAAAGGGAAAAAGACATCTAGACCCAAAAGGTCTGATGAAAAGTTGGTTTGACTACCCACCACGGTCTGCACTTCATTCCATCTAATCCTAGATCCTTACAAGCTTTCCCATAAAATATTTTTCCCATGGAAATGGAGCCTAGTTAATGCCCAGCTAAAGAAACAAACTGGGCCAGAAAAGCTAGCGAAAGAAGAGAAAGAGAAAGCTAAAGTTGATACTGCTGTGTGCTTTATCGCTTTTAAACCCAAGAACTATTGGGAAGAAATGGAACCCAAATTTCCATTTGGAATATTCCGTCCAGAAAAACAGGACTACCTTTTCGGATGTTCCATTTCTCCCGGAAATCTTCCGCTGGAACGACCCCAAGAGTCATGTTCCATTTGCTTCCCAACTGGATTTTCCAGAAACTTTTTCTAAATGGTAAGCAACCCAAGTGTTGCTCATGTTTATTATGTTATTTGCATGTACAGTAAGTATCAAGCTGAATGGCCGTGAAGTAACAGTCAAAGGGCCTCGTGGCACTCTTGTCAGAAACTTCAGACACCTGAAGTTAGAGCTGACACTTGTTGGTAAGAAGAAGATACGAGTTGATGTGTGGTTTGCAAGCCGTAAAGAGTTGGCTTGTGTCAAGACCATCTGCACTCATATTGAGAATATGATCAAGGGAGTCATATATGTAAGTTCAATTCATCTCAACTTTAAACCAATTATTTTCTATTTAAAGAAGTGCCTATTTTGATGAAAATATATAATTTATAGAAACAGTGGTTTTACCATGTGTATACACGATTTAGATGCATGTGAATGCTATCTCATGGATCACAAAATAACTGATGTTAGGGTCAAATGATGGACTACTAACCGTAATTCGTAACTTCTGGGTATGTGCCATCTTAACTGGTTTGTGTGTGGTATTTGTTGACATCTACTAATAATTGATAACGTTCCCTTGTAAATTCTCTCAGGGCCCCTGTTTTTCTAGCCTGTGAACAGGCTCTCTGTTTGGGGAAAGGGTGAAAAAATCACGAGTAGAGGGAAGAGAAAGGGGGAGAGCCTGATCACAGGTTACCATTTTTAAGGAGAAAAGACCCTGTGGGCTCACTCAATCTTTTAGCTCATTACTTTGATCTAAAGACTTTACTTCATTTGATTTGCTTAAGATTGGCATGCTACTACCTTTTTATCGTAATGTCTATTCAAATTTAGAAGTGCATTTTACGAAATTTGATGTGGTGGTGAGCTGGACTCTTGGGTTCAAACCCTGGCCTAACCACCATGAACTAGGGTTGTTAAAAACTGGTAAGAGCATGTTGGCTGTCCTGAAGGTCATATAATCATCTCAGTTCAGATGAACGCATAAATCGTTTGGCAATGACGTTAAGCCATTGGCTTTTCCTCCTTCACCCTTCCTTTATCGGTGGGAATCCACACAACTGTTCAAGAAAAGTATGGGAAGTTTCCCTGGCAATGTTGTCTTTTCACTTTTCTCTTGAATTCAAGAAGCAATCTGAGATAGGTGCCTAGATTTCAGATTGGGAATCTGAGTATAGACTGATTAAGAGGACTGTGAATTAGATTGTCCTCTCATTTCTGACTGGTTTAAACATGTTTAGGGTTTCAGATACAAAATGAAGGCAGTGTACGCTCACTTCCCCATCAACATTGCTGTCTCAGAAAGTGGTACCCTGGTAGAGGTACGTAACTTCTTGGGTGAGAAATATGTGAGACGAGTGAGGATGAGACCTGGAGTGACTTGTGCCAACTCAACTGTGAAAGATGAAATCGTCTTGGAAGGCAATGACATTGAGCTGGTTTCAAATTCAGGTAGGTAACTAACTTGCACATTAATCACCATGCTACCCTTCCCATGAAAGAAAGTTTTTTTTTTCATATCTTTTTTACTTGTTTCCTTCATATTGGTGATCAGTTTGCAGGCAAATCCTGCGCCTTCCATGTTCAATTTTAAGTTTTTTCTGACCTTGCTCGACATATGCTCTTTCAATGAGGAAATATTATCCTTCAATGCAATTTTTTTTCCTTTTCATTGGCCAACAGCCCACCACTTGACCTGCAGATAACTGCCTACAAATAATTGTCTGCTTATGTGCAATGTCGTCCAACAATGGCTACAAATAATGTTCTGCAAATGCACAAATCACGTTTTTCTCCTTCTTGTCGCCTTGCAGATAATTAGGTAATGGTTCAGATAAGAAGGAAAGAACCAAACCAATGCAATGAACACGTGGAAATGCAAAAAATGCTAAATTTATTATTCTCTCCACTAAACTTCTAATTAGTATAACAGCAAATGTTATGAAATATTCGCAAAGCAGCATATATATGAATCCTTTGTTGTCTAACCAACATCCTTATAATAAAATCTCGCTTGAATCTAAGTAACAGAGAAATCCTATGTGAGGAACATGTAAAATTCTAACTTTTCTTGGCTTTTGTTGATAACTCTTATGAGTGGTCACAATCCTTTTACAGAAAAAAAAAAACACCCTTAAAAATGGAGTTTCATTACATTTATTTCGTAAACTGCCTTTTTGTAGGTTTATGCATTCTCTGTGTGAAAATGAAAACATTTCTAAGTGAGGAAAGCGTATTGCGCCATAACAAAAGAAATGGCTTCCAGTCTTACCCGGATCATTACTTAAAAAACAAACGCGGATAATAGACCCTTTGCAGCTAGCCATTCACGTGGTACAAAACCGCCGTGCTGGAGAGCAAAAGTCGCACTGGGACATGACAAACACAGAAAATTACCATTTCAAATTATGTATGTCTTTTGTTTGTCTTGTCCCAGTGCGACTTTTGCTCTCCAGCGTGGTGGTTTTGTACCACGTGAATGGCAAGCTGCAAAGGGCCTATTATTTGCAGCTCTGGTCTGCCCCCCAGGGCTTTCTTGTTCGTCTTGTAAACTTCGCTTGCATGAATTTCATGGGATGTCATTTACCATTTTGATGCTGAAAATTATTTGCGACTCTGAATGTTATTTCTTGTTGTCGTTATTTGCAGCGGCTTTGATCAAGCAATCGACCACAGTCAAGAACAAAGATATCCGTATGTTCTTAGACGGTGTCTATGTGTCTGAAAAAACAACTGTTGTGCCCATGGATTAAATGTAAACATGTAATAAAGAGCTGAGCCCCCTTGGCGAAGTGTGTCATTTGTGAACTTTCTTGTTCTGTCTGGTTTTCCAGGCTGATATACGTCGGTGTTATAGCCTCTCCCCCTTCAGACGTTCGTTTTTGGCAGTAGAGAAGCAGGCGCTTGGAAGTAGTGGGCGAAAGAGAGAACGGGCGCGCGCGAGGGAGACACGCTCTCACAGGGATCCCTCTCCCCTCGGGTGTGTCCTCGCGCGCCCGTGTTTACTTGTGCCAATTACTTCCAAGCGCCTGCTACGCAGGCTACGTTTACCGCAAACGGCAAACGTCAGACTCAAGTTGAGAATTTCTCAGAATAGAAAATAAGCAGAGAAAAGTCCCGAACGATTCCTATGGATAAAACTGGCATAGAACTACTTATTTTTGTGTATAAGCAATAAAGATTAAACGAAAAATAAGGGGTAAACTTGGTCACGTGTTACAAATTCACGTCTTGCGTTTGGCGTAAACGTGAATCTTAATCTCTCTAATAGGGAGACGAGGACGTCTCGAACAAGAGTCGTTTTGGCGGAAAAACGTGATAGCCGTCGTCGTATTACTACGAATTCTATCGAGAATTTCGTAGAGACGGAAAAAAGTTATCAAATGTTACAAATTTGATCGTTGTGCGATCGGGAGCGGGCTTAACCTCCGTCAATGATGATAATAACCGTGCAAAGTGTTTTTGTAGAAAAAAAGTGCAATGTCCGCTACGCGAAGTTCTTATAGGCTTGAAAGTCGAAAGGTCCATGGGGCGGGAAACCTCTGCGAAAGGTACGATAGAACAGGCAATGAAAACGTGCAGCTTTGATGGAAAACGAGTTTAAAAGCGATGTTGCGCGTTTTACAACCCACTTTCAAACCTGTCTTGCAACGATTCATGTTGCTGCAAGTTGCGTGAATACTGACTTCTAATTGGATAAAATTACTCGGGAGCTGCTGCAAAACAAGTTTGCCCTGGGCCGCTAAAACGCGCATGATTTTGTTGCAACAATAACTAATTTTCTGGAAAAAAAAACTTTTAGCCCCCTTCCTCTCGCCGTCATTAGTCGTCACTAATAAATGATAGACTATGTTTATCAATGACGACCGTAAAATTTCATTTGGACTGATCCGGGATTGTTTATTCACGGGTTGGAGGTTAGGATTTGTTTTTGATCCTCAGCTGCATGAACTCCAACTTCTTTCTTTATGGAGAGCTGATACCACCATCTTCGCTGAATTAAATAAGCACCCCCCCACCCCCATCGCTATTAAGCGCCCTAAACGTGTTTGAAATACATAAGCCCCCGGGGGTTAACAGAGGATTTACGGTAAACGAAGATTCGCTCGAACAGTTCACAAACTCTGTATTTTATCTGTAGGGAGCTTAAGCAACGAGAACGGCAAAAAAGCACTAGGATTAATAAGCAAAACAACAACTTTGCACCTGCATCACGCGTTTTGGAAAAATTTCTTTGCCGTGTTGCACGACTACTGGACAAAGTTGATTTTAATGTATTAATGTATTTTTAATGTATTAGATTTTACTTGCGCCATTATTCCCGCGGTCTTTGACTCTTGTTCCTCGTTCTTTGCTCCTAAACTGCACAAAAACGCTTGCAACGCAGGCTAAGGACCCTCCTGAAAACCACCTTTAGGTGATTGGAGGCCTGTTAAAGTATCGTTTATTATAATAACGAGAAACTTCCCAGATTCACGTTTTATGGAGAACATGAGCACAAGATAATTTTCTTTTTCTTTTTTGTGCACTAGGGGATACAGTCTTTACTGAATTAACTCCAGAAAAATTCCCACAACAATGACATTGAACGGAAATAAGATAAGAGCTGTGAGGTTTTAAACAGTGAGAATTCACTTTTGAGGTGAAGTTTCGCTGCCGTTGCCGTCTTGCCTAGAAAAGAGAAAGGCAGTGAAACGATAGCCTGCGTCGCAAACGCTCTAAACCTTCTACAGCTGCTTCTATAAAGAGCTATACAAATGGTTTAGACGAGTGCGTGGGCCGGCTGCAAGGCAGGCTATGAAACGAGTGCGAGGGGCCCTATGCGTGTGTAGACTGTGAGCGCGACGAAAAAGCCGGTCGCTTTCCGCATACGCACACACGCCCAGTTTGGCAGGGCTCAGCCATGATATTTGCAGTGCCTATCCAGTGGTTGAGATTAAGTTTTGTGCAAACCTGCGTAGCTGGTTATTTGAAGGCGAGAGCCGCTTCCCGAGAGGAGATTGGGACAAGAACAACGAGATTAACTTGTTCACGTAGAGCTTGTTTTAGCCTGTGTACAGCTGTTTCTCCCCTCAAACAAAGTATCTCTTTGTTTGAGGGGAGGAGGAGGCTGTACACAAGCAAAGCTTATTTGCGCGCCCGAACAAAACCGCCAGCTAGATACACAGGCTCACTAGTACAAACCAGTCACAAAAGTCTGAACTACAGTGACAGGAAATAAGAGACTTACCATTACTTGCACGACATTTTGCGTGGACAGGCGTGGTGAAATGGATTAATGTTGCACGCACTGCGCGTTCACGGCGTGTGATGTATATTGCACGCAATATTGAGTACCGTATTTATTCGATTAACCGCCCTGGGCGCTTATTAAAATTTTGGACCTTGAGAGTGGGCGCTTATTCGAGGTGGGCGCTTATTCGAGGCTGGGCGCTTATTAAATTTTCACCATTCTCAGCGAGTGAAGTATGTTTATTTTGCAACAGAACAACAAAAAGCTAATAACAAAATGCGAAGAAGTAACAAAGCAAGGTTTCTGTAAAATACTCTGAAGAAAACTCCTTCCTCGGGGAAGTCTCGTAGTAGAATTTATTCACTAAAGTGGATGGGGTGGGGGGTAAGCGCTTATTTGAGTTTGATTTTGAGGAGGCGGGGTGGGCGCTTATTCGAGGCTGGGCGCTTATTAACTTTTTCTGCCTTTAGGATGGGCGCTTATTCGAGGTGGGCGCTAATTCGAGGTTGGGCGCTTATTCGAATAAATACGGTATTTCTTGCGTGAGATTTCCTGCACACATTATCTTAGCTCGCGTGACAACTCCGGAAAGGTGTGGTAGTACGTATTTATCGCAATCGTTGTCGTGGAATTAATAGAACATGGTACCAACATGGTTTCGCACCTTATTGATTCCCCTAGGACATACATCTTCCAAGAGAAAGTTAGCCTGATAAGACCGCCGATATTTCGCGACTCTACAACTGGTTTCCCCGGGAAATGACGTCTGAGGAACGAGCTCAGAAATTCCATACTGATGACGTGTCATTATCCAGATCTGGGTGGTAACAGTGAGTCTCTTAACTAAAACCCTTATTGGAATTCTCTGATACATTCCGAAACAAAACAACAGAAAAAAAAGGAATAAATAAACAAGTGAACAAAAACCACACATTTAACATAACAATGGTCACGTGTACAAATAACATCAAAATCTGCTCGGACGGAATTTTTTTTTAATCACAAGACAAATAGACTGTTGAGCAGTTTATAACTATAGAGTTTTGCACAAACGTGGTATCTAGAAACGCTTTTTCCGTCAATTTATTGCTAATACTGAGAACGATCTGCTCTACAGTTCAGAAGCTAGATTTGTGACTCGCGTAACTTAGAATTTGCCACAGTTCGAATTGCTCCCGGCCCCCAAAAATATATATTGCATGAGAATTGCTTTCGACGCTGTCTCTCGGGACGACCGTAATACCCAGGAGAAATTGCAAGCAAATCGTTTGCAAAATTTTGGGGGGTAAACTAGCTGAGTTATGGGCATTGGAAAGTAAGAAATTCTTTTAGTGCGGCGACGGCCCAAAGAAATCGGGGGAATCCCAATTACAGCTCTTAAACAGGAATGGATCATTAGCAATCTTATACTTATTCAAGTCACATGCTTTGAAGTTTTTGTCCTTATATAGGCCAATTGCATTGAAATCATTAAATTCTTGGTAGTCTAAACCAGGAATCCCTGATTCTTCCGCAGGAACTTTTTTCTACGTAGTTATGTCATTGAAAATTGAAAAGATAAAAAAACTACTTCAAAGCGTTGATGAATCAGCACCACATGATCGTCCGGTTCACGTCATGTACTTATCATCCAGTAATTCCTAATCGTTTCAAATCGATTTTTTTCGATAAGAACTCTTCTAAGTTTTGTTGTTGTTGTTGTTGTTGTAAATTATCATGCTTGGGCTGCCTGTGGTAATGAGTCTTTTTAATGTAGCAAACAGTTTCCACGCCCCGCTGCTCTGCTCATTAGACTTGTTTGAGCAATTCACATCATTCCTTGCATATTCAATACAGGATAGTGGTTAGCTTAATCATGCCGTGGACGGCAATTGGACAGAGGCGAGATTTATTTGGATCGGGAAGACATGTTCTAACGAAAAGTGAAAACGAAAAACGATAATATTCAGAACTATCAAAACCCTTTATGAAACAATTACTTATTTGAATGTTATTTTTGTGCTAAGGGGATGACGATGCAACGTCGATCATAAACTTGTTTTGCGGTCAGTGAGTATTGATCACAAGGGAAGCATTGACTGCACTCATAATTTTATTGGAACTCAACACCTGTCGATCCAATATGTGTTGCTTCTCGAAAAATTAATGATTTGATCGAGATCTTCTGTTCTGTACGTGCCTAGTTTTTCTAATTAAACCGTGAATCAAGAATAAAGTTCCGAGGTAGGAAAAGAGAAACAATCAAAAAGACGGAAAAAAGGGGGTGTTCTTTTTACTAAGACTGCTTTCGCTCGCTTTCGATTTCCGTGAAGTCTTATGACGTCGTTATATTATCCCAGGTGTGTCATCGAGGACACGTGATCCATTTCGTTTCAGTTTATCAGGATGGCAAGATGGCGGTAGAATTGTTTGGTTACTGGTACTTAAAATCCTGTTGCAAGAGCTTCAACGCGTGATACTTCCTTATCAACCTCCAATTTCGTAATCTGCTTAAATCTCCCACTTTCTTCGGGACGATGTTTTCGACTGAGACTTGTTTTCTTGGCCGTTCAAGCGCCAGCCTTGTTTTATTGTTGTTTGCGTGCGTCGGGAATTTTGTCAATTGTAGTTTCTACGACGAGAGAACTGGTAGCAGATATACAGAGGCCACTTTGAATATAACTGAATGCGATGGATCTGCTAAGAAATGCCGTGTACTGCCTTATGATGATGATCAAGCCAAGTTTGGCCAGCATAGCCCAAAACATAAAGCCAGAGGTTGGCTTTACTCGTTAATGGAAACCAACGTCAATGGTTGTAAAGAATTTAACGTAATGGTTGATCGAATCCCTTGGATAGCCCTCATCGAAAGAGGAGAGTGTAATTTCGAGAAGAAGATAAATAATGCCAAAAAGCACAACGCTACGGCTGTTATAATTTACGACAATAAAAATGGTGACGTTGTAACCATGTCTCACGACGAAGCGATTAACATTGTGGCTGTATCAGTGAAAAAGAGTCTTGGCCAAGCTCTCGCCCGGGCGCTAGTTAATCGAACGAAAACAGTTTTTATAGCTATTTCGGTGGGAAAAGTGTATGAAGAAACATATCAAGGAGTGAATCCTACTTCTGTCTTGTTCGTGTCAGTCTCATTTATCGTGCTTATGGTCATTTCTCTCGCTTGGCTTGTCTTTTACTACGTGCAAAGGTTTCGCTACGTCCACGCACGCGACAAAACCGAGGTAAGCCAGACGAAAAAGATTCGAAAATATGGATTGGAAAACTAAATAGCCATTCCATTGTAGTAGGTGTTGTATTAGAAAGCAGTTAATGTAAATTCATCAAGATAGCACATTTTAGTCAGCATGTTTTGGTTTTTTAATATTCACAAGTTTCTGTCACTTGACACTTTGTTTAATTGGTTTATCAACCATTCACGGACTGCAAAAACTTGAACAAAGCAAGTGTTTGTTGACTTGTAGTTCTGTGGTATATTTCCTCCTTCGGTCTTCGTAATTAACGGGTTTGGAATTCTGAAAGGTTTTGCGTCACGGAAATTGCATTCAAAACTAATCACTCTACATTGTTATGAAACAAGTTGTAGCAAAAAACCCTACTGAACCGCCTTTGGTGGTCTGTGTGTTCAAGTTGAATGATCCCATGGTTTTCCTTCTGTTTAGCTTACTTAAAACACTGTGAAGGCAAATGTGAAAACTAAGGTGATACCAGTGTTTGTTTTCATTTGCCTCAGGGCCGTAGATATGGCATTTTTTTGAAACCAACTTTTGCTCGAAAAAATATTGCATGCTGCTTATTATGGAAGTTTGAGGTGTTTTAAACAGTGCATCTCTCTGGTGGAATGGCTTTTTTGTAGTAGCATTAGTTGGTCTAATTAAAGCTAGGGGATTCTCATTTACAAATGTGTGGTTTACAACTTTGGTTAGGACAAGTTTTGACATAGGAAATTGCTTCAGTGTTAAATTACGGCAGCTTTCAGATAGGTTTCTGCTTGGTACACATAAAGTTGTCATGTTTGTAACATGATTTTTGCTTGTTGTGTAATAACCTTAGTCTTTGTTGGTTCAAGTCACCTGTGATTATGTAATGTAAATTTTGGATGTTCATGCTTGATGAAAAGTTTGTACACCGTGACTAATTTGTCCTCTAGGAAAGTCAAAGCCTTGTGAAAGACTAATACTATTTTTTGCCAAGTTTCATCTTTTTAAACAATCGAAAACTTGAGATGTGAGTGAAATCCGGACAACCACAAATCACATAGACTTCTATATACACCTGTCTTTCCAAACAGCTGCAGGAAAGAAAGCTAGCAAACCTTTTAGGCTTGCAAAAGTGTACTTTTTTGCATAAGACAGACACAGGCAACAGATGCAAGTGTGTTGCTAGAGGTAGCCATAATTTGGAAAATATCTTTGATGATTGCTTTGTTGATTGGCCTCAGCATTGCCAACAAATCACGTTCATTACTATTTTTCTCTACCTTTCCAATCTACGACCTAACTGAACATGGCGATTGTTTTATTTTGGCAGTAGAAGAAACTATGGTATTTTTCAGTTTTTGAGATGCCTTTTTTATGGTTGAAAGGCTCATAAAAAAGGGAAAAATCCCAGTGGTGTTGCTTCAATGTTAAATGTGGCTGTTAATTAAAAATTTTAATTAAAAAAATCTTTAAAAAGTGCAGGTGTTTATTACATGCTTATTTGCTTTCCCTGAACAGACCCATACAATATGTTAGTTTTTTTTTTAAATAAATGTTGTCTACTAGATTTTTCTCTAGGTAACTTTCTTTTGGGACTTGTATATAAGTCGTTAATGTAGTGAACCAATATTGAAACTAACTGGTGTTGTTATAGGAACAAAAAAAACCAAACAAGTGTTGATTTGATTGTTGTTATATTATTAGTTCACAATTTATGTGGTCAAATGTTCCATATGTGATCTTATCTTTTTTTAACAGAAACGTTTAACTTCAGCTGCAAAGAAAGCCATAGCCAAGCTTCCGACCCGCACAGTCAGCAAGAAGGTAAAAAAGTGGCTATATTTGTATAAAAAAGAAAACTTTGTTAGCACAAGGATCAATGTAGAGGGTTTTTAGATATGATTCTTGACCGATATCATGTGTGTGGGAAAATACTCTTGATATATTAGCTTAATGAGTTCTCAAATCACATTAAATGCATTTTGTTCCTATCAAGTCGCTTAATATTGTTGAGTGTTTGTCCAGATAATTTGATATCTGAATAATATATGAAACTTGCTTTCTTTATGTTTAGAAAAGAGGAACATGACTTTGTTTCTAAATGCTAAACCAGGCACTTTCATTTAATTCAGTAAAAAATTATCATTATCAGTTTTTGTGCATCGTTAGTTTCAGTAGTGAATTTGGTAAGAAAATTCCCCTTCACAAACATTTCTACTGTTGGAAATAATAATTATTGAAACTGTGCAACCTAAGCATCAATGTCCTAAATGTTTTTGATCACGAGGATAAGTAAAATTCTGTTATGTTTAGTTTCAACTTTTGGTTTGGAACCCATTCTGGAGACTGGTTTTAACACCTAATTTTGAAAAAAATAATCAAAGTTTAATTGCCACAGACATATGAAAGAGGAATTGAAGTAAGTTAATATTTCTTTTTATAGACATCTGAGGTCACTGATCATAACCTAAGTGACATGTTGGGTAAAAATAGACTGTCTTCATGTCTGTTCTAAGTTTTCCTTTTAGCCCAATAATAAAAGTAACATTTCAAACCCTTACTAGAAATTTTGACATTGTTTATGTCCACATCAACGGATCTCATGTAAGTCATCGACTTTTACCATCTTCTTTTCTACTTCTTTCTATAGAAACAGCTTTTATTTGTAGCTTTTCTTCGAGTCATTTTGACCTCTGCTATCACATATTATGTTTGTCTATGCTTCATTCTGTACTCTACGTCAGTTTTGATCTCAGTTTTGATACCCAAAGTTGATTTTCATGTTGGTTTTAACCCCAGAGGAACAATCCCAGAGTCTTGTCTGAGTTAAAACTGGTGGCTAGTAGAATGTCTCCAACAATAAATAATGCTTCTCTTGATTGTTACTTGAATAACAACTACAGCAATGGTAAAGTCACTATTGCAACAGTGTAACATAAGTATCACCTCAGCCATCACAATATTAACACAATTATTGCAATAGTCAAAATGATCTTAGTAATCACTCCAAGTCCTCTAAAACACAAATTTACAAGATTGTTGTAGAGAGTTTCGCTTTTATGCAAGCGTTCCATGAAAATATGATATGTCTTGTTTTGCTTTTAGACGGAAGATGATGAATCAGACAACTGTGCAGTGTGTTTAGATGGTTATAAAGCAAGTGATGTGGTCCGTATATTGCCCTGCCAGTAAGTAGAATGGTTATTATAATTTTGGAAAACAGTTCTATTTCTTTGTGTCTTTAACCATAAAGATCTCAGCGTGTGTGATCACCTGTAGTCAGACTGATTCCTTTTTTTGATATAAATGTAGATCTGGCCCCAGTTGTTCAAAATGTGGATAATGCTATTCACTGGATGAATAAATCTCTGTCCAGTGGATAGTGCAAAAAAAAATTAACGTATGTCCTAATACTTATCTGCTGGATAGTGATTTATCTGGCCCCAGTTGTTCAAAAGTTGGATTGCGCTATTCACTGGATAAATCACTATCCAGTGGATAGCGCAATTGTTATTTGTACTACTTATCTGCTGGATAGCGATTTATCCAGTGGATAGCGCAATTGTTATTTTTACTACTTATCCGCTGGATAGCGATTTATCCAGTGGATAGCGCAATTGTTATTTGTACTACTTATCCGCTGGATAGCGATTTATCCAGTGGATAGCGCAATTGTTATTTGTACTACTTATCCGCTGGATAGCGATTTATCTAGTGGATAGCGCTATCCATGTTTTGAACAACCAGGGCCTGGTGGATAGTGATATCCAACATTTGAGCAACTAGAGCCACCTATTATTTTCTTTTTTTGAAAAGCACTGTTGTTAGTTGGGCTTGTAACCCATGATATTTAATTTGCCGCATTGTGTATGTGAAAAACTATTTTGATAGTGTAATGTTTCAATTAGACCTGTTGGCTGTAGACTATCAGTATTCCCTCATTTTTCCTCAGGGATAGTAGAGCGTGCGAAACGTGAGCACACGTGAAAATCATCCCATTTTCACGTGCGCTCTCGTTTCGCTCGCTCTACTATCCCTGAGGAAAAATGGGGGACTGCTCATAGTCTATGTTGGCTGTGTTCCAATTAAATGAGACTCAAGACAAAATGCTGCAGACTGTGGAATCCTGATTTTTCAAAAACTGCATTTACCATAAGACACCTGAAAACGTGGTTATGACTAAGATGAAAGTTTATTTTGTGCTCCAAAGCCTAATGTTAGTAAATAAATTTTCATACATTTTCCATACCTTCCTCTGCTTTTGAGCCAATATTCCAAACTGTTATTGTTATTGAAAGACCCCTTTTGCCCTGAGATTCTTTTTCTTAACTTTCTTAAAGTAACTTCAAACTATATATTGTGACAACTTTGATTGTGCATGGTTTGTAACTTTGTGATGACATGTACCTCTCTAGGCATGAGTTTCACAAGCTGTGTATTGATCCATGGTTGGTAGAGCACAGGACCTGTCCAATGTGTAAACTCAACATCTTAAAAGAATTGGGAGTTGTGAGTATTTGTATAGTAGCAGTTATTGGTGTTCTCAAATATTTACCTTTGTAGTTGTAGTTGTTTTAAAGGAAACAAAGGGAAAATATAAGCAAGATGACATTCTAACAGTTCTATTCCTTGCCTACAAGTAAATTGCTATTGACCTGGCAACTTGAAATCTTATTGACAGCTCTGAGACTTATTCCAAATGGCACCCAGAGCTTTATTTGGAGTCACAGACAACTTTTGGCATAAAATAAGCCAAGAAATAACTCCTTTGTCTATTATTCCCAATTCACGATTTTCACATAGACCATAATGCATCTTGTTTGCCCTGGCCACAAAATTTTGCGTAACCATGGTTTCTAATTTCTCCTGTGTATTACTGTCGCCCCAAGAGAAATCGAAAAAAAAAAGCACTTTATTTGAGTGTCAATGTATTTAGCACAAAAGTGCTAATTGGGGACATTATATTAAGTCTCCTAATGGAAACGGGACCGCCATTTTATGTGGTCATCCGAGCCACGCCAATATCTAGTCACCTGCAGGGCAAAGGAAGTACCTTCATTTCTCAGTTAAGAAAAGAAAGGAGGTGAGAATATAACTGCAGTGAAACCATTTGGAACTGAATTTCATTTTGGCCTACAGCATGTATATTATTGAAAGGGCTTGAATTTTGTTTTCAGTAATTTAGTTCCCTTTTTCCCTCCTTTACCTTGGTAACCTTTAGACCAGTGACGAGGTTCGCAGCAGAGATGTAGAGGTTGCTACTACTGAGCAGGAAGATCATCACACGGCTGCTGATAACCAGGGTGTGGTGATGAATGAAATTGAACCTTCAGTTAGTGAACGTAGGCCAAGTTCTGACACTTCAGGTATGCACTGCTTTTAACCCTTTAGGTCTCAAGAGTGACCAACATCAATTTTCTCCTAACAACATCAGCAGATCATCAAGTGTAAAGGTTATGAGAACTACTAAATTGATTACCAAAGGGAGAATGCTTTGATCTTAAACCAACTTCTCTCAACTATTTTTAAATGGAATGTATGGAGATAAATGTGGAGAATTTGTAAATGGATCTTGGGGCTAAAAAAGGTGAATACAGTAGAGTCCCATTGAGATGTCCACTTTTAGGCCACAAAAAAAGCTGATTGTTCTAACTGCAGTTAACACGGTGGTGATATAGGATGGATGACAGGATGGTATCAAATCAGGTAGCTTAATCCAAGTTTCACCCATTCATGTAATGGGGATCGATTCAAGGCATGTTATTGGTAATGTATTTCAGGGGTGCAGAGGAAGTCAGTTTTACACCTTGCCCTTTGAGCAAGCTGTAGCTCATTCTGTAGCTAGTATCTACTAACCAGAGAGTTAATTAATTGCTTTATTAATTCATTGTAATAATAAAGTAGTTATTTCATTTTGTGAGGTCAACTTAAAAAGCAAATTTTAATGCACATGAATTCACTAGGAATTTTAACAATTTGTCTTACAGTACTTCCGTAATTTGAATTCCCCCTCCAAAAAATGTCTTGTTGCATCTGGTTTGAACATTTGTTCCAGTTGTTTCTGGAATCCAAAAACTGTTATTGATGTGATGGATAGGAAGTTGACATTCTGTCCTGTATTGAGTGTAAAAGGCAGTGTTTATTAAAAGCAGGATCTTGGAGGTTAAAAGAAAATATTTTTGTTAAAATTTGGAACCTCCAGTTGAAGCTTTCTTTAATATTACAGCCAGCTTCCTCTCAGTAGACTCCTTCCTGAAGTTAGTTCCTGCCATTATGACTCACAAAAAGGGCCAGCTCCAGTTGTGCCCATCTTAAAAGAAGTACTACTTGCAGGTCAAGAATTAAAGCCATTCTCTTGAAACTAACAGCAGTATTGCTTTAACATGATTCTTTTCAGAAAGCTCCAGTGTTTCTGGTGGGTCTGGCCGTGTGTTACATGTCAGTGCAGAGGTCAATTGGGAAAGAGAAGATCAATCAAGTTCAACGTCTAATTTAGTTGATCATCCTAATTTGCAAGCTTAGAAATTTATCATTACAATCAGTGCTTTCTTATCATGTACACATGAGGTATCTCAACCTCGTAATGAGGCTTGTAAATAGATGTATCGTAGGCTTTAAATTTAAGAGTGGTTATTGCTTGAGGCAATGCATTATGGACATGTGGATTACACACCAGTTGCACTTTGTCTTTAGCTCCTTTAACCCTGTGCCCCCAAGTGTAAAACACAAAATCAAAATTAAGGAAACTGGCAGATTTCATTTTGCAAAAATTAATACAGTGAAAAAGAGACAAATAGAACCATGTGAAAGTACTGCAAGAGAGGTTTTCTTTGAATGGTCACACCATAGCATTTCCTCCACAGACTCAAAGTTAGAGTTGTGTACAAAACAAGTAGAACAATGTGAAAGTACTGTGAGAGAAGTTTCATTTGAATGGTCTCACTAAAGGATTTCCTTCACAGACTCAAAAGTTAGAACTACGTATGAAATAAATAGAACCATGTGAAAGTACTGTGAGAAAGGTTCCATTTGAATGGTCACACCAGAAGATTTCCTCCAAAGACTCAAAAGTTAGAATTACTTACCAAAAAAATAGAACCATGTCACAAAATGTGAAAGTACTGAGGAAACGTTCCATTTGAATGGTCGCACTATAGGATTTCCTCTACAGAATCAAAAGTTTGAATTGCATACAAAACAAAATTAATAGAACCATCTGAAAGTACTGTGAGAAAGGTTCCATTTGAATGGTCACGCCATAAGATTTCCTCCACAGACTCAAAAGTTAGAATTACGTACAAAATAAAATAATAGAACCATGTGAAAGTACAGTGTGAGAGATCTCATTTGAACACCATAGGTTTTTCTAAAAGTTAGAACTAAACTTCATGTTTTCTTCATTACTGATCTTGGGGTGAGAGGGTTTGGTCATCTCCCTCCAAGAAGGACTCCACTAGAAGGCAGGAAAAGCTGGTCCTTGAAAGAACTCCTGTTTACCAAAGCATTTCAAGTTTGTTTACAAATTTCTTTTTTGTCTGAATGAAGACTTTTCGGTTTAGAACTATGTATAGTGCAGAAATATTTGGGCATCATTCCTTGCAACATTTTCGTTGACTCAATAGTTAATTTTGCCTTAAAGATTTTTGGTGCACTCATTAAAAAAGAAAGTATTCAAAACCCAAGAACTTTTTGCTCTTGCAAAGGGCACAAGGTTAAAACATTTTCAAATTCATATCCTGGTTAACATGGTGAAGCTATGCATCTGAGATTCACTTGAATTACTTGAAAGGAGATAAAAAAATTAGTTGTTTCTTTTGAGGTAATATTATATATTAGTGATCTTTCCACACTCCTTTTTGCTACAAAAACCACTGAACTGTCCAATGGAGGCAATTCTGAAGAGTGCTTCTCTTCCCTCTTTTGACCCTGATGAGTGAATAGTCATTTTTTTTACTGTTATTAGAGGTGGGAAAATATAATAGAATGAAATAATTTTGGAGTTGTGAACCCTTAAGAATATGACAGTTTTTTTTCCTGGCCAATGGGAGACGTGTTTTTTAATGTTTTAAGTTATTTCCTTTCTGGATTGTGAATAATATTATTATGCCTTTAGTTCATCACTGGTGAGGAATATTTAAGTGTTGGCTTGCAATTTTCTTCCATTTTTTTTGCATGAAAATTATGTTGATGTAATTTTATGAGTTGAAATGTGTTAAACTGTACATGTTGATAATAATATTATTATGATTATTACAGCAAGCCTTAGTTTGACTACATGTAGATTGCAAGCAGTCTCTCAATGTGAAGTGGTGCTTGTAGGAGGGCTGTCAGTAAAGATGGGAAGCCGGGGATTTTCCCTGATGACTATGAGCATGATCTCTGGCTACTGTCATAGGAAACAAAAAGAAATGCAGTGGAACCCCACTCTACAGACACCCGCTTAATACGGATATCTTTTTATAATTTACAGTTTTGTTTGTTCCGACAAAGAAAAAGCTCATATATTTTGTATAAAATTAACCTCCTTAATACAGACACCCGGTTAATGCGGACACTATGCATGTCCTGTGGTTCCAGTGTAGAACCAATAGAACTTCCTAGCTGTTTCACTTCCTGCCTACTAATCGCATACCCTGGGGGATGAAGTCTTAGTCACAGTCCAGTTGTAGAATTGCCAAAAAGAGAGTCTGCTTGTATTCTATGGTAGAGACCATTATTTAGAGGAGTTCAGTATCATAGTATTTAAGTGTTACATTTTCTAGTTACATTTTGTTGCATTTTAGTCATGATTTTACCACTTTGTATTGAATCAGTAGGATGTTAGTATTCTCAGGAATGATTTGGTTACCTTGAGTTATGAGACCTGTAGATTGGATGGCCTAAAAGCAAGCTCTCTATTTGGGGTAGTCGCACAAAGTTATGCGAGAGCCAGAATGCAAAGGGAGACGCAAGTGCGAGGAGCGTGGAAAGAAGTTTTCCTCCTCCTTTGTTCGTGGCTTTGTAACTTGCTCACATGTTTTCTCGCGGCTCGCTTCGCTCACTATAATTCATAGAGCTTGCTTACAGGCTATAGGTTGGACTGCAAGTATCAGATTGAGTTAAGTACGAATTTTCAAACCAATTTCATGAGCTCCAGATAAGCGTTTGTCACAACAATATTATTTTATCTCTGTCTTTCTCTGTCCTGGTTAGTAACAAGGAGGAGTGACAAAACTTGCTAGAAATTCCAAAGTCGTATTCGTACTCAATCTCGTACTCGAAGTCAAATCATAAAGTCACTATTGAAAAAGGAGACGTTTTTTCCAGCAGCAAGTAAAATAATGCTGCATTTGCTTCCTTTCTGTCCATTTCATTTTTGATCAGTTAGAGTCTCTCCTGTGATTAATAACAAGTGTCAGTAGTAACCTTGGCCCTGAAGTACTCACAGCTGAATGATAAGTCCACTGACAAAGTCATGTGAATACTTCCTGCCACAGTGTACTTGTAAATAGATGTCAGTAGATAAAGTTGAAGAAGTGCATTTATGACTGTGATAAGCTGAAGGCAAATATATGTACAAAATGTTTGGTATTTAAATGTTGAATTGTCTTTTCCAATTCTTATGGCGAGACGGGTGTTTTGTACTAGCTCAATCAAGTTTTTGCTGATGTTAGACAGTGAGTAGGGAGTGCGGGGGATTCGGAGGGAGACAAGCGAGAAAGGGACTAAGGGTTTGCAACCATGTAACAAGAAATTTGTGTGAACTTTGGTTGAGGGGAGGGGTAGGTGGACAGTTTCTAAGAATCTTCTACAGATTTCAGAGGTCTTTTCTTGCGTGTGGTGTCTTCGCCCGGAGGCCGAAGTCATGAGTGGCAAAGCAGGTCACTCTTAAAGACCGTGCATGAAACGTCTCTGGCACCCAGGGCACTTTCCAACATAAGTTACACCAACAATAAAAGTTTAAGGGCGTGTTTACATGGAGGTGGGGGACCCCCGGTAGGTGAGGTAACCTACGAAGGGTCAACTTTCCTGTCCAGTATAAGCATGATCAAATTAAAATGAGAGATTATATGGACAGGTGGGTTACCCCACCTCAGCGGGTGACCTCACCTACCTGGGGTCCCCCATGCCCTATGTAAATAGGCCCTAGTAGTCTACTTCCCAGAGGGGAGAAACGTTTTATCAACCAACACAGCCCCCGTGACGTCGACTGCAAATCACATTTTAAAAAAAAGAAAAAACAAAAGTGCACCTAGTAACCGAGTCAGCCTTTTCGACTCGACGACTGAACTGAGATTATTTGGCGATGACTTGTCTACCTAGTCTGTCACAACACACAAATTCGGGGGAGACAACACTGTATATAACTGGTCCGCGAGTTAGTCAGAGCCACTCGCGGCGAGGCTATGCGTTTCATGATATTGCTTGCGCGCTTACTTGCGCGCCCGCTCCTTTCAACACATGGGAGGCCTGGGTACTAGTGGCTAACAAAGATGGCGTCCATAGCGAGGTCTTACATTCTCGACAAAAAACGGTGAGAAATCTTCCCAGAACAGAAAATCGGACATGCATTCTCCTCTTCTAAGTCTACTTGGCACAGCTTTCCATTTACTTAAACATTTTAATTTGCGTTTTAAGGCAACAACAGGCGGGAAATCAAAGATGTCAGAAGTGTTTACAAATTGGCCATTGGACGTATGAATGTACCAACAAACGCAAGTACTTACAGAGAGATTCAAGAACCGCTGTCATAAAAAAGAAAATAAAATTGATGAAATCTGAGAAAGCAAATACTGATTCAACTAACAGGTAGGCTCAGTGATTTTTTCGGTGAAGAATTAAAATTTCTTTACAGGATGGTGGAAATTAAAGAGAAACATGGTGGCAGAAGGGGGGGACCACCCATCACGCCGATTTTTTGAAGCTATTACGCATCACAGAAAAATGAAATTTGAACTACATTAACAAGTATCCTATTATCATTTGATCTGATGAAATCAGAGGTCGATGAACGAGAAAAAAGGGCAAGAAGTTGGTGTCATAACTATCTCTGCTTCTAGTTTCAAAATAATGATATTAACCATCACAGAAATTTCAAAGGAAAATCATGCATGCATCACATGTTGTGAAAATAGTAAATCAAGCATCATGCTGCTATGCCCAATCACGCCTCATGCGGCTACTTTGGCCCCGATCACAAAACACACTGATAATTTGGGTCTGATCACACAGCACGGAAAACTCCTTTGCCATCTTGGAGAAACTCAGGAGAGAACTGGTAGATCACGGGCAGCCCAAACTTGGGGTTTATGGTCATCAGCTTCCTCCGGTCCTTCAGCCATTTGTTGACCACCCTCCCCTCCTGTGTGGTCCTGGGAACTTGTTAGGGGTCATGTGACCCCTGTGGTGTTCCTTGTACTTTTTGTCCGAACCATGTGCTTGATGACTCGTGTTCCTTGAAAGTATTTAAGCCGTATAGTCGCTCGATACACTACACCACTGGAGGGGCTACTTTTAGAATTCTTTAGTGAGTGTGCCACTAGAATCGTGGAACTCTACTAACTATGCCAAGCACCAAAATTTCTAAACCTCCCAACTTTTCCTAAGTTAAATGCGTGTGAAACAATCCAACAACTTCCAAACAGTGCCAAAGCCATTCTGATGACTTCCAACTGGTACAAAGATATTCCAGTGATTTTCACGAGTTGACAAAATTTGTGGAGTGTTAAATCTCGGTGCCATATTGCCAAAATCATGCAAATAATGCTGAGGTTGCAAATATCTTGGCAAGATATCCAGTGTCACCTATTTGGTTGCTTTTCACCCTAATGGTTACTGAATAAAATTATTGTAAGTCATGTGTGTGAAATATATTATTGCCCTGAAAGCTTGTTATGGAAGTTTTTTATCAGGGGGCATGTGAAACATGCAATATGATGTACGGTATCTGAGTTGGCAGATAAAATTCTCCTTCCTGTCCCGGACTAACTGTGATCATGGAAACTCCGGTCTTGATACCACTGAAGAATCCTGCACATCTGTTAGCAAGACCATGTCACAAAAGGGGAGTTGCTTGACAGAGCAGGAATGAAGGCACTGAGTGATGAATAATATTGAATAAAGATGACGGAAAATGTTTGGGCACATCCTGAGACAAGACCAAAACAGTGACTACAATTATGTAGCATTGACCTAGAAACCAAATGGAAAGAGACAAAGAGGAAGACCTCAAACTACAATGACGAGGACAGAGGAAAAAAAGTAAAGAGAGAAGGGGGTTGGGGGTCTTGGGATGAGATGTGAGAAGAAGGAACTGACTGTCAGAGAGAGTTAGAAAAGCTCTGTGAAGGTCCTATGTGCCATAGACGGACACAGAGGATAGGTGTTCAAGGTGGAGGTGATTGAATAAAAGTTGTAACATGAATGGTGCGTCCTCACTACACTACCAATGTAACACATCATTTTGTTGAATCATTTTCTGACCACCTCACCTGCCACCTACTAATTTCATTTTGTAAGAAGAATCTGAAGAGTGGTTAATGATGACTTTTTCTGGGGCATGATTTGATGTGTTTCTGCCCTGTTGGCTAAGCCAGTCAAAACACTGTTGCTAATTAGTTGCTTATTAATTATCCAGTTGCTAATTAATTCTTGGTGTTAACAACTGGATCCAAAGAGTCAGAGATGCATTGTTTTCTTTTGATGCATGTTTCCTAATTTGCTGTTTTTCTTAATTCTTTCTAGTGAGGTTATTGAAACTGAGAACAAAACAACAAACAAAAGGTATCCCAACATCTTAGTCATTTTACTCATGTTTATGTTCATAATATAGCCTCCCACAGTGAACCCACAGAATCAAGTTGTCACAGACATATTTTTGGCTTGTCACGCAATCCTGCGTGATGAAACCCTATGAACATCTGTGTGGAAGGCTATTGATAATAGAGACCTTTGGATGTGAGGACAAGGACTATTACAAGGACGAGTATTCACTTGAATTTTTTCATCTATTCTCACGGAATATACATCTCAGAAAGCTCTATTGTACTTGTTTTTTACCTGTTAATCCCTCTCCTGATCACAAAATCATAAAACTTCTAACCTTTGATAACTGGTTTCCACCCTTATGACATTTTTGCTTAAACCTGTAATGTATTCTCCCACATTTTCCTACCTAAATAGTGCTGGTATACATGTGCACACTACTTAATATTAGGAAATATTGTCCTCATAGATATTTGTCCTCATTTTCAAATAAAAGGTCCCCAGTGTTGCTTATTATCTCTTTGTGACGCTTAAAAATGAAACTGGCCAATTTAAATTTACCCAGGACTCAGCTGAATAGGTAAGAAAGTGTTGACCTCAGTAGTTTCTGAAAAATAGCAACTCTAGGACTCTCTAGAACTCTAGGGATTTTGGGAGTTCAGTCCAGTACAGTGTAATGAAATTGTGCTGAACCAGGTCTGGTATAGGCTGATAGTCAGGGGGGTTCCAGTGGCACATCCCCACCCATACAATTCTTAAAGTGCCCCCAGGGATTCCTGGGACTTTGCCTTATACAGATTTGACTGTATTAAGATAAACACCACTACGCTAAGGCAAAGCCACATTATTTTATTTCTTTATCCATAGGAAAGGCAGCGGTAAAAGTGAAGATGAAAGTGATGAGTCCGACGAGTCTTCAACCACAGATAGCAGCAATGAGAGTAACTCCTCAGAGGAAAGCAGCAATTCTTCTAGCGACAACAGTAGCAGTAGCAGCAGTAGTGGTGAAAGCAGTTCAGATCATGAGTCTGACAGCAGTGATGATGATAAACCAGTGAAAAAGAGGAAAAAGAAAAGTCGTTGAAACTTGGCTGACATTTTGAAAGGACAAAAATTGCTCGCTTTGCTGTGTCACTGATAGGATTATGGAACTTGGTCATCACCGTGATCAGTGCTTCCAAGTTGACTTATCAAGTGAGGATACAGCTTTTATTATTTCCAAGAACACGAATAGTTTCCCGTGCAGCCGTTATGTGTCTCGTCACGCAATATCACGCAACACTAGAGCGTCTGGTCACGAGACAAATAATAGTCGCTTTGGCAGATCGCTTTGGAGACTAGCAAACCTGTGTGACGTAAATGTGCCGCTCAGCAGAGAAGGAGCCCAAGAACGTATTACTCTTTGTTTCTTTTTATTTGTTAGTAACACAGGATGTTTAACAGTGAGTAGCCTGCATGGCTGGCGGTTTGTTTAGCGAGAGGGAAAAATAAACAGCAAAAAAGCGCAAAGCCACAAGGAGAATAGGACGGAAACGAGGGTGCATGCCCCTTTCTTTCTTGCGCTCATAGTACTTTCAAGCGCCTGGTAAGCAGGAATGCATGATAGTTTTTAACCTGTGTAGCTGGCGGTTTTCTTGTCATTTTCAAATTTCCCCGCGGCTTCGCCGTTCGTTCACTCGCTCGCTCCCCGATATTATTTCCATGTAGTCAGGCTATAAAGTTTTAAGTTATGACTAGTAGAAATTCTTGGGTTCACGCCTTCTGCTTGTTACATTATCATGAAGGCCATAACGGAATGAACCTGTGGATTTCAAGACACGTACAGTACATTTGATGAGAGCTGAGAAGGATTTAAAGGGTTAAGTACAGTTTCAATCGTTTCAGTCCTTGCTGTCTCTCACATTGTAATTATAATTACGAAGATTAAAACTTTACTTTATAACGTAGAGACTGTCAAAGGGAAATAAAGTACACTCTCAAGTTATTCGGGGAGTTCATGGACTGTGAATCAGATCCTCCCACGTGTCAGTTTTAGTGGATCCCGGCCGGAGATCCATGTGAAGTCCCCTTTCGAACGGATTACGTTCGTTTCGCCTACGAATCGTTTCGCCAACGTCCTGTTCACTAACTTTTGAATTCGTTTCGCGTACGTGTTGGGTCAGTTCCCTAACTGCTTTCGCCTGATCAGTGGCTGAAAGAACGAGGTATATACATACGTATCGCACTGTTGTGTATTGTGGCTGAGAGAACGAAGCATATACATGTGCAGTGCTCGTTTCGCTTCTTAGCCGAACGACATAAGACGTTAGCTAAACGACTTGTAGGCAAAACGGCTGGTCACCTTTCGAACATATTGCCACAATTAAGGCCCGTCCAGGGTGGGGAAGGCGTTTGATCTCGCGAGCGCGCTATAGGGTTTATGACGTGTTTTGGTATTGTTTGTTTCGTTGGTCATTCGACGCATTCAGATTGATTGTTAAAAAAATTGTGTCGTTAATTGAGAATATAACCAGGTTTTCTCCTCATGTCGTTTGACGAGAAACGGGATCCTATTTCGGATGAGCTACTGGACAGTAAAACTAACCAATTAGATGAAGTCAGTGTGGAAAATAATTTTGGTTGCCACGCACTAGGAAATCTTCACAGCAAGAATCGTCAAAACCACATAAAATGTAAGCCGCAAAGTCATCATGAGTCACAAGGCTCAGATTCGTCATTATCGGAAAGCCGAGAAGAGAGCAATGAAAGAACCAGCGGTTTGCCAGTAGGAACCGAGGAAATGGACCCAAATTTAAACGATCGCGATAAACTGGAAATGCTACAAAACGTAGTTAAGACTGTGGGTGGAGACTTAGAAGATATCAAGACTCTGATGTTAAGGCTTCGGAGCATTTTGAGCAACGGCTGCGGCGATGGGGACAATGCGGCCATAAATAGCCACAACCGGGCTTCCGTTGAAGAAAGCTCTACGCCGGAAGTTATAGTAATTGATGACAGTGATGATGATGACGATGATCATGGGGCCATGAAAGATTCTCAGCGATTACATTATGAAGCAAACCAGGAGGGAGAACCTTCAAGAGAAAGTTCTACAGAGTCGTGTTTTGAGGAGAGTAAATACTCCACGCTAATTACTGATATAGAAGTACTAAAAAACAAACTTGTGTCTCTCAAGAGAAATCTAGCAGAATAACGCAACTCTCCTTAGGCGCGGCTCTCTTTAGCAATCTACTTATTCCCAAACTTGGAGTCTTTTTCTCTAGAATATAAAATAAAGTTATTTAACCTTTTGTTGAATGATGATACAGTTGAATTCCGTGAGTTACAAAACTTCTTTAAAGCATTCTTTTGCCAAAAAAATGTCTTAATTTTCTTGTTCTTCAGTGTTTCACAGCTGTTAAGTTTTGTTTAACTGCTCAACAGCGTTCAAAAGGTGTGGGCGAGGGACTGTTGGTTCTGGTTGAGATATTTAAAGTCTTCTTGACTACCACACATGAGAGGTAAAAATAAACCTCAAAAAGCCAAACACTTTTTAATGATCGTGTTCAACTTAAGCCTCAAAATCCCCCAACACAAACGAAAAACTAGTGCACTGGATGCCAGTGGCTTTTCATCATGCGCGTTTTCCGATTTCAGTTTAGTCTCTCTCGCCGTTCGGCCTTCGGCCGAAGTGTGTCGAACTGCACCCTGTGGCCGTCACCGAATGCACTCGAGATTAAAATCTTTGGCATCCAGGGCCCGGTAGTTCGAAGGCCGATTAGCGCTTAACCCGCGTTTAAATTTCACTCAGGTTTCTTTCTCTTGTGTTCAAAAGCATTTTCTCGGACAATTTTCTGTGCTATTTTTAGAGTTTCCAATCATCAACTGGTAGACAAAAAGAATTAAAACTGAAATGCTTTTTAAGCTTTCAAATCTGAATTCAAATCTCGCACTAACCCTGGGTTATCTTAACCCAGTTTTGAACAACTTGGCCCAGAGTAAGCCTCCGGGTCGGAAGAGTTCTACTGTATATTTTTTCGGCCATTTGAATCTCTCAAAACCGCAAGCAGAGATGTCCCTCCAGAGCAATATCGCGTTAAAATTGCTCCAGGAGATAAAACTGAACCGAGGATACGCAACCTTGCGGGGGAGGGGGGTGTGGCCTAAGCTAGGCAAATTTATGGACCGGGAAGGTGGAGTTTTCCAAACGGAATGGTACGGCACTTATCATGCAGATTTGACCATTATTAGGATCAACAAAAACTAGACTGGCCATTTACACTAAAAATGAAAATGAACTTGATTTGCACTAAATAGCACCTTAGGTATTAGAGAAATTTTGGTTATGTATACATCCATTCGATTAAATTTTGGTTCTGAGTGAGAAATTCGTTCGTACATACGTACGTCGTACGTCCACCAGTGAGCCGAGGAGAAATTTTGGATTTCAAGCATCCGCGCGTTTCGGCGGTAAATCGCATGGCCACCAGGACTTTTAGAGAGAAAAATTAAATAACAACAAAGCCGAGTCTTTCTTACCACTAAATTTTAATGCCTATATATATTGACGTGAATAACAGAGAAGGAGCTGGAGCGAGAAAGGAGACTAGAGGCCAGCAAGGTGAAAATGAGCGGCAGTGACGAAAAAAAAAACGAACAGCAGTTCTTCCATAAAACGTTTATTAAACTAGGAAGTTTCTGGACGTTTCAAGCTGCGTCAAGCAAAATGAACAAAAAAGTGCGCGGCACATGTGAAGTTGTTTTTCTGCTAATTGTTCTACTACTATAAAAGATCTATTAATTTTTTTGCCGTGACGTTGCCGTCACCGCTTAGCATTACACGATTTTATATTTTGTTTGAGTAAACTATAAATATTAACAGAGAGCATCTTCACAGGCTAAATCTATACATTATTTCCATGTGTACTTACAGAATTAGAAAACCGCGTTGTGGCGTACGAAGCGGAACGCGGTAATGGTAATCATGGTAATGCTGCTCTGTCATTGTGTTGCTGTCAATCATCCTGCGTGCATGTCGCATGTTTATCATATTCAAGATGGCGGCTAAGCGATGCTTATGAACTTAGCAGAGCTCTATAGGCACAAACGATTTATTATGACAGCTTATGGAGGGTTTAAATATGCTTTACAACTATGAGCTTACTTAAGAAACTCGCGTCTTTGTCTCCTCTTCAATCGCCAAGTTCTGAAGCCGAGAAGAAGCATTTGGGCGAGGGGTTTGTGGATTTGGGTAGCACGGAATATTTGAGGCTTGTAGACGTTCATTGGAATAATGCTAAGGCGATAATAGCTCTGGACGAAAAGACTGTTGGACACCAGGAGCGTTGCAATATTTTAGTTTATCATTTGAATGAAATCGTATCCGTTTTGGTGGACGAAAAGGACGGAGACCCAGGGCCTTGTTTACAATATGTACTCGACAATGATGTGTTTCAAACAGTCTATACGTGGAGTGCAACCAACAAAAACTGCGTTAAAGACATGAAACGGGAACAGTTGAGGTTATTTAGGAACCTCATAGAAAAGGCTAGAGCTCATTTGCTGATCTACGAGCAAGTATGGAAACCCTTGCTCTATCTTCTTCACTCTTGCGTAAACACGTTCTCCTCAGACATGGAAGAACATTTCGTTGCCGTGTTGAAAGGCCTTTGCGTGAGTGTGAATCGAGATATTGCTTTATTGGACTTATTTTTCTTGGATAACCACGGACATGGACAGATTGCGAAGTTGTCTGTGTTTTCTTTGCTTATTCCGTTTGTACATCGAGAAGGAAATGTAGGCAATTGGTCCCGCGACGCCATGCTGTTGTGCATGGCGCTGTCGTCTGTGGACACTCGCTTAGGAACTTACATCGCAGAGGAGACTGACTTTTGTCCTGTAAGTATACATTATGGTACAGTGTACTTTATTTCATGTTAATGACAGCCCCCTCAGCAAAGATCAGAAGAGAAGTCCTAAGTTTTAATTCTCTGACGGAAATTTACATGTATTTCACCTTTAAACCTTGGCGGGATACGACGTCAGTATTGTTTATTTTTGTTGGATACGACTTTCAATCATTTCCCTTCGTTTTAAAGTGTTGGTGTTGGTGTTTTACTTGTCTCGTACATATGCATGCGATCACTTATAATTGGCCACTTAACTTGAAGGGAGTAAAGGCTGTCTGCGTGATGTGTATGTTCTTTTTTTCCCAAGGGATAAATAAGTTAAGGTTTGTGTGTTTCCGTTTATTAAGCTTTGCTGTTTATCTTTTATTACTTTTTACTATACACGTGTTTGCTTTTCCAATTCAGCTTGTGGACTGTTTTGTAGTCTTTGGCTCCGCATACTGTCCAATATTGGTAATCTCTATTTGAGATGTTAAGGTTGATATATTATTCCAATGTGCCTTGAATTTGCATTTTCTCAAGTCGTCCGAAATGTGACACCTGCAAAAGAAACTGAACACTTTATGTTCTGAAGTATTGTTTACTTAGTATAAGATTATGCACATTGCAGCATGACAGAATGATTTATGTGGAGTATTACAAAAGCGGAATTGCATATTTTGAAATGAGACATACTATCTCTATTGCAGAAAATGTGAAGTAATGTTAGCAATATTGGCATTTTTGTCAAGCTACTATATTTCTGTACTATGTACTTGATGATCAGAGGATTATGAGTGAGATAGACAGTTCTGGGTTGAATGTCCTGAATAACTTCTATGATCCTTTTGTGGTGTAGGATGTGCATGTATCTAGTATGCATTTAAAAACCAAGGTCTTCCGTATTTTAGAGGAATTAAGGCGCATGGCTGTTGTTACTATCATATTTTGCAGTTGCCTCTTTTTTTCAGTGTAATTTTGTGTCCTTTATTGTCACCTGTTCTGCCACCAAACAGGCTGCTGTTTTAATGCCATTTGACTTGTTTTATTTACATGTTCATCCCTTATGTTTGTGTATGCATTCATTGTACAGTCTTAATATGCATAGTATGTATTCTGCAGTGACTATGCAGAAATATCATGGATATGATTGGCTGTGGATATGCACATGACATGATGTAAACACAAATCTACCACTGAATTTATTTGTTTCCATAGTGACTCACATAAAATGAAATATGCTCGTCTTTCTGATGACATAAGACATGTTCATGAAGGGCACAATGCAAAGCACAAGAAAACAAAGTGATGAAAATTGTCATTAAACTGCAACAAGAATATTGAAGAAATTTCATTGATCATTGGAAATGATGAGATTGTCCAAACAATGAAACTTATCCTTAAGGGCTGTTTGTCGCGCATTGTGTTTTTTTGACGAGGACCTTGTCTAAGGGCTGGGAGGCAGTGATTTTCCCCAGCTACAGTGTGCTATGAGCATGACCTGCAGCTACTTTCATAGGAAACAAAAGAAAAATAGAACCCAAAAGACTTCCTAGCTGGTTAATTCCCTGCCTTCCAATTTTTATATACCTGGTAACTTACCGGTATAATCTAAGTGACAGCCCTGTGTGATAGTCCAAAAAAGGACAACACACATTTTGGAATCAGTACTTGTCACTAATGATTTTATATTTTATCGTTGTTATTTGTTAAAGTTGGTCCATATAATTATTTATTCAACATTTGTAATGCAAAATTGCTGTTTTTTTTTTTTCACAAATGTACCAAAAGAACAAAACTGTAAACAGAAGCAAATATGAAAATCTCCCCAAACCACTTTTTGTTTTTATAAAAACTGAAAACCAAATGTCCACAAAAGGAGAAACTGACAACCTTCGAGGTTGAAGAAAACTGAAAAGACCAAGCCCTACAGGCTAGGGTTTCAAATCCCATGGAAAACAATTTTTCGGTTCTATGCCCAGAGGTCATGGGAAACTATCTGAAACAATTTTTTAGTTGCGTGAAAATTCATGGTAACCCACCTCCTAAATGATTTCAATTTTTTGAAGTCATATGTTTTTTCTTGGCACTAGAAGCCATAGAGAAGTAATGTTCAATCACTTCGGGAATGATTTAAGATGGCAGACAATAGAAAACTGATAGGTGCTAAACACAATGTTTTTGTTTCGTATCAATATAAGCCGAGAAATAGCTATTGCTCTACTAGTTACAAACCTGAGTGGAAAAATAGTGAATTTCTGTTAATTGATCCCCAAACAATTTTTGGGGGCCATTACAAAACAGTACCAGAGACGACTGTTACTGTGAAATGCTAGGGCTTCAAAGCCACAAATTTTAGGACAAAACACCAAAGAGTTTCCTCAAAACTCAACCTCACCTCCATTTGGTCAATTTCCCGGAGGTAACTGGAGAATCTCCATGGGCTGAGAGTAAGAATTTACACTGTAGTCTAATTTCCACGTGCGACCACCTATCCAGAACACAAAAATTTTCCCAGTCAAATTATGATTGTTGGAACCTCTCATGAGCGACCATGACCACTTTTTGGCCTTGGAGAGACAGTTTTAATATTTTCCACTCTTTTCAACCTCTTGTAATAAGAATACAATTGACACCTGGTCTGATCTCTATGTTTGCTGTATGTACCGCGCTACTCAGAGTAATAAGAGTAATTTTTAGTGACAACACAGAGCTAAACATATCATAACTTAGAAATAAAAGTGCAGTAAATTCTCCTTCAAAAAGTATGCATTGGGACGTCTACTCGGGTAAAAAACCCCTGAAGTTTGATTCTTGTAAGTGACCACCTCCTGTGAGCGACCACTAAATCTTCACATCTTGGTAGTTGCTTACATGAGGTTTGACCATATGAATAATATTGTTTATTGGATTATCCTTCAGGTTTTGGCAACTGGACTCAGTGCACTATATTCTGATCTTCCAACTTCCCTTGACATCCCCTCTGAGGACTGGTATTCACTGGAGAGAGGGCTGTGGGCAACGTTTCCAGAGCTTGTGTCTTTTTTGAGATCACTGGAGTTCTGCAACAATGTTATTCAGGTACAGTTTGAGTACGGACACCTCGATCAGTCCCTTCCTTTTCTGACTCCTCTTGTTTGACTCTCTATAAGACAGACATCACTCTTAGACAGACACCTAGTGCCAGTCACAAAGGTGTCCATCATAGAGAGAGGTGACTGTATTCATGGTGGCATTCAGAAAAATGGGGCCGTAATTAACAGTAAATTATTATTATTATTATTACTTTTATTATTATTATTTTTGTTGTTGTTGTTGTTATTATTTCACCCAGTGTATAATACAGACCTTTAGATTCTTATAAGACGAGTACGATCACGAGTGCGAGATTTTCTCAATACTAAGTACTAAGCATGCGAAAACCAGCGTCATTTTGGTGGGAAAATGTGATAGTGATGGTCATTCTGCTACAAGTTTTAGTGAGAATGTTGTGTTAGTGGACACAAGTTATAAAGTGTTATAGGTTTTATTGTTTTGAGGCTGGGAGAAAACCTCTTTCAATCAAGATAACAGTGCTAATATTTTTGATGAAAAAGATGTACAATGAAGTTATCTGGGGTGTCCATTATTTGAGAACATGCAAAAGACTTCAAGTTAAATCTCATACTTGTAGTCGTTCTTTTCCTAGAATCTAAAGGTCTCTAATATGCTAAAGCAGTACAGTCAACTCTCTCGTAGCGACCACCTTTCGTATGGGGCCACCTCCTGTAAGTAACCACTTTGAAAACAACCAGTTTGTTTCTCAGTCAAATACTGTTTAAAAAACTCTCTTGTATTGACCTAGCCTGCGTGCAGACGATAACTAAACTCTGATTAGTACCGTCTGCGAAGCAGCGCAGAGATCCTTGTTCTGGACCCCCATCGGACTCAACGAATTACCGGAAGTGCGTTTCGAATTCTCCTTCAACCTGATTGGCGATCACGACAAACAAAACAAAGGCCTTTTTTAACTGGCCAATCGTGGCACGTACTCAAATCTGGGTACACAGCTGGAAGTCAAGAACAAGGATTTCGGCGCTGTTTCGCAGACGGAGTTAACCAGAGTTTAATTTCGTCTGCGCGCAGGCTAGTATTGACCACCACTTAAATTTCTTAACGAACACGGCTACTTTGTAAACCAGAAATTTGACTTATTCTTTTGTTTTTGCATTTCCCATAAGTGACCACCCGGCATGATCACGTATGATTTTAAGAAAACCAATGCTCGAATAAATTCACAAAAGTTTAGTTTTTGATAGCGCTGACCAAACATGCTGACAAATTAATTATAGCAATTGACTAGCAAGAAAGATGGCTGTAATATGATCTGTAGGTAAAAAAGTGGATTGTAACATTGATGCAAAATGTCTGTAAGTACTTTCCATAATATATGCTCAAGTTACCAGGATGCCTCCTTGGGATTTCACCTCCTGGGTGAAATCCCTACATGCGGGGATAGTAACACTCAGAACTTTCAGCGCATTTCTCTTGTCTTGTTTAGATTGCCCACCCTCAAGTTCAGTTCAAGTTGTTGGACTTGATCTACCATGGATTTCTTGTATCAGTTATGGCATCATCTCTTAGTCAGGTGGTCTATTTATTTATTTATTTATTTATTTATAAACTTTGCTGAGAGGCCTGGATCACTCACAGAGCAAGCTCCACAGAGCAAGCTTCTTTCAGCATGTGAATGCGTTAAATTTTTATACTATCCTTTACTTGACCTCATTGAATGGGAAGGCTGCAGCAAATCAATTTGGCACTAGGTTATATAACTTTCTCAGTTTTGTGTCTGCATTACATCATTTGCTTCCACAATTTGCACTGTGGGGGGGGGGGAGTACTTCCTAGTAGTAGGCTAATGGGTAGGTGCCGCTGGATGGGGTCACATTTTCATGACTGGATTAACTATTATGGGGTTTGGGGTTGCATTTTTATAAGAGTTACTTGAATGGGTTCGCACATTTTCAGGATTTTGGGGGTCAGAAAATTTGGGTCTGTAGGGATTTAAAGATAGAAAGATTAATTTTGCACCACATTAATGTGTCAGTTCATTTCAGGATGACCAAGTTAAAAGGCTTTATAAGGTAGATGCATAAACACAAAGTTAGGATTGCGAACATTATGTGACTTGAGATGTGGTGTATAGTATGGCCACAGAATAGACTATAATGGGGTAGGGGTCCTGATAGGCCAGAGGCACATACCCAGCAAAAATTAACCCCAGTACCCCCCTGGGAATTTGCAGGGCTGTTAGTAAGGGCCAGAGGCTGGGGAATTTCCCTGTCGACTACTTTAATGACAAAGAAAAGTAAAATAAAACCAAAAGAATTCCCCAGCTGTCCAATTTCCTACCTACTAATGGTCACCCAACTGGTTAAGCTTTATAGTTATTTTGGGTGTCCCACTTCTGTATGTAAATTGTTATTAATAAATTAATATATTTCTTGAAAATTGTTTTCGTTGTATACGGTAGAAAATAAAGCTGTTGTTGTTGTACTAACAGCATATATCGAGCCACTTTAGATCTTAGTGACAACCCTTGACCGGATCATGGAACTTGAATGCTGTATTAGCTAATAATATCACCAGTTATTTGTTATTTACCAGTGTTTCCTGAGTCTTTATTTATGAGTCCTTTTGGAAGGGATTTGAATCAAATCAGAGACGGTTAATTTGCTGGTATCGAATGTTTGCTTGTTCTGGGGCATCCTTAATAGGACGCGGCCGTTGCTTCTCAAGTTAACTATTAACTCTCCTTGGGAGATGATCTTGGGTTTCAGTTTAAGGCTACGCGAGAGAAGGGATGAAACTCTGTAGCGGTATTCGTATTAGCTAATACAGCGTTCGGGTTCCCTCTGACCTGATAATGCATTCTGGTGTATTCAAAACATGTCATCAACACTTCATGGAATGTATGTTCCTTAAATGGTTTACTATTTATTTTCACAGTCGTCAACTGAGGCCTTGATAGCTGCCACAGCCTACCTTGACTTGTTTTTACGCAGTATCACTGATTCCAACTTGATGAAAGTCTTCCTACAGTTTATTATGGTGGAAAGATCAGATGGCAGACCTATTCTTGGCTTGCTAGTGTCTAGGATTGCAGAGGAGTCTCAGGTAAGTTATACACTCAAAACATCTGACATTTTTGGCATGTTTTGATTTTTTGTTATTATATCTTTCTATAAGCTTAGCTATCAAGTCCAGCACTCTAACTGCTCAGTTAGACTGAGAATTAGGCTCTTCTTGGCAAAAAGGCCGAAGGAGCATATTTTCTAACCCTACCCCTAAGGAAAGACATATTTAAGCCTTCCAGCAGTCTCTCCTATTGTCTTGATTTGAAAAAGGGGATTACATTTTGAAATGCAGATTTCGGATTTTGCAATAAAAAGGGAAATCCAAAAAGGCCTTTTACTGCCAATAATCTGCCCTCAAAGTGATTTATTAAGCGCTATTCTTGAGAACAGTTTCTCAAAGGCTATTCCAGATTTCCCAAAAGTAGCAGAAAGAAAGGAAATCTTAGGACGGTTTTTTGGCCTTAAAATGTGTTTTTTGGATTTCGTAATAAATGGCAAATCGTAAATCTGGATTTTGAAATCTTAATCCAGACTTTCCACTCGACCGCACCCTTTGTAGAACTCTCATTTTGATTTATGAGGTTGCAATTGAAAAATTAAAAAAAAAAATCATCAATGCTGCTTGGTAGGTTGTTATAAGTAAAACCAATTGTGTACTTTCTTTGTTCTGATAACTAAATTGCTTTTATTTTTCTTAGCTTTCCGTTGTGTCGCTGGGGTTATTCTATACATTACTGGACCTAAACTGTGAAGACATTATGTACAGCTTGGTGTTCAAGTGAGTTTTAAACACACACTACCAGCCTGAATACCAGCCCCCCCCCCCCCCTTTAGGAGTTATGGGTGAGGAGATTTCAAAGAAAAAAGGGTTTCCCTTCAATTTCTCCCATTTCGCTTCTCCTCTTTGAACTCTTTTCCTTCTTCTCCATGTATCATAATTCTCAGTGCTGGCATTAGCCCAGGTTGTCATCCTGTTCCCCACGCTGTCTTCTTTCTGAACAGATCCTAAAAGCCCTGGGGAAGTGTGGAGGGAGGGGAGTTGGAGGGAATAACAATACTCCTAGTAACCTGATGTAACCATACTGCAGAACTCGGATTAATCTCTGGCCCATCTTAAGGTTTTGAAAAAAAAAATTGGCAAGTGATATTATTATCATTATGAATTTATTTAAATCATTAGTTTCCACTAGATTCCTGGACTTTTCCACGCAATAAAAGGCAAAACAAGTAATTTGGGGGGCATTTAATCTTGCCTTCTTATTCAGGAATACGGGGAAGCTCTTCCCAAAATAGATACCTTTTTCAGGCTTCAGGTAAATGAAAGGGTGTCTATAGGATTTTCAAGAGTTGAAGTCTATGAAAGGATGGAGAAATTTGTCATTTCAGCCTGCTAAAGGATCTACGAGGGCTAACAGACACATTGGCGGTGCAAAAGTCAAGGAAACTTCCTGCTTTCGTGATCTATTCGTTTTTTAAAAAGACAGTGTTTTTACAGCAGTTAAAAAAAATGCAGTGTTCTAAACAGGTTATGTGAAAGGGGTACCGTTTGTACATAGAAGGCATGAAAAAGAGGCCCCTTTTTTGTCAAAAATGGTAAAAAAGGGTAATGGGTTGGACCTTGGGGTGGAACCTCCCCGTATAATTTTTTGTTGCGTGCCCTGTCTCAGGTCGATCACGAGCCCAAAGTGAGTGCATTTAAATGGTTCAAAGTTTCAACTGCTATTTCAGCTGCAAGCAGAATGTTACTTGTGAGTCGTCTTTTTGATATTCGATCGACGTTTTTTGTTTACTTTGCTGTTTCTTTCCCACAGGTATCTAATTCCGTGCACTCACATTTTAAGCAGTCAAAAAAGAACTATCAAAGAATTGGATATTTACAGCAAGAGCGCGTCTAAATTTCTGTCGCTCATTCCCATCCCCTGCTCAAGTTGTAGCCAATCTCCGTCACCTTCGTCATCCAACGAGAACTTAAACTCAAGTTCCAACACGCCTATGAAGATCGACCTAAAGACATCAAGTGAATTGGTGTTCTACGGGTCTACACAGCTTGAAGGTCTTTATTCGGAAGTGAATACGGATTACATGGAGTACCTAACAGACGCGCGCTGTTTCCTTAGAGACTGTCAGATGAGATGCAGTTGTTGGTCCGCCCCTTATGACGGTCAAAACCCTTCCCCACAGGACCCTCCAATGGAAAGAGAACGTTCTGCTTCGAACTTGTCAACCCTTTCAGCACCCGTTGCTAATGGTGACATTCCAAATAAGGGTTCGTCTCTGAAGGCGTCAGATGACCTGCAGATTCCAATCAAGAGATCCAAATCAACCAATGATTCTGAAACCAAAAAGCAACAAGTGGACCCTGATTTAGGACCGTTTTTATCGACGCTTTTTCAGAAATTGGAACGGATGCCGCAGAACTCATTCTATGTCAATTTGATCCTGACAGGGGTGGTGTCAAGACTTGCGTTGTATCCCCAACCTCTGCTCCGTTCGTTTTTGCTGAATTACAACATGGTTCTTAAACCTGGAGTGCGATCTCTGTTTCAGGTTAGACTACATTTATGTCATTTATAGCGCCTATGAGATGTTGCTTAAAAGTGGCGAAGTCACAATGTCGGGGGAACACTCCCATATGAAAAACTTGTGATGTCTCGCTAAGAGGGAAAAATTGCAGTCTTTGCTTTCCCTTAAGCTCCGGTAAAACGGGCAACAAAAAGGTGCGAATTGTTTTGTAATATTGCTTCAAGACGAGTTGAATTGCGATGTTTTACGTTTTACCTCCCACTTTCAAATCAATTTTGCGCCAAAATTAAGAAGTAATTTGACACCCATGATATTATTTATTTATTTGTTTTTGTGACTGATTTATTGTAACAGCAATAGCCTAGCTGTTTCCTCGAAGAGCTTTATGAATATATATTTTTTGTAATGATTGCCCTTCTTCTTTCAGATCCTTAGTTCGGTAAAGATAAAAGTTGAGAACCTCGCGGATCAAACTGACAATCTCAGCAAACTACTCCGACGAGCCAGGAAAAACTTGATATTTCGCGAAGAAAAGAGTCGCGCAAGTATTCAAAGCGTGGTAATCGACGTGCAACAACCAGTGAAGCTGGTGAAACATACTGAACAAAAGAGCCCTAAACTGATGAGACAGAAAACTGACTCCTCCATACTGAGTCGAGCTCGGCTTTGCAAGACGGTCCCCCTCCTTGGATTTTCGGTAGCAAGGGAGGGCCTAACTTACGTAAACAATCCTTGGACTCATCTGGGAGCCCTAAGCTGAGAAAAGCCAATTTTGAGAGGCGCGCGAGCAACGTCAGTGCGAGTACAAGATCTAGTCTGTCGTTAAGCGAGTCTTGGGAGAGTTTGAACTCTTTAAGCCCAAGGTATGGCAGCACAACGGACTTGAGCGAAGAAAATTTACCCAAACCAGGAACAGTTCAGAAAATTGCCAGCCCTTTGAAGGGCGGACAGAATTCGCCGAAAAAAACTTTTCCGAAGAACACCTTTAAAAGGAAAAATCCGAAGAATGTGAAGAACGCTGTTTATTGTATCGTGGTGTTGGAAGAATGGTTGAAGGAACTGGCGGCGATTTCCCAGGAACATGCTTTGCTAGTGAACCTGGGCGAGGAATGGCAAGTTACTGTATGATATCTTGTGTGGGTATCATCTTGTCCGTGGGAAGTTCTTAAATACCCGTGGGACTGTTGTAATAATTTTGAGGTTGAGTAGCAGGTTACTGCGCGACTACTACATGAGAACTAGTTTCTGGAATTTGATTGGCTTAGAGCAGTGGTATTTAAGCTTAATTTGAAATACCTACATGTGAAAATTACAAACCTGTTGCGGGTACTAGTGTAAACGAATAATAGCATGATTTGGACGTGATCTTTGGCGTAAATACCACTCGTGATATTTCAAAATTGTCGCAAATTTTACTCGCCTAACGGCTCTTGAAATGACATAAAAATTTTGAAATATCACTCGTGGTATTTATGCCTTCACAGATATACGGAACTGTAATATTCCGCAATATAGATCAGAAAACATTTATAGTAAGTATTCAGATTTTACGACAAGCATTTTATACGCTCAATTGTAGCTCTCCATCAGAGATTAGAAAATAATTTTATATATTTTGTTATTGTTTCCGTACATGGCTATTTCAAGTTATCCTCAGTGCGTCTCTCAAAAACATGTCGTAAATGGGTGCTAAAAGCCAAAAAATTAAATGAACCGAAATCAATGAATATTCAAAACAATGTAATTTTTTTTAAAGAACGCCACGAAGGATCTAATTTAAAATAAATATTAAAGTTCGCTTTACAGCAGTTTACAGTATTTTTGTAGTTTTAACTAAATAAGGGTAGGCTAAAGGACGATATGCCCAGAATCCTTTACGAGAAAGTTAAACCAGAAAATTTAAAACAATTTGTTTTCAACTTGGGAGATATACAGGAACCGAGTGAGCCTGCGCACTAATGGCGTAACAAACCCTCCGTTCACTCCGTGTTGCACTCGACAATGACCGGGACCAGGTTTTTGAGCCCGCGAGAGGCTGGGCATCCCACCCAGACCCTTGTCTTCACTAAAACCGCTGGACACCATCCTGGTAGAGGTCATTGTTATCTAAGGTCTTCCGTTGCACTCCGTGCGGCCTAACACTATTCATTCTTGACCCCAGTGCTTACGCTTGTGACTCCACGCTACGTAGAAGAGGTCTGGGTCGAGATAGAGTGCGTGGTGCTTTGGGGCTGTCTGTGAGTAGTCTACGGTAAAACGTAGTTTATTTTATATCCCCATTCCCTACACACCACATTACTACCCCCTCCTTCAAAGGTGTCAGTCTGCAGAGAGCCGGACTTTGCTTTAGCGTGCTACTATTCTGCTTATTCTCTCTTGTCTCAAATAGCATCACTATTCCAGCATAATGCTAGATTCTTTTTATAATTTGTGTCAGTGTTATGCTCAAAATTATGCCCGTACAATGTGGACAACCCTAATGCAGACATCTCGATCTTATTTTCTTTGTTGCACGCATGCAGCAAAGGAAGCTAGACTCTTAGAAAATTAAAAGGCACAATAGCTTATTTTGTTTAAGGTTTTATTGTCTGGTGAAATATAGTCAAATATACTCACGAATAAGATACAAACTGAATACTATTTTCTGCAGAATATATTCCTTGTCTTAAAAAGTTACTGCAAATTTTATAACATTGCCGAAACAGTCACTATATATAAGTACTTGGTTTGTTTTTATAAAACAACGCCTGAAATATGAAAAAGCTTTACACCTGCGTAAAAGAATCATTGTCGTCAACTTAACTGCGAAGTAATAATTTCAGTTTTTCCTTTTTTTAAAGGTAGATATTAAGGTAACTGTGGAGCACGATTTCAGAAACATACTTTGTATACAGCTATTTCGAGAATGGTTGTCGGAAAAAGTGCATGCGACAATTCCGAAAGGCATTGTGGGTGGTTTTAAGTTCGCTGTTCCTTAAAAAAATTTGAAAGAATTGGTACGAAAGGCCATGGAAACGTGTTTGCGAGTGCTAAAGGAAAACAACAAAAGTAGGTTCGACAGGTACAGTCGTCAGAAACAGTGTATTGATCATTTCCCATATTACCTTTCTGGTTTGTCTCGCGCACATCAGTTTTTCCGACAACCTTTCTCGAAATAGCTGTATACGGCGTTGCAGAACGCTGAATGACTCTTAGTTTGGTGATCAGGGTTAGGAAACTGAGTGAATCAGGTTACATTTAGGGTTTTTATACTGGGCAAACTGACCTGAAACTTAATTCACTCAGTTTCCTAACCCTACGCACTAAACTTCAGAGTCGTTCGGCGTTCTGCAAAATATGCCTGCCGCTGTGTATCTAACTAAATTTATCATTGTGAACTAGTGTCTAGTTCTTACTTATTAACAGGACATCAGCTGATTCCTCTTCCAGGGGGTTGTCATATACAGGCGTTGTTCGTTATTTAAGTAGGCTAGCTGATATAAAATTTAACTTGAATATAAATGGGGGTGTGCTGTAAACCCTAAAACTTAACAGCTTATTTAATGTATACTTAAATACGTTAAACAAGAAAAGAAAAACGACTTATATCTACCAAATTGGACTTCAATGTCATAAATAACATGTCGTATAAAAAGCTACTTTAGTCCTTTGGTCAGCGGTGTGGTGGAAATTCACGAATATATACTGTACATATGCCCGCATACTCAAAACCTAACAAATACGTTAAAAATATATAAACTTTTTTCCCCTTATACGAATATATCTACCGACGGATATTTTCTTTAAAATATCTCCCAAATCTGTCACACACCTGTCTAAATAACAAAGCTCCGTATCCGCAATTAATTTACGAAATTTATCCTATACTGTAAGCTTAATTGTACCATAAAATGTTGTTTTGTTTGCTAATACTTCAAAAAAAGCTACTGAAAACTTAACATATGCCTTTGACAGTCAATATTGAGCTGTATCACGGTAGCCGGCGTCAATATTTTACTGACATTTAGGAGCATGTCTCTAGAATAAACTCGACGCGCTCAGTATTTCTTTTTGGTTAAACAGATGGACAAATGGCACCTTTAAGGGACTACTCTCACAGCCTCGACAAAATCCGATCACGCGGTCGCACGCAGTAGAAGAATAGTAATTACTGACATTACTTGACTGCGTAGCCTGCGATATGGGGCAGCATTAAGTACGCAATCAACATTAGCTCATTTACGTAGAACTTTTGATAGCAGACGCTAGAAAACCCAGCGTTTTCCAGATAGGTCGAAGTTTCACGGCAACAGGAGCATCCGTCGCTGAGATATTTCCACTGGTCGTCGAAAGTGCGTTGGAATGAATGCCTCCATGTTTCAGGGTTATCTAAAACAGAAATATACTACATGTAAGAGACCTGAAAATCTGATAAGGGCGTGGCCATGAACTCCAACAGGGTCAGAGGCCTATCCTGGGAACGAGGTTGTTATTCGTCTCAGTCTTAGTTTATGCCAGGAGCCCATTGCCAGGAGCCATTATGGGCTCCTGTTTATGCCTTTTTAATCGTACGGCAGACATACCGAAATAGCGATAAGTATAATTATTATACATTCAACTCACTATCTCTTTTCTGATTGGCCGAAAGCGTACAGTGAACTTTCGAAATCAACACCTGGGACATCATCTAGCTGCAGATCCCGGTAGAAGGACTCCGCATGTTAAAGGGGTGGGGACGTTCGTCGGAAATTTTGAATTAAACCCCTAAAGGAGACCGATCTGGGCGTGGCCCAAGCTTTTTTTGACCCCTAAAAGAGACCAAAAAAATATACATATCAAATATATCTTTTTATATGTTTTCGTGTGCAACCCTAAACGAGACCTTCACTGCTAAATATGATGGCGTTTTGCCCAGAACACCCCAAGTGAGACCAAAATCCGAAATTTACACCCCTAAGCGAGACGACGAGCATCCCCACCTCATTCATATGCCGAGTCCCCCCCGGGCTGCAGATTCTACGATAATCATGTCAAGGACACTCAAGGTCACGGGTAATCATGTTATGTATGATCGCGGTGTCTGATTTCTGAGGGTAATTATGTCGAGATCGCGCGCTTTGTGTTGCTTGCCGTCAGTGAAGGAGCAAAAACATGACTTCCAGGTTTGCTTCGTTGACCGAGCAAGACATCGAAAAAATAGTGGAAGACAAGGACTGAGACAACCTGAGGAAAAGAAAGAGTTGGCACAAACTTTGAAAACATTTTGTGTCGAAGCGAGAAACTAAAAGAATCCGTTCAATGTATAATAAAACAATAATTAGATTCGGTTTTCTGATATCCGGAATAATCAAGGTCTCGGTAAGGGTTATAAACCTCTGCCTTCGGCTTCGGTTGATAACCCCTACCTCGGCCTTGATTATTCTGGAGTATCACAAAAACGTCATCCAATAATTGCTTATAACAAATAAATAGTTTTTTGCTTTACGATGGTCCGTCAGACATTTTGGAAGGTTAATTGGGTTGCCGGTCATTCAAGATAGCTGTGTCAGACCAAGTTTTAAGGATCGCATGTAGGACTTTCCACAAGTTGCTCGGCAACTTTTTGGCAACTTCTCTCGTATTTCGAGCAACTTTTTGCATTCTGAGCAATTGCTCTAGTTATCTTCTAATTCTGAGCTGTCGGAGCAGCTTTTAGTGATTTGATTGGCCTTTCTTCCATATTTCACAATGTTTTAGTAGACAGTTTATGAATTTCCTGTTAAAAAAAGGAGCTAAATCCAACCTCGTCCCCAGGGCTTTTCCCTTAAAAAAGGAAAAGCCCTGGGGACGAGGTTGAGCCAAATCATGGTAGCAAGGACGGGCAGGCGGACGGGCGCAAGATAATAGTGGCCGGGCTGCTAGGTCAGCGGTTTTTAGAGAAAATTTAAAATGGTGGACGAAGATTCACACTCGACTAACTTGGATTTCTCGGGTGAAGAAAGTCATTCAACAATTTCATTGGCTCATTACATTTTTTGGTTTTAATTGAGGACAAAGTTATTTACCAACGCTGGTTACGCCGCAAAATCTCGAGCAACTTGTGGAAAGCCCTAATCGCATGATAACGCCAGCCGACCTTGTGTTAAGAAAAGGTCAGAGTATACGTGAGTCATTTCATTTCTTATAGTGTTTATGCGGCTTGAGTATTCGCCAAAGACAAAATTGGATCAGTAAGACAGCGTTAAAACCGAAGTCATCACGTACTGACCGAAATTTAACTTTTGTTTTTTAGTCAGGGCGGGGCGTTTTATCGCAGTTCCTTACGCGCACTGTACGCCGCGTTCCTGGCGCCCGTGTGATTATGAAAACCCATAATATTGGCACGCCGGTATATAATGCCATGAAGTCTTAAACCTCTGATAAATACATAAGGAAAAAAAAGGGAGAAAAAAAACAGTGTCATTAAAAGTAAGAGTCTAATACTATCCGTCAACATAGAGCAATTTTTTGGCTGTCTATCTCCTTTTCTCCTAAAACTGTCTGCCATAGCAGGAAGTTTCTCCCGATCTGAAGAAATCCCTGATCGAATGTAGTTATTCTAAAAGAGTTAAATAAATGCTGACATAGGATAGTATTAATTGAATTAAGCGTTAGAAAAATCTGGTGTTTTTTGGGTAAATAAAAAATGTTTCCTTGTTGAAAAAAAAATTATCTTTTAGTTTTCTATAGTTGATGTTGATTGCCTTTAGGTAAAATTTTAAAATACTTTAAAAAGACTATAACTAGAGAGTACGGTACCCCGGCGAAAAAATCGAAAAAAATAGCGTTAAGACTGGCTGGATAGCAGAAAGCAGCTATTGGATAAAGATAAGGAAGTCTTAAAGGCTATCTTTAGAGATTTCATGACTTTTTAACCGGTATTTGACTCTTTGTAGCAAATACGTGCGGTAAACACGTGAGTGCGTACAAACTTCGATCCCGGCCACGAATGTCCAAAATTGCAGTTTCCTGGAAAAACAGGATCAACTATAGCTCACGTAAGAGGCCTAAAAGGCGACTTGTTTTTACAGCTACACAAACCAATTTACTTCATAGTGAAGAAAGCTTTGTTTTTGTCTGCCCTAAGGACGTGCTGAGCATTTCTAATGAGGGTAACCTTCAAAAAGAGAACATGCTTTTCATCCTGTTTATAGATATATTTAATGTATCGATTCCCCCACGGGTACCCTTGGGCTGCCTGTGATACAACTGAGTTACTTCCGTGAGTAACTTTGCACAGACAGGAAAAATATTCCCGGTTTTGGTTTCTATTCAAACTTTTCTAAACAAACACAAGGGAAATATCTATCTATAAATCTTTCAATACGTGGTTCGCATTTCGCATGTTAGCTATTCGCGTGCCAAAAGGTGGATTTTAATTGATCGGACGTGAGGCGGATGGAGGCCACCTATTGCACGCTACGAACTCTATAAAATCAAGATAAAAACAAACTATTTATGCAATTATAACTAACATACCTGCTACATGTTCCAAAAAATAAAAGTAGCCTCCCTGAAAGATAATTTTTAGAAGGGGTGTAAGTATAGGAGGTGCGTGATCTCAACCGAAAATAATGTTGTTGGTTAAACGTGCTCGGATACTGTCACTGTGCTTTTTGTTGCAGTCGATTGAAAGAGAAAACGGATGAAAACAAGCGGAAATGAGTTTTATGACTTTTGCCCTTGTTATCTGCACATTGATATTAAACAGGGAAATGTTTGGCACAGTGTAAGCAAGTAAACAAATCGTCATGCTATAACGAATTCAAGCTGTTTCAACTTAACGATCCTAATTAGGTATCCTCTCTAGGGTATTATCCTTTTTATTTGGGAACTCGAAAAGAAAACACCGACAACAATATTCTAAAACTTAACTAGCGACACTAGTACGGTGTGTTAAATTGAACAATGGCTAGTCAAATCAATATTTGTAGAGGAGTTGTCGCTAATTGTTCTGATTTCTAACTGACAGACATCCTTTCATCTCCTTAGAAAACGAGAAAAATCCGCTCTACTTATCTTCTGCCATCGATAGAGACTGCTACTAAGGTACTACATAATTATGTGTTATCATATCAGCATAGCTCTAGTTTATTCTGTTTTACGACCTTGTTTGATCCTTGAAAACTATGTTTTCTGTTTGCCATTAACGCACAACTGATATAGTCTTATTTATGATTTGAATAAACTGCATGATACCGTAGGGAAAGGATGTATACGTAGGATAAGCATAGTAAATGTGCATTGTCTCCCTACTGACTGTTTAACAAATATAGCCTCGATTTTAAAGCTTACGAAAACATACTAATTCAAGTCTAATACGTGCTATTTTAACCACAGGTATAATACAGTTCCGCCCCACCTCAACAAAAAAAAAGTAGTCGGCAAACATTAGTCAGCAAACTGAAAGTAAAATACAGTTTCAAGGGTATGCACACACCCAAAGAAGATCAGATGTCCAAATAACGCTTTTAACACTTTTTTGGGCCCTCTGTTTTTAAAATTTAGTCAATTCATAAGGTGCTAGTGGAACCCCATATTTTTCCGTTTCCACATTTTTTAGAGATTGGACGGTCCCGCTTCAGTTTTAAGACTTGTGTGCATTCTCTGGAAATTACATGTTTTTTAAGAGAAGCAGTGTCTGATTTGTCATGTTTTAAGAAGAAAAGGGTCACAGATGAAGATAAGATGTGGGCGGTAATCTGTTTTGAAAAATCATCAAAATGTAATAACAAATTATTGACCACCAAAGTAACATAATCTCTAAAAAACAATTAGCTATATAATTACGCCTGATTCGGAGCAATTTAAAAAACGGAACAAAACGACAAAACCGCGACTCACCGGTTTCAAAACTCTCTTGATTTCGGACAGAACTGCTTCCATGTCAGTCACCGAACAAAGCGTTAGAGTGCACAACACAGCTTCTACCGAGTTGTCTGCGATTCCTTCCATGTTTTCTGCGTAGCCGCACACAATTTCTTTTAGTTGGACATGGGGAAATCTTTTGGCGTTTTCTACAAGATAGGTTTCCATGTGCGGATTTGGCTCTAAGGCGATAACGGAACATCCTTCAGGTAAGAATTCAAAGTTAGCTCCTGTTCCTGCCCCGATCTCCAGAATATCTCCCTGAACGCCTTTCAGGGCCATCTTCATGTGATTGAACATTTCTTCCTTGCGTTTTTGAACAGCTCTATTGTGAATTCTGCTGAAGAGGTTCATGTGCACGGCAAAAGCTTTCTTGTACGTCCTTGAGGAAATCACGGTATTGCGGACCTTTGCACTCAAAGCTGCCACTACGAACAACACCACCAGCACAATCGCACAAATTGGAAGTATTATCTCCATCGAAGCACTTTCTAGCTCAACCTCAGAGACAGTCAGATGGCGTCTGTTATGAGTCTAGAGAACAAAAGGTAGATAATAGTGATGCTTTGAATGCTGTGAGAGATAATAAAACCGTAGGCACTCACTAACGAGAGGTCAACTCACTGAGCGCCCACTTGAACGGATCATTCACTGCCAATCAAATCTATCAACAATAAGATGTGATAAGCGAGAAACGTCAACACCATTTTTTTCCCTATGTATAAATCAAACCGGAAGGTCAAGAATGACCTAACATGCACACACTGTGCTAAACAACCTTCGCATTCAATTCTTAAAGAGGTGTTTTCTTGCGAAACAACCTAATATGGAAATCAATGCGCCGTATTATATTGTTATTTTGCAATGTGGCATGATGAGGTAAATTGAGTGTCGTCTCCCGGGGTTTTTCGTATTAGTCACGGAAGGCTGGTTATACGTACGTAATAGCCCCAGTTTCCACGTGTGTTATGCTGTCACATGATTAGCCGATGATTTATGCCCTTTGGCGTTTTTGAGCTGCTCCCATGTATCACGAGGGTGATTATTGCGAAAAAGAGAAACATCGAGATTGTCGAGAATATCCTAGTATATTCTTGAAAGAACTAGATTCCCTTGCTTCAATCAGGACATTTTCTTATATAATACATATTATTAGAGAATTTTCGTATCTCCTCATGATCAGTATCTTTAGGTATAAATAATTCAGGGTAATGTTGATGCCTATAAGTCAGATGACGCGCCAAAATGTGGCTAGCAGGATCGAGATCGTAGGATTTTTTCTCATTTCGCGTAATTATTAAATGTCGATGCAGGTAACATGAGATCGCATATTTTGACC